ATCCACTGAAATCCCACAAGACACTGACATAATACCAGACAGGACAGAGGCTCTTTCTGCAGGAGACATGCACAGAAATCTCTGTATAAAAAAGCGGACTAAGCGAGAAGCCAGGCTCTATATTATGAATATGATTTTCTGACCTGCAAAGTAGGATCCTGTAGAGCAGGTTAACACGGACACCAAGGCTCACAGCAGCAGCCACACGGAGGAACCACAATATCCCAATGACTAAAAGAACTTTTAAGGGCAATGTTGTTACAGAGACTGTGTTTGGTTCAACAATGGTTTATTGAAGTGCATTTTTGTTAACAAGTCCTCGCCGTGACCCAGACTACATTCTGTTCTTATGAGAACAAATGTATTTTATTTAGGCCTGTTGTTTTTGTTTGTCTTGCAGTTCCTGTGTTAAAAGTTCTTTAAAAAGTAAAGTTTAATGATCTTTGAAAAGGTGTATTTGCATTTTTGTCCATGGTCATTATATGAGTTGAAAATAGTCTCAAAATGTCAATATTATCGTTTATCACAATAATTTCTTGGTCAATTAAAATCCGCGTATCATTCATTCATTAGTTTTTCAATATAAAACCAAAAATAAGAAAATGAAAAAACAACAGTTTTCTTCATTATTTGTCTCCAAAACCAAAATGAAAAAACTGATAAAGATTTGTTTTTTTCAGTTTTCGATTTTGTGTTTAAATGAAAAATGGAAAAAACGGATAACGTCCCATTTACGTGACTTCTGTGACTGCGATGCCGGACTGAACCAGGACTGATCCAGGTCCAGGGACCAGACCGGGACCAGAGCAGGACTGAGACCAGGACCAGACCGGGACAGAGACCAGGACCAGAGCAGACTCTGAGCTTTGACTCCGAGCTCTGGCCCTGCAGTGGGTCTGAGCCTCCGGTCTGGTCTCGGTGTCGGTCTCAGTCTCAGTCCCGGTCTCAGTGTCCGGTCTCAGTCCCCGGTCTCAGTCCCGGTCTCAGTCTCAGTCTCAGTCTCAGTCCCGGTCTAGGTCCCGGCCTGGTCCCAGTCTGGTCCCAGTCTGGTCTCAGTATTGGTCTGGTCCCGGTCTGGTCCCTGGTCTCGGTCTCAGTCTCAGTCCCAGTCTAGTCCTGGTCTGGTCCCGGTCTGGTCTCAGTCTTGGTCTTGGTCCGGTCTGGTCCCGGTCTGGTCCCATGGCCTGGTCTCGGTCTCAGTCTTGGTCTTGGTCCCGGTCTGGTCTGGTCTGGTCTCTGGTTCGGTCTTGGTCCCGGACCTGGATCAGTCCTGGTTCAGGACTACAGTGCAAAAGTTTGGCATCGCAGTCACAGAAGTCACGTAAACGGGAAGCGGCCGTTATCGTTTTTTCCATTCTTCATTTAAACACAAAATCAAAAACTGAAAAAACGAATCGTTATCTGTTTTTTCATTTTGGTTTTGGAGACAAATAATGAAGAAAACTGTTGTTTTTTCATTTTCTTATTTTTTGTTTTATATTGAAAAGCGAATGAACGAATGACACACAGATTAATTAATCCTCCAGCAAAATCTGTTATCATTATATAGAACATTTAAACCTCACATTGTTCCAACAAACTGACATAATCTTAGAATTGTCACAAGGATAATATTAAAAAAAGAGACATTCCTTTACCCGTTTTGCCCGTATCACCCCCCCTCTTTCTTTCATTTAATTCCCTGTTGGGTCCACTCATGCCCATATGATGTTTTGTCCTTCCTCTGTCAGCTTTAATATCATTAGTTTGTCTGTCAGAGTTAACTTCATTTGGCTCTGGTATGTGTCCAGCTCTGAGAGTCCAGCTCACACAGGGACCTTTATGTAAGTCCAGCAAAACCAGGGGCAAGAGAGAGAGAGACAGAAACAGAGAAAGAGAAAGAGAAAGAGAGAAGAAGAGGTGAAGGAGGAGAGAAGAGACAGAGCAGACAGGTGGATTTAAACTCTAACTTGGATCTGTGTCATTTCGGGCGTTTTCTTGGAACTAGTTTGAGGTAGGTGGTTACGATTTTAAGTTGTAGTGGCAGCAGAAGCATTTAGACATTTTATATTATTATTCTGAGGACTTGACTGACATTTGATGCTTAAGTACCCAGTGTTTTTGTGTAGTTCAATTCAAGTTTATTTATGGGCCCAGTCAAGCAGAAGTAAACATCAAGGCCAAAAATTCAAGTTAATGCATCTGATATAAAAATGTATTGAACAGATACATATGTACTCTAGTTTATGAAACTGTTTACCTTTTTTCTGTACCATTTTTGGTTCTAAAGTTCATATGTTTTAAACAGACCATGTATGAAACATGGAACAAAAATTATTTCCCAAATTTCAAAGACCTGCAAATCATGTAAATAAACTGATGTATTTCATCATATCTTGTGTTATTCGATCTTTGAACTGTTGATGAAGGTACATGATTTTTTAAAAAAAAAAAAGTATTTAAAATGATAAAAATTTGCTTGGAAGGACTGACATATTTTATAGAAATAGTTTCCTTTCATTTTGAAGTAATATTAAAGTATTCGGAAGAAAAAAGCGACAAATTATGTAAAATCCTGCACCTTCTACTTGTTTGCACAATTTTCCTCCGTTACTTTTCCCTCCGTTACCATGACCTTTCTTCAATAAAAAATCTCATGACTCAAAAAGTAAGAGGTTTTTCAACCTAATCTTGTACCATATGGTAGAAAACTATATGAAGCAAATATTCAAACCAGTTTGTTAAGGATATGTAAGTGAGAACCAAGAGTTATCACTGTTTGTATTTATTGTCCAAAAAGTGCTGCATATTTCATTCCCTCCGTTACCGACATGAGTTTTTTTTCATTTTTTGTCAACAACTTGAAAGAATATCACAGGTTTAACTTGACCCTGTTGGAGTGTAACTCTTTCCTACATTCTGATACTTTACTTATTTCAATAGTCCCTCTAGTTTCTGAATAAGAGACATTTGAATGTAAAAAATCTGCCCCTGTTTCCCTCTGTTACCACTTGACCGGACCCTTATATAGCACATTTAAAACAACTTCAGCTGACCAAAGTGCTTCACATACATGTCAACAAAATAGAAGAAACAGTTACATATACATTCAAACAAATAACATGTGAAAACTACAATAAAAACATCAAGATGACCTGATTAGCTCGTAGTAAATGCCAGGGACCAGACGTGAGTTTTCTGTCTTGTGTGTGTGTTTAGTGTGGAGAAAAAGGCGAGATTTGTTTTGTTTTTGTCTTTTTTTATTGTTTTTGTTTGCTTAATTTGAAATTAAAATGAAAAAATGAAAAATATACATAGTGGGAATGTTTTAAATGACCTGCAATGCTGATGAATTGGTTTAACCAATGCACGTTTTTAATTTCTTGTCATTTTTTTTTGTCATTGTGGCACCAACCTGGCCACAAACTACAGGTGGAAACTAGTATTTGACATTTTTTTCTTTCTTTAAAGATCCTACTTTATGCAAAATTGACCCTTTTGAGCTTTTATCCATGTTATAATGTTGCTTCCTCACCAAAAACAGACCTGGAGTTGTGTTTTGTTTCATTCATACATGTTTGAGTAACACTTCATCATTAGTCTCTCTTGTGGTGTCATGAAGCAGTAGTTTCTGTAAGCAGCTACCCTTTAAATTTTCTTTAATCGTGATTGGAAATCCAAACAATTTAGTTAAAGATGAATGGAGTATAAAGACACAATGGAGCTGTATTACTTCGTGACGTCACAAGGTGGAACAGCATGAGAAGAACTCAGCCTAAATATGCAGGATTTGTGTGTTAAACATGTATGAATGAAACAAAACACAACTCCAGGTATTTTTGTGGGGAAGAAACAACATTTGGGGTCTTTAAGGTTATTTATTTATTTATTTATTTTTGTTTCAGTGCATTGTTCCCTGATCAAATACATAAATTAATACCAAGATTCAATCAGTTGGAATGGTTAGTGATCAATCTTTCTAATGAAAAGGTCTACAGCCTTGTCTCTACGGAGATGTTATTACTTTGTCTGGAATGTCCCGCTATGACATTAAACATCTTGCATTTACACAGTAAAAAGGGTGTTCAAAAATGTCAAAATATCGATATATCGTGTCGTTTAATGTGATGATACAGTATCGATATCATGGGCTGCTGTATCAATATATCACCAAGAGTATTTTTTGGTGCATTTTACTAAAGTATTTTGTTACAGAGCTACAGTTTTGTTGTTTTTTCAGAGGAAGGACAATTGTTTATGTGACACATTTGACATTTTCACTATTTTTAGGATTAAAATGTTTGTGTTTCATATTCACTTTGCACAAGAAGTGGTTTAACAAAGACTTTTAGTATCACAGCCATGATTTAACCTTAATTGTATTAAATCGATTTGAAATATATCGTATCAAATCGTATCATATCGAAAGCTCAATGTTTCGAGATATGTATTGTATCAGCAACTTCTTAATGATCCCCAGCTACTCGGTAACATGGTTTTTATTTTTTACCTAAAAACTTGCATTCATACTGTGGGCTCGCCTCTCCACAGACCTGACATGTACCAACAATAATGTCAACCCCAATAGACAGAAATGTATCAGGATAAATAATAATAATGATGTTGTTCATGTTTTTTTTTTGTGTTTTGGAAATGATTTGGCGTCTTTATGTCCCTCCAAAACCACTTCAAAATAGTCTGATTTTGTTTGTCTTTGCAAAAGGCTGTTCATCCATCTTCTCAGTCACGCTCTTACTAACTTTTCATTTCATTATTTCATGTTCTGCGTGTGGACAGACAATTAGATAAGATATTGACAAAAACATAAAAAATAAATGGGACAGCGTTGCGTGTTTGTCGTCCGTTTCTCCTTTGCGGTTAAATTACACCAAGTTTCATTTTAATTGGCATCATCGTACACCTAATTCACTATAAATGAATCAGTATCAACCACTAATAAAATGTGCAATATTTGTGGATGTATTTATTTATTTGTTTATTTTTATTATTTATTTTTACAGGGAGTGAAGCCTGCGAGTTTTGACAAAGTCGCCATCCCAGAAGTGAAGGAAATCATCGAGGGCTGCATCAGGACGAACAAAGACGAGAGGTAAATATGAACCCAAACATCAATATCTTTTAAATAATATATATTCTTAACAAGTGCAGTTGGAAATTCTTGTTTTAAAGGTCATATATTACATAAAATTGATCCTCGTGAGCTTTAAGTCATGTTATAATGTTGATACTTCCTCAAAAACGGACCTGGAGTTGTGTTTTGTTTCATTCACACGTGTTTGAGTTATTCTCTCAAAATGCTTGGATTGTTTGAATGAATGCTTGGAATTTCCGCCCTGGAGTGGCAATTCCAGGGCTGGAATCACCCAAATGATTCTAGCGTAGGACATGATGTCACAAAGTGCAACTGTGTGTTTTCTGTTTGAGAGAAAAACTGTGTTAAACATGTGTGTGAGTGAAACAAAAACACCTCTCTGGGTATATTTTTGGTTAGGAAAACAACATTCTAATATCAGTAAATAGTAGGGATGTAACAATAAACGAAATATCGTGATATCATATCGTCAAAGTTCTCACAATAATATCTTGGACCATCACAATATATCGAATTACAAGTCTCTTTGCTTAAATTAAGAGTTATGGTGCAGCAGTAGCGAAAAAAGACTGAAGGAACTACATAGACCATGATCCTTTGCTCCATTTCAGTGCAGACTACAAGAAGAAATAACAGTTCTAAGCACTTTTAAGTCTTAGTTCTTTGGATTAAGTCTTGTCAAGGAATTTTAAGAGGAAAAAAAGCGCATATTAACAGTTTTAGCTGTTTAACCTCAACAAAATATCGCAATAAATATCGTACCGTGAGATGTACATCATGAAAATATCGTACTGTGAGATTTGGATATTGTTACATCCCTAATCGTGAGCCTCCCCACCGTATCGTGAGCTTTCCCACGATATCGCAATAAATATCATACCGTAGCATTATCGTATCGTGAGAATTGGATATCGTTACACCCCTAAATCTAAAACAATGAGCTTTCTTTCGAATTTTTCAGACGTTTTACATTAAACTATATGAACTATTTACATGTGCGGACAAAGAGTCACTGTTATAGTTTGGTAACATCAAAAGAAACAGAAAATTCTTGTAGAGGTTCAAATGCCGTTGTCCAAAAGCTTTTTTATTAACAAAATAACATTTCATCAAAAAAAAGCCTTCATCAGATATTTTTCCTGTTTTGGCCCACAGCATAGTTTAGTAACAGAACTGTATTGCAATAATACATAAAGATATCAACAATGGTAAGGAAAATTAACGATACCAACAATGATAATGAAGCACATACCGGCAATGTTGAGGAAACAACAAGCATAAAGCCGCAGTACAGAGGCAGTATTGTTCTAAAATTAAGACCCACTCTCTATATTCTGTGACCAGATCATATGTTTATATAACAACTTGAATTTATGAATTTTTTGGCATTGCTTGAGAAGTGTATCCAGGCTGTTCCAAAGTTTTACACCACATACAGACACACAGAAACTAACAGTGCAGCAATAGCTAAAAAAAAAAGACAGAGGGAACTACATAGACCATGATCCTTTGCTCCATTTCAGTGCAGACTACAAGAAGAAATAACAGATCTAAGCACTTTTGAATCTTAGTTCTTTGGATTAAAGGTTGTATGGAGGATTTTTTTTTGTTTCAAACTGTCAGTGAAAGATTAAAATATCATTACAGAGACAGAGCAGCTTTGTAATTATGATGACCAAAAAAAAAAGAAAGAAAATCTATCAACTGTGGACGTGTTGAGGCCAGATAAACATCAGCCAATAGAAAACGAGGCTTCCTCATTTTCTATTGGCTGTTAGGTTGTCAATCAAACTCCCTAGTGTAACTGACTCGTCGGAGCGCGGGGATTACGTGGTTTACGCAGCGGTTCTTAGAGGCTTTTTCGAACTGTCGCTTCCTCGCATTTCGCACAAAGTTTGTCGCGACGGCGGACGAGAATCCACGACCGGTTCGCCGCAAAAGAAAGTCCGTTTTTGAGGTCGCTGAAAGAAGAAGAGAAGAGGAAAAGGAGCGAAGACAAACTGAGGTGATTCTTGGAGATCTCGTCCAGCGATGGCCCAACCGAAGCAGACGAAGGGTCTAAAACCTGACGCGTCGGTCGCTGAATTACTTCTAGACAGGTCACTTCAACAGTAATTCTGAATGCGCACAAGAACTGTCGCTGTATTTCTCTTCCCTTAAAAAAATCCTCTATACAACCTTTAAGTCTTGTCAAGGAATTTTAAGAGGAAAAAAGTGGCATATTAACATTTTTAGCTGTTTAGGATCCACAAAATATCGCAATAAATATCGATTTGGACATTGTTACATCCCTAATCGTGAGCCTCCCCACCGTATCGTGAGCTTTCCCATGACATCACAATAAATATCGTACCATGAGGTTCATACTGTGATGATATCATATCGTGAGACTCGGATATCGTTACATTCCTAGTAAATAGCCCCTTTAAGGTGGGAAATGTGTCTTGCCGAAGGACACAACAGCATTATGTGTTACAAGTAGCAAAGATCAACCTACGAGTATCTCATGCACTCATATAATACTACTACAAATCATCCATCAACTTTATTTACAGCGGGTTTGTTTAAATTGTTATGTCATTTTTACATAACTGAATTGGCTTGTGTAATATCTGAAATGTCTAACTTGACGTCAACATGTTAGTGTACGAAGGGCATACCATGTGCCTCCATCTCTTACTTATTAACTGAGAGACCATCTCAGGACAAGATGAAAGAAGCAAAGCCTGCAATAGTTTTATTTTCTCTACTTAGTATCGAAAAGTATTGAAAATCTGCTGCTAATTGATACTGAAACTTATTGAAATCCATTTGAGCAAGTATTGATACTAAAAAGTCACATTCACAAGACAGAAATGAACCTTTTCTGAATAATTTGAGCCGTTTCAGAACAAGTTCAAGAGCATATAGACTAGTACATGCCCATGGACCACTGAGGGATTACACAGATTTAAGGCCACAGGGAAATATACGTTCAGATTGCAGGGCTTAATGCTCAATTCAGATTTTTTGTGAAATACGATTTTTTTGCGAGGTCGTTCACATTTCCAATTAAATACGACCTGTTTGTGATCTCCAGTGTGAACTCTGACTCCTCTTTCGCTTCCATTCACTCCCATAGAGAGACGCAAACCTGCCAGAGCTGTACTGTCACGTTAAACCTTCTTTATCGTGGCGTATTATTTCTCCATTGAAAAATAATCCAAATGCAATTCCCGAACATGTTCCCATCAAGACCTGGTTTGAAGTAACAAACGTTGCTCTTTACTGCAGCGCATGAACGCAGCTCAACCACTTGATCTGTTCACTGTTCCAGACGCTCCTTATAACAGGTGCCATATTGCTATGTCGTGTAACAAATGAACATGGTCAAGCACAAAAATGCTGACAGTGACAATGACAGTGAAGACACGGACATTTGAAGCGAGAGGAGGACACGCCGCCCATGCTTCCAGATGTGGCCCCGCCTTTACCAGTTACGCTGATCGCCAGACAATCCGGACAGGGGAGTCAGCGCTGCGCTGCGCAGCATCCAGCGTCAATGGGTTAAGTGGTGCCCGAACTCGCACTTCCTGCGTTTTTGCGAACCGTCTAGTGTATTTTGATTCCTGACCTAGTCGCTGGAGAGAAATTAAATTGAGCGGAGGCACTGGCTAATTAACCCCCTCCATTTTGGCCTGAATACAGCGATAGCCCCAAATATTAATGAACTCGCTAACCTCACTTTCCCTCCATTGACGAGACTCTGAGCCTGACGTGTAGGTGGGATGAATGTGACCTGACTGTTCAGACTGAAGTCACATGTCAAAAGATCGGATATGTGTCGGTTTTAGGAGCACATGTCCAAGTGTCCTGGGTCGCATTTGAAAAAAATTGAATCTGTGTCGTTCAGACTGTCATTAAAAGATCAGATACTGAACGTAGCCTAAGAAAGAGTGTTTTTATTATCATTGTGGTATCAGAATCGGTATTGAGTATTGAATCTATTCCTTAGTTTAGAAATCGAGTTTTCTACCACTACTACTACTGCCTTCTCAAATATTTAATAATTTTGTGGTTTTATTTCCAGGTATGCCATAAAGATCCTGCTGAACCATGCATTCTTCCAGGAGGAAACAGGAGTTAGGGTGGAATTGGCCGAGGAGGACGATGGGGAAATGACCGCGATTAAACTGTGGCTGAGAATAGAAGACGCCAAAAAGCTAAAAGGTAATCTGTCTTAGTTGGTTAAAGTTGATTTTGTTTACATTTTTGACAGTTTTCAAACGTTTTGACTAGTAAAACGCAGTATTTATTCTTGAGTGTATATTCTTTTTTGCTGTATCTCCACCACAAGTATCGTGTATTTCTGTTATTTGCAGGAAAATACAAAGATAATGAAGCGATCGAGTTTTCGTTTGATCTCAGTAAAGATGTCGCAGAAGATGTGGCCCAAGAAATGGTACGACACTGTATTTGTTTCTTCTTATTTGTTCGTCTTAAATAGACCCTTTTAAGGAACTAGCACTTTAAGTCAGTCTCCTCAAATGGTACACAATATCTTGAACCATAGTTTTTACCCTTTGGAAGGTGAATTAAAAACAACAATTATATTCTGTTCTTAAATGAAGACTTACATAGACTTAGACAAGCTTTATTGTTCTACAAGGTAAATTATTTCTGACACAGTAGATCAGACACACACAAAAAATATAATAACACAGAGAAAATAAATAATAATTGTAATAATAAATTCAAAGTAATTACTGGTGTCAAATCAGGCATAATTATATAACAGGATACATACAAGTAAAAGTACAGTAAATAATAATAAAATAAAATAAAAATTGCATCTTTATCAGTTCTTTAACATTGGATTTTTGGTGGTATAACATAATTTGTGTGTTCCAGGTTGAGTCTGGCTACGTGGCAGAGGGAGACCATAAGACGATGGCCAAAGCGATCAAAGACCGAGTGTCTCTGATCCTGAGGAAGAGAGAGCAGAGGCAGCTGGTGAGAGAAGAGCAAGAGAAGAGGAAACTGCAGGGAGAACAACAACCGCCACAGACCCCCGGCCCAGAGACCTCCAAGCCTGCATACGCCCAGGTCTGAGCCAAAGATTTACTCTATGACTTTAAAGTTCTGTAGTTTAACGGGGTGGGAGTTTGAAATCCCAAATGGGTAAGTAAAATCTGCTTATTCCACTGGCAAAAAAGTCCATCAATTTACCGTATTTTCCGAGCTATTACACGCGCTCTTAAGCCTCTAACCCACAGGTGTCAAACATGCGGCCCGGGGGCCAGATCCGGCCCTCCAAGACCTTTAATCTGGCCCTCGGCTGATTTTCTACTAAAATATTTTAATTATATTTTCTATTAAAATATTGGTAATTTTCTGTGTCGCTTAGCATTAGCAGCGTCTCCAGCGTCTCTGTACGTGGCCCCTCCCACCAGAGCAGCACAAATGAAGACTTGTCTCTTTCCAAACGCTCTTAAAGGACGATCGTTTTGACTGTTGACCGTGACACCCTCATCAGAAAAATGTCCAAAAATGAGAAAAGTGGAGCCGAGTGCAGGATTTTACAACAAAAATTGACTTATTCCTGTTTACATACAAGTTCATGTTAAATCATTGTGTTGAAATTATATTTTTCTTAAAGTTTCAGGTTGTTCATAATATTATAATATTTTGTAAAAGAAAGAGTTCATCAATTTAAAAAGATTTCTGTAATAGATTTGTGTTTCTCTGCACAAATATTTGAACTTATGGTTATTTTTGGGGTTTATATGACATGAGTTTTCTGATCCGGCCCCTTTGGGATCAAAGTAGGTTGGATACGGCCCCCGGACCAAAATGAGTTTGACACCCCTGGTCTAACCCCATTAAAAAACGACCGCGCAGCCCACAGTCCAGAGCGCTTCAGACACGAATCCACTCGGACGTCCCAGCACGACTTCAGTAAACTATAAAGCCGCACCACCTGCAAAACACACAAACACACACGGAGCAGACAGCGCAGCGAAAAACAGACTTAACCTTAACCTGCAGATAGAGGACACATACACATTCTTCTCTCTGTATGAACAGACCACCATGTCCCATGTGAACAACCTCCAGAGTTCACTCACTGAGCTGCAGAGGTTGCACTAGCACTAGTTCATGATTATTGTGCAGGTGCTGGGGTTTAGATAGTGACGCTTCAGTTCAGAGAGAGGCATTTATGAGCCTGTTTACACGAGAACGCGGGTAAAAATGACAAAATATTTTATTGGAAGTGCCTTTCGTTTAGACGGTGATGGCGTTTTTGGTGCTTAAAAATGCAAAAATCTGAAACCACCCTCCAGAGTGGGGAAAAGTTGAATATGCTCCGCCGTAGTGTTTCCGTCTACACTGCCCAAGACGCAAAACTCTGGTCAGATCTGCTCATGTCGTCTACACATTTATGTCACGTACATACAGTACACAAAAACCTGGCATGTAAACACAATCAAATTCTACACACTTTTATGTCACTGTATGCACGCAGAGTTCCTCCCGAAAACTCTCGTCTAAACGCAGAATAAAAAGTGAATACGCAACACCACTTTTGCGTCTTCTGTTCAGACCGTCATCATATAAACGTCGCCTTAGGTTTAAACCAACTGGATTTCAGCGCTGAACCTGGCGACCCAAATGAGAGACTCATGTGAGGCTCATTCAACTTTCTGATTGGATAATCGTCTTGACATTTAAAACATGGCCACTGTGCCCAGTGAAAACAACTTGGCCATTGTGTCTAATGTGTTTGTAATGAATAAATCAGCAGTACAGTTGTTGTCGGTAACAGTGACTGTATATTTGATCTGAACACGTCTACGTTGTAACATGTACCTTGTATTTGGTGTTTGACATAAAATCAGGGTAACACTTTATAATAACTACACCTTATTTAGCCTTAATAAAGCATGAACAAAAACTTAATTAATAGTGATTCACACTTAGTAACTACTTAATTACTACCTGAATTAGCACTTAACTTGCGCTTAATTCGCCTGTGCTATAAAAAGTTACTCATAACTACTTCTTACTTATTTACTCATGAACTAACCATTTGTGTGTGCATTTGTAAATGTGTATTTAAGTACTTATTTGAGCATTTATTAATGATTAGTAAGCCACGAGAGAATGATTTACTAGTAATGCATTATTGTTTCTCTGGAATTTGACCAACCTTAACAAATGCTTAATAAAATTTTAGTTTAGTTTAGTAAACAGTTTAGTAAGTAGTTAATAAACAAAATTAGTCTTCACTTTAGAAAAGCTCTCAAAAAGACTTAACTAACAGAGAACAGCTGCCTGAATTATCATTGCATTACATTATTAGTAAATCATTCTCTCATGGCTTACTAATCATTAATAAATGCTCAAATTTGTACTTAAATATGCATTTGTAAACATGCAAATGGATAGTTGATGAGTAAATAAGTAAGAAATACTTATGAGTAACTGTTTACAGCACAGGCAAATTAAGAGCAAGTGCTAATTCAGGTTGTAATTAAGTAGTTACTAAGCGTGAATCATTATTAATTAAAGGTTGTATAGAGGATTTTCCAAGGAACGAGAAATCCAGCGACTGTTTGTCCTTTTTCAAATGTTGCGCATGCGTGAAACCACCCCCCCTCCCCTACAGCTCCTACGTAGAAACGCCTCCTCCCTCCTCCTCCTTACGCCAGAAACAGGTTTGTTTACAGCCGGTGCTGCACATGACTTGTAAACAACTAACTACAGTGTTGGTTAGGCAAGACAGAGAAGTGAGGAGCGGGGGAGGGGTGTGCGGACATTTCGTTCGCGGACGAGAAGTGAGGAGCAGGGAGAAGAGCGGAGCAGGGAGAGGAGAGGAGAGAGGAGAGGGAGCGGTGCGCGGAGATTCCGTGCCCGGAGAAGTGAGGAGCAGGGGGAAGAGTGGATCGGGCAGCGGGGAGAGGAGCAGGAAAGGGGTGCAGAGAAGGTTGCGCGGAGATTCCGTGCGAATGAACTAGCTACAACACGCAGCAGCAAGCGGACTCTTTCTTTGCCTTGAAAATTAAGTTTTCAGACATAGGATATCGCTTTCGTGTCCTGAAAAACGTTTGTCTCGCTCTTGGAAATAAAGTACGTTTTCATAATAAGCAGAAGTTTCCTGTCCAGGAGTAATTTGTGGACCAGTGCGTCAGTCTTTAGACCCTGCGTCTGCTTCAGTCGCGCCATCGCTGGAATGAATCTTCAAGAATCACCTTAGTTTGGCTTCGCTGCTTTTCCCCTTGTCTTCTTCTTTCAGCGACCTCAAAAACGGACTTTCTTTTGCGGCGAACTGCTCCTGGATTCTTGTCGCCATTGCAACAAACTTTGTGCGAACTGCGAGGAAGATATAGGTCAAAAAAAGAACTGTTGCGTTGGTGGAGTAAACAGCGTCTGTGCGTCTTGCGTCTGTGGACTGCGTGACAGTCGTACGTAAACCACGTACCGGCGGCGCAGGCAAGTCAGTTACGCTAGAAACGTAGGGAGTTTGATTGACAGCCTGTCAGCTCACAGATAACGAGGCAGTGTCGTTATCTATTGGCAAATGTTTAGCCCCACCACGTCCAGAGTTGATGAATTTTTATTCTCTTTTTTTTGGTCATCATAATTACAAGGCTACTGCATCTCTATAATCTATCATTGACAATTTGAAACAAAAAAAATCCTCCATACAACCTTTAAGTCTTTGTTCATGCTTTATTAAGGCTAAATAAGGTGTAGTTATTATAAAGTGTTACCAAAATGAGTCTTACAAACAGTTCCTTTAACACTGCTTTGAAACTTAAAATACAAGAAGTGATTTGTTGACGTGGTAATAATTTGTGTATTTCTTTCTTTCTTTGCTTGTCCGCAGCCTGAGACAGAAGACCCCGAGGTGGAGCAGCAGCAGATTTATTATCAGCAGTCTCTGATCTCACACACATGTAAGAGCTGCTCTAAATACACAAACACACACACACGCACTTATATTTAACAGATATTTCTATTGGGGTTGAAATGTGAATTATGTTTGATCAAGAACAACAGTTAAAAGAAGATTTAAATAGCCCAGACGTGTTGTGTATTAGATAAACACTAAATCACTACATTAACCTATTAAAGTCACTAGGAGGAGCATGTTCTGTTTGTTCTGATTTGTCTAATCTGATTATAGCGCACAAATCTAATTTGTACTCGAAATGACATTGGAGTTTTTTCTTTTTTTATTTGTTATTCATCCAAGTTTGATCTTCTGTTGAACTAAAAATGATGAACTGAGAAAGATTTATATAGACTCAGATCAGATGCTTTTATGGCAAATACAACAGTTTAAAACAAGCAAAAAAATAAAGCAAGTTTCTCCAAAAATTAAGCCTTGTCTTTAAAGCAGCACTATGTAACTTTTTCGTGACGGGTCTGCTACCTGTTTACCTCCATGGAGATGTTATGGCTTTGCGTGGAATGTCCCTCAGTGTGGCATTAATAAACCGATTTATGGGCTCGCAACGTTTTGAGGAAATTCAGAAGACGTAATGTTTTTATTTACATTTTTTTGTCACCATGGCAACGTTCCTAATATTCATCATTCTGGACCCATGGATGAGCATGCTCCCAGCTAAGTTACAAGTCAAATCTGTGGAGAGGCCAGTCCATTCGTAGTAACAATGCGTTATTGTTTGGAAAGAAAGTCACTTGTAATTGAATAAATGCGAGATCAGCTTAACGTCGCACAGTGAAACTACGACGCAGGGAACTTGGACACAAATGCAACTGTCGGGGAATTTACCCTAAGACATCAAATTACATTAAATAAGACACACCAAAACGAGACGGCTTAGTATTTACTTGCGCAAGGAGAGAGCTGCCTGAACACTGTCTGACCCTCCTCTGTCAGCTACTCCCCAACAGCAGGTTTTATTGCAGTCATTTCACAGATAACAGTACAGTACATTATGTTATATCTAGGGGTGTCAAATTATCGCGTTAATTGCGATTAATTAATTACAGTCATATTTAGCGCGTTATGTTTTTTAATCGCATTAATCTCATTTTTAATCTCTAACTTTACTGTTTCTGTATGTGAGTTGCTTTATTATAAATCTGTTTTTATGTGTTGCTGGGACAACAACACACACAAAAAACACATTTATACATTTTTTTATTTCGGTAATTTCACTCATTGCCCGAAACCCACACAAAACGCGATGAGACTTGGGCTCAACAGCCAATTTGGAGAGATTTGTTAAACAATAAATGACTTTATAAAGTCACTTTTTTTGTTCTATATCAGTCTTTTGATCTGCCACAATAATGTAATAATGAATTTAAATGAAAATACCTCAAATTGAAGCTTTTCTCAGCAATTTTTAGATGAGATTAAAATGAGATTAATTAGATTAATTAATTACAGATCATAATTAATTAATCTCTCAATTTTTTTAATCGCATGACAGCACTAGTTATATCACGCAATGGTTACAATGATCACACGCTAACAATCTTTAGGCTAACCCACTCCGCCATTTCACACTTGATTACAGGCTCCAGGTGATAAACAATTTGGTCAGTTTTCTCCCAAAAACTTATGCTAACCACATGAGGGGAAAACCCTTCGCTGTCTGCTCATGGGCGACTCAGTAGATTAGATTAATGAGTCAGGAGTTCTTGAACTAGGACATATGATATACATATGGAAAAACCCAAAAACGCAATTGTTGATAACTTTAGTCACACACACAAATGATTATGATTTTAAATGATTCATAATATTTAAAATAACACAGAAATTCTTTCACAGCAACACAAACCTACAAGCAAACAAAGTCTTAGTTCAATACACGCATCAAGAATCTGGGACTTCCGGTCATCGGGCAATGCATACTGGGAAGGATTTTCCGAAAAAGTGAGCATCAAACAGCCATGTTTGTTTTCACATTGGGATGCATCTACTGACAAAGTCGATCTTTCAAACATCGCTTTTGTTTCTGGTTCTGATATTGTCATATTTTAGTTTTGGGATTCGGACATCGTAATTGTGTGGTTGTTGGATCCTAACAGCGGAAGACGGTTTCGAGAAATGTGTTTGCGAACTCCATAAATGCAAAAGGGAATCAGATGTGTGTGACTGCAAACCTCCGTTCGAACTGTTTCCCTTCTCGACAGAATTGAAAAGTAGTGAAAGGTGAAGGCGATGGGCAGGATTGATCCACGGGAAGGATGAAAAAGGAAACCATTGACTGCCTAAATCATCCCGAGTTTGCAGAGAACATTTTGTATGTGAAGCCATCAAAGTAAAATCCCGATCCTTCACTCAGCCTTGGTTACGAATTTAAAAAGTCAACGCCAAAGCGAAAGGCACCAGCTGTTCGCCAAGAAACACCTTCCACTGCAAAGAGACCAAGACGTGATGTTGCTGTAAAACAACAAGAAAGTGCAGCTCAGTCTGTTTGTCTTCTGCACCTCTCACTTAACAAACGGGATTTTGCTTTGATTGCTCTCCACATACAAAATGTTCACCGCAAAATCTGGATGATTTAGGCAGTCAAATGGTTTCCTTTTTCGTCTTTCCCATGGATCAATCCTGCCCATCGCCTTCACCTTTCACTATTTTTCAATTCCGTTGGGAAGAGAAACAGTTTGAACGGAGGTTTGCAGTCACACACATCTGATTCCCTTTTGCATTTATGGAGTTCGCAAACACATTTCTCGAGCCGTTTTCCGCTGTTAGGATCCAACAACCACACAATTACGATGTCCGAATCCCAAAAATAAAATATGACAATATCAGAACCAGAAACAAAAGCGATATGGTTCAAAAGACTTGAAAAGATCGACTTTGTCAATAGATGCATCCCACCCGGAAAACAAACATGGCGGTTTGATGCTCACTTTTTCGGAAAATCCTTCCCAGTATGTATTGCGCAATGACCAGAAGTCTGAGATTCTTGATGTGTGTTTAACAGAAAGTGTCCTATAACAGGTAATGTTTAATATGGCAAATCAGACTGAAAATACAACAAAGGAATATATGATTCTCAAATGTGAAAGAAAATATCTTCCAAAACTGGGAAATACGTAGAAAATAAGTAGAAAATGGGCTGGGAATAAACTCAGAAACAGGAACTGCAAACTGGGAATAAAGCAGAATTGCACTGAATGCAAACAGCAGGGTTCAGATTCAGAGTTTCAGGTGAGGCTTGAGTGTGTGTCTTGACAGATCAACAATCTAGCAAAGACTGAATGAACAGGGGCAGTATTTATCGACTTCCCTGGGATGATTAAGGAATGAGTGGCAGCTGTAAGAAAAGGAGGCAGGCAGCAAAAGGAGAACTGGAACAGGCTGGTAAACAGCGCTGGACTGGGGAAAACTTGTAAACAAAAGGCAGAACTGTGACAGAAACATTCTTGGCAAAACAATAACATCTCCATAGGGTCTTTCCACGCCAGATCTTCAAATGCCCCCGCTCGACCGTCTCAGATTTGACTGAAAAAAATTGTAGGAGGTTCACACACACACACAGAGCTTCTGAAAGTGCCTTCATTAATGCAAACACCACATTTAAAAAAAAAAAAATGTGAAAATAAGGCAGAACACCGTCACAAATTTTAGATATATTAAAAAGCGACATCTAGTCTTTCTAAAACCATTTTATGTTGGTGGGTGCTATCATTTTTTTGGTATAACACGGTAAAGATGGCACCAAATTATATATTTTTTTCCATTTTAACACTTGATATCTTCTAGAGCAAGGGTGTCAAATTTACAGAGGGCCAAAATTAAAAACTGGGACTTAGTCGTGGGCCAAACTAAATATTTGTTGAAAAATTTCAACCACATCTGCATGTTTTCTCTTCTTTCGAGATATGTAATGTTAAACCTTTTCTTATTAAAATAAATATTTAATAATAGTTTTGCTTAAACAGTGAATCCAGAACAAGCATAATATAAAATAATAACAACATTTTAGATAAATAATGTCTCTATAGTTTATCTGTAGACAGCAGGCAGCTCTAATACATGTTTAATGTGATCTCGTGGGGCAAATTTGGGCCCCGCGCCTGAGTTTGACATGTCTGCTCTCGAGCGTTCATCACAGAGGGTCAGTTTTAAAATACAAAGTCCAGGTGTATGTAAGGTTTATGTTCAATATCAAACCTCTGTCTTTGAAATCGCACTTTCCACAGTCCTTCAAAGACGCCCTCAGATTTGAAGAGGAGAATTTTCGAGCAAATTCAAGCCCCCAGAAATCTGTGATAATCCAAAGCACACGTGTAAAAGTCCAGATTCTACAAGTACATTTGTCAAATATTAACCCTTGAAAATTTGAAGGATTGACTTTAAATAGTTTTTTAGATACAACAATCTGAAAACTCTGCTCAAAACAGGTCAGGGGGGAGTTGACAAAATATTTTTAAGGACGAATCTATAAGGAGTTGGGAGCAAAAATTTAGGACTTTTCTTATTGGAAAGTGTGTGAACCTCCTAGAATTTTTTCAGTCAAATCTGAGACGGTTGAGATTCAGCGTGGAATGTCCCCATAGCGACAAACAACCAAAAAAAAGTTACATAATGCACCTTTAACTAAATCCTAACGTCTTTCGTCCGTCTCTCCTCACACCCACAGCCGATATCGTGGCGGACAGCGGACAGGGCTCCTCCGTCTTCTCCGACTCCCCCCTGGCGGGACCCCTGACCATGTCCTACAACTGCCCCCCCTCTGCCCAACCCCCCTACCCCCCCACCCCGTCCGCCGCCCCGCAGCAGCACCCGGGATACCCCCAGCCCTCCCAGCCGATGGTGAGTACCTCCCCCGACCGCCTCAGCTCTGTCAGACCCGTGCAACATTAAGCACGCCTCTGTTACATTTGCACGCTCTTGGGGTGAGTTTTTGGGCTTCGGCGTGTCTCCGAGAAGTGCAGATCGTCACAGAAGTGTTTGAAATCGAAGTCTGTGAAGTTTGCCCCGCCCCCCGTCTGCAGTGAGAGAGTGCAGTGCGCAGTTTGCAGTGTGTAGAGTGTATAAAGTTACTGTCAGATTTGCATGCTAACGGATATCGGATATGATGGCCCTTAACTTTCAGAGGACCAAACCAAAAACAGGTATTACTTTTTGTACCATATACCGTAGATAAATTAGTATTTTGGGGGATTTACTGTCCTTCAGTTTCCAATTTTCACAAGTGTAGATATAAAGTTACAGTAGATTTGCATTTTAATTGACAAAAGATATGATTCAGACGACCATAACAAAACCAGGTATCACTTTTTGTTTGATATACTGTAGATAAACGTGTATTGTTTGGTATTTATTGGCGACCTTAAAGTACAGCGAGCAGTTTGAAGCATTCACAAGTATATATATTTATAAAGTTACCGTAGATTTGCGTGATAATTGGCATAAGATGTGATTGTGTGTAACAGGCAGAGGTGGGGACTTGAGTCATTATTTTTGGGACTTGAGACTTGATAAAATGGACGAAGACTTGGGACTTGACTTGGACTTGAAGGTCAGTGACTTGGGACTAGACTTGGACTTAAAACCTGTGACTTGAGAAGCACTTTTAAAGCTGAATTATTTCTATTCTGACCGTAATGATTCACACTAAGATCTTGTCAAGACATTTAAAAAGGAAAAATGTACCTTTCTACAACTCTTATATACTCTATAAATACTCATGCATAAAGATACTATGATTTTATAAGTACAATTTAGTTTAAAACTCAAATAAATTGCAAAAATCTAAGCTATATTTGGGACTTTGGTTTAAAGACTTGAAATGACTTGAAGCTCAAAGCAGACGACTTGGACTTGACTTGGACTTATGGGTTAGTGACTCGAGACTCGACTTGGACTTGCCTGTGTTTGACTTGGGACTTGACTCGGACTTGAGGTCAAAGACTTGAGACTTACTTGAGACTTGCAAAAACAACGACTTGGTCCCACCTCTGGTAACAGGTAATAGTTTCTGTACCATTTCAATTCAAGAACAGAGAATCTGTAGAATAATAAAAGTGAATTTTGTACCATTTATACAACAGCTAAATTAGAAATAGTTTCAAATTTAAGAAGTTTCAGCATTTTTGACAGATTTTTATTGATGGAGAGTGAGGCTAGTGAACAGTGTGTTGACAGTTTAATTATTCCACTATAGTGAGATTTTGTGATTTCATAATGTGATTTCCTTAATTTTTACATTTGTATTTTGGTGTTTTACTTTGTGTGTTATAATTTTAATAATTGTGTTAATTCATTAGTTATTTTCTTAAAGAGTCATTAGTTGCACTTCATGTTTTACTTCACTGCAAAAATTGAATATCTACATGATTTAAAATGACTCGTATTTCGAAGATTAATATTGTTTATTTAAAAAGTGTTGACCAGTTTAGATTTATTTACAAATACGATTGTTAATTTTACTTATTTATTTAATTTCAAATAACAATGTAAGTGCAATATTTTTAGCGCTTTGACTACATTTATACATTTTAAAACAAGTTCAAATAATAATAGTCAAATAATGCAGAGTAAATTAGGCAAACTTAACCTTATTAATGAAGGAAAATATAATTAATGAAAAATATTCTGTAAGTAAATTGTGTGGATATACATTTTTTGCAGTAAATCAGATTATTTTTTGAACTTTATTTTTCATTTTCAAAGCAATATGTCGTGTTTTATTATGTTTAAGCCTATTTCCATTGTTTATGTTTTACCCTGTACTCAATTCTTCTTTTTATGTATTAATAATTTGACCCTTTTAGTCCATTATTTACCCTTTTTTGTTGTTTACGTTGTTGTTTAGTTTTCTGCTTTCTGTTTTCATGACTTCTCTCCCCCCCAGTCGGCCGTGTTGCGTCGCCGTAGGTGCCGTAGCATGTCCGTGTGCGTCCCCCCTTCGTCCTACTCCCTCAACCACTCCCCCTCCTCCGCCCTGGCCACGCCCCCTCCTCGGAAGCCCTCCACCCCCCCTCCAGACCTGTCCCGCTCCTCCTCGGCCGTCTCCCCTGCCCCCCCGTCGCGCGTGCCCCCGTCGGCCGAGCGGGGCAGTTTCGCGGGGCGCCTCTCCAAAGCGCTGGAGGAGGTGCTGCCCATGCACTCGGCCTCGCCTCAGCCCCGGGCCAGGCAGAGGAGAGCCAGCCTGCCCGCCCTCTTCTCCACCCCCGTACGTCCTCCACACTCAGACTAAAACGAAAGAGTGAACGTGTGGAAAAAGATGCTGGTCACGTGTTTAAAACGGAGCTCAACAGTGCGTCACCTAAACTTTGAATCTCTTTTGAATTTTCTTAAAGGTTGTATAGAGGATTTTTTCAAAGGAAAAAGAAATACAGCAACAGTCCTTTTTCAAACGTGGTGCATGCGTGACACCACCTTCCTCTTCCACAGCTCTCTTAGTAGAAACATCTCCTCCCGCGTCTTTACTCTAGAAATCACATTTGTTTACAGCAGGTGCGTGTTCAGAATTACTGCTGAAGTGACCCGTCTAGAAATAATTTAGCGACCGACGCGTCAGTTTTTAGGCCCTTTGTCTGCTTCATTCGCGCAATCGCTGGAAGAGATCTCAAAGAATCACGTGTTTGGCTTTGCTCCTTTTTTCCTTCTCTTCTTTCAGCGACCTCAAAAAGGGACTTTCGTTTGTGGCGAACTGGTCGTGGATTTTCGTCCACCATCTCAACAAACTTTGTGCGAACTGCGAGGAAACTACATTTTAAAAAAGCCTCTAAGAACCACTGCATAAACCACATAGTCCCTGCGCGTCAGTTACACTAGAAAGGTAGGGAGTTTGATTGACAACCTAACAGCCAATAGAAAATGAGGTAGCCTTGTTATCTATTGGCTGATGTTTATCTGCCCTCATTATGTCCACAGATGACAGATTTTCATTCTTTTTTCTTTAATCAACATAATTCCAAGGCTGCTGCATTTCTGTAAGGGTATTTTAAACTTTCATTGACAATTTGAAACAAAAAAAAAATCCTCCATACAACCTTTAATAGTTTGGGCTGCAACTAATGATTATTTTAGTGATCGATGAAGTAACGGTAAGTAACAGTGACTCAGTACATGGGTCATGACAGGAAGAGACCGAGCTGAAACAAAAGGTACCAAACGCATGCACAACAAGTTTGCATTCACAACTCTACTCACTGTATATATAAATAAACAAAATATAAAATAAAACAAACAAAACTCAATGCACAATTCATCAACTCCAGAGCTCCATATTTTCCAAAACACAACGGTCTATACTCTTTTTAAAAGGTTTCTACAGTGTCGAACTGTTTAAAGTCATTGCGCAGAATATTTTACAAACCAAAATCTCTACCAGAAATTTATTTCTTCCTCGTTTTTATTTCATTTAATTTAATATAATTTTTTATTTTTTTTATTTTCCCCTGTTTATGGTTGTGCAAACTAATAATAATGTTAACAAAGGGACAAAAGTTTATCGTATATGATCGTGCGAAACAAACAACAATGAGAATGAAAGAATGTAAGGATTTTTTGTTTTTCGTTTATGGCCGTACACACTAATAATAATGTTAATAAAGGCGTAAAAGTTCGAGTTGGCTCAGTATTATTAATATAAATTTTTTATGTACAGAGAACTTTTCAAGGTTTACAAAGTTCTGTACAGAGAACAATGACATAAAAAGCTAAAAAACTGCACGCAGGAAGCACACAAAAACACACAATAAAGCAGATAGTAGTTAGAGCAGTAGGGATCTAACAATAAACAAATATTGTGATATCTCATGAATCGTCGCATGTTGAGGGACTATTTTCTCATACATCCGCTGTTGCCAAACTTTCTATCAGGAAATTCAACTCGCTGCTGCTGCTCAGACATAAATCCTTCAAATTCAAGGTTAGTTTTATTTCAAACATTATTTTATCGACGCAGACATTCACATGGACAGTCTGGTGTAATAATAGATTTTCTTCGGGTGTTTTGTGGAGTGGGTAAGACTGTTTTTAGTGGCAGGAGAACTATGACCATTGACATGCACTAGTCTAACACCAGTGACCTCTGCAAATACAAGGACTGGATGGAATATTTTAAAAAATGTCTCCACACGTCTCCAACACTCTGGCTCACGAGGAAATGAGCTCCTATGTCCAAAATTCTGGACTGTCCCTTTAATATGATGTGTTGAATGCTAAAATTCAATATCTCATCTTATATTCTGCAAATAAATAGTATGTAATAGTACAAATGACAATAAGTGACTATTATATACATTATTACATTGATAGAATTGTCACTGCAGCCCATGTCACAAGTTACAAGTGAACACGCTGAGGTTTGAAAGCACTGTTGATCTCTATATACAAAATAAAGCAATCCAATTTGCTTTAGATAGTTTTAGTTTTTCTGCACAAACCAAAATAAACTCTGCTTTTTCTACATTTAGTGACCAGCATCAGACAAATATAGTGTATGTACCAAGATACACTAGTTATTTGTTGCTTAGGGCTCACTGTTATTTAACTTAACGCTGAACAGTGGAGCTTTAAAATACTGCCCCCTATATCTGTCTTTCCTTACCCTCCCTAATGTGTGTCCTGCAGATCTTGTTTGTAATTCTGTACTTTTATTTAACCACCTTTCTGTTCTAAATGAAACAGGCGCCTCTTGATAATTAAATGAGTTTCACCGCTTTAAGTAGAACATGTTTACTTTGGCTTTGCTCTGTCCCTCTGGTATGGGCCTGTGCTCTGGATCTGTGTCTGTTTCTGATTCTTAAACTGTCATCACAGCAGCACACTATGCCTCACCCGTACAGCGGAGGACCAGCAGGAGGCGCTGTGGGGCTGCCTGACCCCCCCGCCATGTTCTTCCCCCCCATCCCCGAGCGCCCGGTCTCCTTCTCCCCTCCTCCCACCGGCCCACCCAAAGGATACAACAACCAGCGCCGCAAGAGCACGTCCATCCTGGAGGCCCACACCAGGCACTTCCAGCCCACGTACCCCCGCTACGGCAGCAGCCTGCACCCCTTCTCTGGGATGGAGGGGGTGGAGCCCTCCCTCTACATGGTCAACCCCAGTTTTGCGGCAGCGGCTCAGAGACTGGGCGTGGGCGAGCCTCTGCACCTGCCAGCGCAGTCTGAGGGTCTGTATGGGATGAGAGACATGAGAGCAGAGCACGAGGAGGCTGTGAGGAGGCTGAGTCTGAACCAGGCGGCGCTACTGGACCACTACGAGGCCCTGGCATATGGAGGGTACCCGCTGGGTGCCCACCCGCTCGGGCTGAGCTTCCACCAGCAGAGACAGGCCGCTGCTGCTGCTGCCAGTTTAGGCTACGACCCTGTGCCCCCACAGCCCGGCTTCTTACACGCCCACCTCATGCAGAGGATGAGTGCACACAGCCCCATCCCTCCTCAGATGTCCTCTATGGGAGCGACCACAGGGGGCGCTGTGCCCTCCTCCTCTGAGGCCTGTTACCCTCCTGCCTCTGGGCCCCTGGCAGAACCCACCCCCTCCTCCTCCTCTGTCTTTGACTTTCATGTTGCTGCGGCGGCGGCAGCAGCAGCAGGAGACCCTCTGTTAGCGTCTCGTTTGTACAGAGGCAGACGCAGCTCCATGGACCTGCCTCTAGAGGGCGACAGCGCAGGCTCCGGGGGCTCAGGGTCGTACAGCCGCCTGCAGCCGGTCACAGAAGAACTGTACTCTTATATGAGCCCGGAGCTCCCTCTGCCCCCGGGCAGCCTGCTCCTGCACCACACCGGGGTCACAGTGAAGGACCACAGCCCTGAACCGTCCAGTGACTCTCTCACCTCCTCCGACGCGGGAGAATTCCAGTCTCCCCCTCCCCAGACGCTTCCTGCGTTTGACCCTTCGTCCGCTCAGTCCATCCCTCAGTCCTCGGCCTCGTACGACTCCGCTCCTCAGATGCCCATAGACCCCCAGGCTCATCCCCCCTCCATGCAGAGCTTCCTCCCCCCCACCCCCGCCCCCGAGGCTCGCCCACAGGGTGCCTCCTGCTCTCAGCTGGAGTCCCTGATGCAGAGCACCTGGGCACGGCACGGAGGCGTGGTGCCCGCTCCGCCTGATATGAGCTACCACCAGTCTGTGCTGGCCATGCAGGCCCATGCCCCCATGGTACTGGTATAGATCCTCCAGACTCACACACACCCTGGGTCAGAGACACGTTAAGATCAACAGAAAATCAGACTGTCTGCCACATTCTGACAGTACCTCTGGTATCGTCAGAAAGTTGCAGTCGACACCTGTAAAATAATGGTCATAAAAGAAGTAAAATTATTTCAAACTGAATGTATTTTGACCCAGGGTGATGCAGTATTTACTGTAATATGTACCCCTGTGTACTGTACCAACCCAGGACCCCAGCAGCTTCTTGTGATTTTTAACACTCCCAAACCTCATTGTTTAATAGTGTAGGTTTCAACGACTGCTTTTCAACAAATAACAAACCTTAAACATTCTCTATGAGTGTTTACATTAAAGTAAAAGAGATACTTCTTCGTCTCATTGTGGCAGTCTTTGAGACCAGCTCTCGATGTTATAATTTCTGTACGCAAACTGTCCTAAGCCCCGACCTAGGCCTTAACTTTTTGTTTCAAATATTTTGTGTAAGTAAAGTTTTGTTTGTATGTTCATATACAGCTGTGTATATGAGCCGTGTGTTTGTGCAGGTATACTGTGTGCAGTATACTGGACCTGTCACTCATTCAAATACAAAGCCTCTGGAGTCTCAGTATTAGGAGGGAAAACAAACTTTAAAATGTGAACATTAGGGAAAAAACTAACAAAAAACAAAGTAAAAGTTCTTGACCGTGAGACTTTGCAGATTTGAATGGCCAAACACAAAAACATACAACAAAAATAAAGGGGACTTGGACAATTTTCAAAGTGTAACCATGCTGATTAAATGTGTATTTAATTTAATGTATTTCTGCTATTTTTGTAATGTTTCTTTTGAGATTAGTTCTTTATTTTACGTTTAAGTTCTGTAGAGCCAAAGCTTCAAAGATCTAATATAACCTTTTCTCCTGTGTGACTTTGAAGCCTTCATTAGTTTGTGTCGTTTGTGCGTTTGTGTGTTTGTTTCGTGTATGAAGTTTTGTTTTAATATTAGTTACACTTGTTTAAATGTATTTTATTATTTAGCAAGTGCCTTTTTACTTTGACAGTAGCATTTATAATTTAAACAACGTCAGCTGTTACCTTCTTATTTAAACATGAAAATCCTAAATGAGTTTGACGTGCATGAAACCCCCAGCACTGACCCTGAGCCTAACCCGCCTCTGTGTGTGTGTGTGTGTGTGTGTGTGTGTGTGTGTGTATGCATACTGTACTATGCATATGTCGTCCTTGATACATATTTTACATATATTTGCATGTGTGCATTTACAAGAAGATCAAAATATTATTATTGGGTAACACTTTATAATGACTACAGTATTTACAGCCTTAAAACACAAAGAGAAGGACTTAATTCATAATGAACAAATAAGATTCAGGCTTAATTAAAGTGTAAAATGTTGTTATTTTATATTCTGCTTGTTCTGGATTCAGTGTTTAAGCAAAATTATTATTACACATTTATTTTAATAAGAAAAGGTTTAACATTACATATTTCGAAAGAAGAGAAAACCTGCAGATGTTGTTGAAATTTTTCAATAAATATTTAGTTTGGCCCACGACTTTTGGCCCTTTGTGAATTTGAGTTTGACACCCGTGCTTAAGAGCGTTCTCCATGGAAATAGATAGATTTTACAGCATATTGGTTCAAGATTATTGCCAAATGAACTGCATTTCCATGAAAACAAACAGGAGACGATCCTCCTCCAGGTCAAACAACAGTCAGGTTTGTGGAGAAGCAAGCCCACAAGGATGACGCAAGGATGCTGTTTTTGTTTTTTTTTTATTTTTGTTTTGTTTTGTTTGTTTGTTTTTCAATGCAGTAAAAACATGCTTTTATTTTCCCAATTTTTTATTAATTTACGTATTTAACTATTTATTTTGCACGTATAACATAACAATAAAAAAAACATTAGATAAAAAAGTAGGTTCCAGAAGATGCAAAAACCCCCAAAAGGGAGAATATTAAAGCCTCCACCTTCTGAATACATTAAAAATTTAACATTATCACTGTGCATAAAAAATAAAAATAAATAAAATAAATACATTTGGATTAAATTCATTTAATTCAAACATGGATTAAAACACAATGAAACATCCACAACTGAATGATTATCAAACATCATGAAAAATTTACTCAAACTCTTTTCAAACTACGCCAGATGTGAAAACTGACTCCAGAATTTCCCGGCAAAACTGAGCTCTTGATGTGACACATTTTGGAACATGAAATTTACGATTTTGACGAGTTTTGAAGTAAAATGTGAAATATTTGGGCATCGTTGTTGAATTGTAAAGAATTTTATACACATTGTGGTTTTAAGTTTAGTTTAGTTCAGTTGTTATTAAGCCTGAATCAGTCTTTATAAACTATTTGTTCATTATGATTTAGGTTTTTGTTCGTGCTTTATTAAGTGTTACCTTATTGTTAAATAAGTTTAGTTGTATTTGCACCCATGATTCATGTGCACCACTTCCATATTGAACATAAACTAATTATATTTTCTCTCTCTCTTTCTCTTTCTCTGTCTCTCTTCACGTCACTTGTCTTTCTTTCTTCTTTGTGTTTTTTTAAGCAGCAGGTTCAGACTCCGACTCCACACACCTCCGGACCCCCACTGGGGACTTCTCAACAGGTAAGACTGGGCAATTAATGGTGCACTATGAAACTTTTTGGTTCAGGGCGGCCTGGTTGTTTCTCTGGAGATGCCATTGCTCTGCCTGAAATGTTCCACAGTGTGACTTTAAACAGCTCTACCCATTTATTCAATTACAGGAGGTTTTATAGCTCAAAAATACCTAGAAAAGCAGATATTCTGACTGTGACTTGGTCTGGTTTGGTCTCCGTGAAGACAAAAACATTTAATACCACACTGCAGTGGCTTTCAGTAGGTGAGGCCCGACTCCCCTGGGAGGCGCCAAAGAGCCACTGGGGGGGGGGCGCGACACACACGGACTAAACCAGGACTGATCCCAGGACTGAACCAGGTCTGAACTAGAACTAAAACGGGACTAAAACAGAACTGAACCAGGACTGAGTGTCGGGATGGTCCCAGAGCTGTGCCCGCGTAGACCGTCAGGTGACCGCAGGCGAATGTACTAGTTCAGAGCTCCTCGCCCCAAGAGGGTGAGCGCAGTCGTTGCCCGATGACACTTTGTGGACGCCCTGCTCCACGGGCTCGGGGCTCTCCCTCTCTCTTTCACTAGTCCAAGATTAGTCCTGGTTTAGTCCTTGGTTTAGTCCTGGTTTAGTCCTGGTTTAGTCCTGGTTTAGTCCTTGGTTTAGTCTGGTTTAGTCTGGTTTAGTCTGGTTTAGTCCTGGTTTAGTCTTGTTTAGTCCTGTTTAGTCTTGTTTAGTCTGGTTTAGTCCTGGTTTAGTCTTGGTTTAGTCCTGGTTTAGTCCTGGTTTAGTCCTTGGTTTAGTCTTGGTTTAGTCTTGGTTTAGTCTTGGTTTAGTCTTGGTTTAGTCCTGGTTTAGTCTGGTTTAGTCTGGTTTAGTCTTGGTTTAGTCCTGGTTTAGTCTTGGTTTAGTCTGGTTTAGTCTGGTTTAGTCTTGGTTTAGTCTGGTTTAGTCTTGGTTAGTCTTGGTTTAGTCTTGGTTTAGTCTTGGTTTAGTCTGGTTTAGTCTTGGTTTAGTCTGGTTTAGTCCTGGTTTAGTCTTTTAGGTTTAGTCTTGGTTTAGTCCTGGTTTAGTCTTAGTCCTGGTTTAGTCTTGGTTTAGTCTTGGTTTAGTCTGGGTTTAGTCTTGGTTTAGTCTTGGTTTAGTCTTGGTTTAGTCCTGGTTTAGTCTGGTTTAGTCTTGGTTTAGTCTTGGTTTAGTCTTGGTTTAGTCTTGGTTTAGTCTTGGTTTAGTCTTGGTTTAGTCTGGTTTAGTCTTGTTTAGTCTTGTCTGGTTTAGTAGTCTTGGTTTAGTCTTGGTTTAGTCTTGGTTTAGTCTTGGTTTAGTCTTGGTTTAGTCTTGGTGACCTACTGATGTTCAGTGATGTTAAAAGTCGTCTCAATCAGGCTGCATGAAGTTGGAAATTATTTGCTGGTTCAAAAATTGCTTCTGAATGCACTTAAAAAAAAAAAGAAAAGAAAATACAATGATTCTATTTTGCATTTATGGAGTTCCAAGCCGTTTTCTGCTGTTAGAACATCCAACAACCACACAATTACAAATCCCAAAACTAAAATATGACAATAGTTGAATCAGAAAACGATATGGTTCAAAAGACTTGAAAAGATCGACTTTTCGCATCCCATTGGGAAAACAAACACAGCAGTTTGATGCTCATTTTTCGGAGGCTCCTTCCCAGTATGCATTGCGAGATGACCAGAAGTCCGAAATTTGGGACGCATGTATTCAGTTTTAATCAAGAGATCAAGATTCATTCATTTGCATTCATCAATAATCGGCTTCGGGCCTTTAATGAAGAGCTCTGCAGCCAATCAAATTTATTCCTCTGAATTCTGAACTCTTCTTTTACTCTTGAGCTAAATGGCAATGTTTACAACTCTTTCTTGTTTTTGTCTCGGAAATGAATTTAATTTTTCATATGAATAGAAAATGTAATTGAAAAACAAGACTGATCAATATGACGGAGGAAACTGTGGTTCATTCTTTTGTTGTATCACGCAAACTTCATTTTACAAGAAAACCTACAACAAATCCACAAAAACACGAATTTAATCTTAATTCTAAATAAATACCGTGGCTTAGTTTTTATGAAGAGCAAGTCATTTCCTTTTTAAATCCTTTGCTTTATGCTCTCCGCCCAGTTGGCTCAGTCTCTCTCTCTCCCCCTGCAGTAATGTAATATAAGAGCTTTTTGGAGGAGGCTGATCTGCCCTCTGCTCTGATCCATTATAACTGCAAACAGATACTGAATAAAAACAGCACCACTCGGTTTGGCTGATCGTTGGAGTGTCTTAAAAGGACGCTAAGTAGCTTTTCTGAGGTTGTGCGTGCTTGTCTCCGTGGAAATGTTGTTGCTTTACTTAAGATATTTCTCAATTTTAAAAGTACTTTTTTATTTAAACCTGAAACCATATTTTTCGGAGTATAAGTCACTCCAGAGTATAAGTCACAGCCAAAAAATGCGTAATGAAGAAGAAAAAAACATATGCAAGTCGCACTTTTTGGGGGAAATTTATTTTATAAAATCAGAGACCAGGAACCGACATTTCATCTCGAAAGGCAAGTTCTAGTAAAAACAATAGAACAGAGAACAACAGACTGTTAACGTCACATATGAACAGTTCTTCAGATAAACTATAACATAAACAACAGAACAGAACAAGTTTACCAAACTCTCCATCTCACTCCAAATCACTAAATCCATTCAATTCTTCATCCTCTGTGTCACTCCTGAGCAACTTCGCCAACTCTACCAAAATCTCGCTTTTAGTCCACGATGAGTTTTGTTTTGTTTTTTTCATTGCAGTTCGAGTATCCTCCGCTTTCTAACAGTCCCTCACAAGTTTCTCGCTCACTCCAAACTTTCTTTCTGCTGCTCAATTACCTTTTTCAGCTGAATATTTCACTACTTGCAGTTTGTAATCTACAGAATATGATAAACAGTTTATCGCTATGTGATAAAGTAAGTTATGAGGCTAAAGTAACATTAGTGCAACTTCATGACCTCCGGAGGTAAACAGAGCGCCTTCCTCCTTCCTCGTCTGTGTCGCTGTCGTCAGACTCAGCGTCAGTTCCAGTTAGAATTATTCCGGTCTTTCTGAATCCCGACAGGATGGTTTCGGTGTCACTGAAGTCCAGGCTTTGTCGATCCATCCAGTGACTTCCAGTAAAGTCGCATGGTGCATCCTCCTGGTTACTGTGAAGCCGTGTTCTCCATCCTCACTGTCCGATGATCATTTTCGGCTGCGTATTTCTTTTTTTTTTTCCAAGTATTTTTTTATTAATTTTCAGACAATAAAAATTCCATCTGAACAACTGACCACGTTAACGCAGGTCAACATATAACCAAAAATAATAATAATAATAAAATGAATAAATAAAATACAATAAAGATAATGATAATAATAACAAATAACTAATTCCACACTCTCACACACTCATACACATTCACACATTCACTATGCAATACTTGCACAATACAATCCATCAATCGCAGGTGAGTCTTTGATTTATATTTGGTGACCATATGTACTTAAAACTAATAAAATAAAATATAAATAAATATATGTATATATATACATACACACAACAATAATAAATATAAATAAATAGATAAATAAAAATAAATAGAAATATATTAATTAAAAAATTAGTAGAGAAACATGAATTAATAAATGGATATAGAGAATATATATAAAAAGTAATAATACTAAAATAAAAATAAATAAATAATAATAATTAATAAACAATAAAATGAGATAATAATAATACTAAAATAAAATTGTAATAACTACAACAATAACAACAACAACATTTATGACAATAAATAAAAATCAGTTTTTGTTACTGCTATCATCATCACTGTCAATGCTGGACAACAACAATAACAATATTATTCTATATATATATACACATATACCTACACATACATCACTTCCACTTTTTGGATATAATATTTAAATAAGGTTCCCATAATTTCACAAAGTCTTTTCGTTTTCCCTTTGCTATAAATATCAATCTTTCAAGGCCGACACATTCTGAAATTTCCTTAACCCACTGTTTTGTTGAGGGGGCTTCAATGTTTTTCCAGTTTAAGGCGATGGTTCTTCTTGCATGTCTGCGTATTTCTTTAATTGCAGCAGGACACATGCAGGAGACATGCGCAGTAGAGTGAACTGACAGTGGTACAGGAGTAATAAGAGCAGGTACTGACACACAAGACTAGAGCCTCTCGCCGCTTAAGTGTGAAAATTTTAATATATAAGTCGCACCGGAGTATAAGTCGCAGGAAACACTCAAACCATGAAAAAAGGGCAACTTATGATCCAAAACTGTTGTAAGTGGCACTGAAGGACGTCACATCAAAACTGGGACTAAATCCAGACTAAACCAAGACTGAACAGAGTCTACATCAGGACTATACTAGGCTAAAACCCTATAAACCAGCCTCGCCTCATTCAAGTTTATTTTTTCTAATATAATATAGAATTTTCTGTATTATTATTATCATTATATTCTTTCTCAAATTGTTTTTTTTTTTTTTTTCTTTTTTAGGTCATTTCGTCCACTCAGTCGAGTAATGCATCGATTCAAAGCCCCACCCACACACCCCAGACCCAGGTACTCAACTATAATCCTGCATTTATATTAAAACTACACAAACTCAACTCTTGAAGTATTTTGCTCTGCCAAATTTTTCATTCAAATTCTGTTTTATTTTCTGATTTTCTTCCTTTTTGCACGCTGCCTGTATCTTTCCCCAGGTACTTTACTACAAAACTGTATCGTGCAAATACTTTCTCCAGACTTTTATTTTGTGTTATTACATTTATATCACTCCTTCTTATTAGTCTTATGTTAAAATATTTCTCCTGTTTTTATGCATGCTCCTTGTATCTTTCTGCATAGTGCAAATATTTATAATGATTATTTTTAGCAACTTTTATTGATTTCAGAATTAGAAGTTTAAATTATTTCCTCTTATTGTTTTATGTTATAATACTTTTTCCTATTTTTTTTTGCATGCTGCCTGTGTTTTCGTGTTGGATGTGCTTGTATATTTGTCTTTAGCTGTGTGATATCAGCCCGTTTCCCAGTATAGAGCAGTTGTATCTGCTTTACCAGGCTCAGCTCTCTGTAGTCCAGGTATTAAGATTTTCAAATGTGGACAGGGAAATCTGGATTCACTTTGCTTTTCCATTTAGTTGCTGTAACATGTGTATTAATCGGATCTAATTGCGAGAATTTAGTGAATATTAGGGCTGAACGATCTATCATTTTGGACCGAAAATTGCGATCTCAGACGACAGGATTTTGGGAGCGTCAAAGCTTTTTTTGCAGTTCTCCTAAAGCCAAATTTTAAGGGCGAAGTTTAGTTCTGCGTCGACTCAATGCACACTGCCGCCGTCGCCTTGTTGCCGTTGTTTTTGATATATGGATCTGTGTCGAGGTCTGTGCGGCACAAATTAATCACCACAACGCGAGAAGGCAAGGATTTACACGTGCAAAGTTTAACATGAACCATCTCCAACGCGACAGAAGCACAGAACAGACTCACCATCGAGAGTTTGTTTTCATACCTGACAGTTTCGACTGCTCGTTCGCGGTCTTCCTCAGAGTCACGTGACGTGTTGTGACGTGTCCGGTCAGCTGATTTATACAGGTTCACGTTACCACTCTGAGAAAAACCTCCAGTGAGCAGTCGAAACTGTCAGGTATGAAAACAAACTCTTGGTCTGACAAAAAAAACTAAAAACATAAATATATAATATCAGAAGACCAAATGAACCTTATTGGACTAGACTCACCATCATCAGCACATCCTCTGTTACAGAAAGAACTCTCATATTCCACTGAGTCGTGTCCTTTAGTCTGACAGAAACTGAACCACATCAGGGCACAAGGAGCGAGCTGTTTTTTTCAGCGCTTATAAGTTCATGCAAATTAGTCATGTGGTTTTAAGTTTTGTTTCTGTAAAGTGTAAACAAATGTGGCAAATGGTCCAGCGTCAAATCGGGAAACAGTTTGAACGGAGGTTTGCAGTCACACAGACCTGATTCCCTTTTGCAGTTATGGAGTTCGCAAACTTCCGAAGCCTATTTCTCAAGCCATTTTCCGCTGTTAGGACATCCAACAACCACACAATTACGATGTCCGAATCCCATAACTAAAATATGACAATATCAGAACCAGAAACAAAAGTGATATGGTTCAAAAGACTTGAAAAGATCAACTTTGACAATAGACGCATCCCACATTCATATTCCACTGAGTCGTGTCCTTTAGTTCGGCAGAAGCTGACCCGCATCAGGACACAAGGAGCGATCTGTTTTTTTTCAGCTTATAGTTCATGTAAATTAGTCATGTCGTTTTAAGTTTAGTTTCTGTAAAACGTAAATAAATGTGGCAAATGGTCCAGCGTCAAATCGTCGGTGCAGGACTCTGGTCTGATGTACGTTTCTGTGATGTTTGCACTAAAACTTGATTTGAAAAAAAAAAATGGATGAAACCAAAATCGCAATATCTGACAGAAAAAAAATCACAATTAAATTTTTTTTTTAAATCGTTCAGCCCTAGTGAATATTATACGCCAATATGTTTAAATGAATCGTAATTGCGTAAAATTGCTGTTCTCCTCTTCCTGACTGTTACAGTATTGTGCACAAGTTTAAACCTTAAAGGTGCATTGTGTAACATTTCTGGTTCTCCATGGAGATGTCATTGCTTTACCTGTGTATCTTCATGGAGACCAAACCAGATCAAGTTACAGGTCAGATCTGTGGCGCGGCGACCCTGCTCACAGTCAGAATGCCTGTTTTTCTAAGTAAATTTGAGCTATAAACACAAAAAAATTTATGGACACTTCACCAGAAAAGATACACAATTCACCTTGAAGTATTGTCTTTTACTTTTGTGCTTTGTTACCTTCCACCACTGGTTTTACACATCATTGCTTTTCAGTAACTTTATACTTTGCAGTTTACTTTCATTTGAAATTTTGAGGCTCAGTTAAAGCGTCCCGGTCTGTTCACTGTTCATTTGCGCGGCGTAATGGAGCCAACGTCTTTGCGGAGGTCTCCAGTGACTCCAGTGTTTAGAAACAAAGATGCAGATCTGTTTACTCAGTGTGATCCAATTAGCAACAGTAATCTCTTGGGCATAACAGGAAAAAACAAAAACAAAACTGAATACACTGGCACTCTGAATACACTGGCACTCTGACAAAGTATGAGCTGCAAGAGGAAGTATTATTAGAAGGCCTTTGTTCGGTCTTCATCCGGGCTACAATTAAATCATTAATTGTAGTGTTCGATCCAAATTTTACATTGAAAGCATCTCTATTTAATACAGGGGTCATCAAATTAAGGCCCGCGGGCTGAGTGCGGTCCTCCACGCCCCTTTTACCAGCTCTGTTCTGTAGTGCAGTTAAGGACGGCAAAATGGCGAGTGTTAAAGAATGAAAAGTTGACTGAGATTGCGGAGTTTTCAAAGAACAGTGGACGACCGAAAAGTCCAAATTCTACAAGTACATTTGCCAAATTTTAACCCCTGAAAATTTGAAGGACCGACCTTGAATAGTTTTTTTTTTGATGCAGCAAACTTGGAAAACTCTGCTTCAAACACCGATCAGATCACAAAATATTTTTTAAAGGGCCCGTCTCATGCAAAATAACTATTTTCACATTGTATCTTCTGCGCATAAACAAGCACAATTTGGGTTTTGGAACATTCATTACACAATCGTTATCAAATCTTACTGATTTCTTGGAGGCATCACAGACCAGGAACTATGAAAGTCCGACTATTGCTCATCCCCGCCCGTCCTGAGAAAGCACAGGCTCCGCCCTCCAAACGTGACGTAGACTCTGACGAGTGAGCCGCCCTTCCTCCACCATCTCAGGGAGGGAGGGGGAGACAGACGTGCACCCTGATAGCGGCAGGAATAAACTTTTATTCATCATGGCGATACAGCGCGTTCAGCCACATGTGTTGGACCCGGAATCGGACGAGGACTTTGAGGAGCACGAAGCTCAAGCACCGCGTCCACATCAGCTGAACATTACTGATTGATAAAGTATTAATAAACACTAGTAGATAAACTTATTATATCGTGTTCGCTGCAGTGTAGAACAATGATCTTATGCTGTCGCTTTTGTTTAGGTGTTCATGTGGGAATTGTCAGCCGATGCGGGGTGGAGGCGGAGGCGGTGGAGCAGGGGACGGGGGGCGGGTGCGAAGCAGCGTCTGCTACGTCAAACACGTCATAGGTGCATCTGCCGCGTCATCGTTGTAGCAGCTTTAGTTCGTTGTCACGTGGGAGGGTGGAAGAAATATGCAGCAATTTGTTAAAAAAAAAGTCAAATAAATCTAAAAAACACTTCAGCGACATATACAAGGCCCACACATCACTCTTAGAAGGTAGAAAGCTCTGAAAAGTTGATTTTGCATGAGATGGGCCCTTTAATGACAAAACTATAAGGAGTTTGGAGTTAAAATTTGAGACTCTTCTTATTGGAAAGTGTGTGAACCTCCTAGAATTTTTTCACTCAAATCTGAGATGGTCGGGTGGGGACAACTCTAAGTATGTTTTGGGTGAGGAAACAACATTTTAACATGAGCTCACAAGAGTCAATTTTGTGTAATATAGGATTTTTAAAGACAATTTTAAATGAATTTCAAAGACAAGCCTATAAAACTTCTGCACAATACTGCTTCTAGTCTAGTCTCTCCCTCTTTTGATTTTCTGTTCTGTTCTTATAATCCTTTCTTTACCGATCCTTTCTTTTCTCCCGTGTCTCTTCTTCTCTTTAATTTCAGCCTTGCGTAGCTCCTCCCACCTCCGCACTGTCTCCTCTCTCCATTTCGGTGCCCACTGTGGTCGTGGCACCCTCCCCCCCCTCTCCTCACCTGAACGGGGCTCTTCTTCTCTCTCCTCCCCCCGCTGCTCCTCCTTCTGCCCCCTCTGCTCCTGCCTCTCCTGCCCGTGTGCCCTCTCCTGTGCCCTCTCCTGTGCCCGCCCCCGTGCCCGCTCCTTTGCCCTCTGTGGTGCCAATCATCAGTGTAGTGACCGCCCCTCCCGATAATCCTCCTGTGGAAACTGTGCCCCAGGTATTCAAGTACTGTGTGGTTAAAGGAACGGAAAAGTACCAGACTGGAGCTTTAATGTTATTATCTGTCTGTAAAATATGAAAATTTGGTGCTACAAAAGTATAAAAACCTGTAGTAGTAGTAGTAGTAGTAGTTGTACTAGTAGTTGTACTTGTAGTATATTTGCAGTTGTAGTTGTAGTTGTAGCAAGTAGCAGCAGTAGTAGTAGTAGTAGTAGAAGTAGTAGTAGGAGGAGTAATAGTAGTAGGAGTAAGAGGAGTAGGAGTAGTAGCAATAGGAGGAGTAGTAGTATTAGTAGCAGTAGTAGTAGCAGGTGATGGTAGTAGTAGTAGTAGTAGTAGTAGTAGTAGTAGCAGAAGAAGCAGGTAGTAGTAGCAAGTAGTAGTAGTAGTAGCAGTAGCAGTAGTAATAGTAGTTGTAGTAGTAGCAGTAGTAGTTGTTGTTGTTGTAGTAGTAGTTATAATAGTAGTAGTAGTAGTAGTAGTAGTAGTAGTAGTAGTAGTAGTAGTAGTAGTAGCAGTAGTAGTAGTAGTAGTAGCAGTAGTAGCAGTAGCAGCAGGTAGTAGTTATAATAGTAGTAGTAGCAGTAGTAGCAGTAGTAGCAGTAGCAGTTGTTGTAGTTGTAGTTGTAGTAGTAATTGTAGTAGTAATTGTAGTAGTAGCAGTAGCAGCAGGTAGTAGTTATAATAGTAGTAGTAGTAGTAGTAGTAGTAGCAGTAGCAGTAGTAGCAGTTGTAGCAGTTGTAGCAGTTGTAGCAGTTGTAGTTGTAGTAGTAATTGTAGTAGTAATTGTAGTAGTAGCAGTAGCAGCAGGTAGTAGTAGTAGTAGTAGTAGTAGCTGCAGGTAGTAGTAGGAGTAGTAGTTGTAGTAGTTGTAGTAGTAGTAGCAATAGCCGCAGGTAGTAGTAATAGCTGCAGGTAGTAGTAGTAGTAGTAGTAGTAGTAGTAGTTGTAGTTGTAGTTGTAGTAGTAGTAGCAGCAGGTAGTAGTAATAGTAGTTGTAGTTGTAGGAGTAGCTGCAGCAGGTGGTAGTAGTAGTAGTAGTAGTAGCAGTAGCAGTAGTAATATTCCAAATTTCACAATACTATATGCATCTCATGGTACAATTTTTATTGTAATATTTTGTGGAGGCAAAAGACAAATTTGTGATTATGACACTTTCCTTTGTCATAATCCAAATAATTAACATTTAAAAGTTCTTAATAACAGTTGTTTCATCATGTAGATTGGACTGGAACAAAGCAAAGGATCATGGTCTTTGTAGTTCTCTCTGTTTTTAGCTGTTGCTAACAGTGAATTTAAGCAGAGAAACTTGTAATTTGTAAAACTGGACACGTTGATTTACAATTATCTTACATTAGGGACTGGACAGTGTGTACTCCAGAAACAATGAAGTTGTGGGAAAGTACTGCAGTATTTGATAAACTGTACAATTATAAGTTTCATGCTCTGAACAGTTTTATAATTTACCTTTTTTTCTATTGTCTTTTTCCTTCCTTCAGCCTTTGGAGTTGTCTCAGGCTCAGCTTCTGCCCCCTCATCTCCAGGCGTCCATGGAAAGGTAATAAAACACAGAAAATCTTAATAAAAACACAAATCATAATTCAGATGTTTTTCTTTAAGTTTCTCAGTTGTAATAAAATATTCTCCCACTAACCCAAGTGTTGGTGGTTCTATTATTTATATATGTGTACTATATATTTAATGTCATATTTTTGAACAGTACTTGGTCGTGACACTTTGTTGTAGTAGCAGCAGTAGCAGTAGCAGTAGTTGGAGCAGTAGTAGTAATAGTAGCAGTAGTAGAAGTAGTAGCACTAGTAGTAGAAGTACCAGTTGGAGTGGTATTTGTACTCACCTCCCTTCTTCATTGCAGTGGTACCAGCAGTAGTAGTAGTAGTAGTAGTAGTAGTACCAGTAGTATCAGTAGCAGTAGTACTTGTACACACCCTTCTCTATCTCACTGCAGTGGTACCAGCAGTAGTAGTAGTATTAGTAGTAGTACCAGTAGCAGTAGTACTTGTCCTCACATCTCCCTGTCTCCCTGCAGTGTTATCAGCAGTAGTAGTAGTAGTAGTAGTAGTAGTAGTAGTAGTAGTAGTAGTAGTAGTAGTAGTAGTAGTAGTAGTAATAGTAGTAGTTGTAGTTGTCCTCATGTGTCTCTGTCTCCCTGCAGTGTTATCAGCAGCTGTAGTAGTAGTAATTGTAGCAGCAGCAGTAGTAGTAGTAGTAGTAGTAAAAGTAGTAGTAGTAGTATTAGTAGTAGCAGTATCAGTAGCAGTAACAGTAGCAGTAGTACTTGTCCTCACGTTTCCCTGTCCCCCTGCAGTGTTATCAGCAGTAGTAGTAGTAGTAGTAGTAGTAGTAGTCCTCATGTGTCTCTGTCTCCCTGCAGTGTTATCAACAGCTGTAGTGGTAGCAGTAGTAGTAGTAGTAGTAGTAGTAATAGTAGTAGTCGTAGTAGTAGCATTAGCAGTAGTAGTAGTAGCAGTAGTAGTAGTAGCAGTAGTAGTAGTAGCAGCAGCAATAGTAGTAGTAGTAGTAGTAGTACTTGTCGTCACGTTTCCCTGTCCCCCTGCAGTGTTATCAGCAGTAGTAGTAGTAGTAGTAGTAGTAGTAGTAGTAGTAGTAGTAGTAGTAGTTAGTAGTACTTGTCGTCACGTGTCCTTGTCTTCCTGCAGTGTTTACAGCTGTAGTAGTAGTAGTAGTAGTAGTAGTAGTAGTAGTAGTAGTAGTCATGTCTCTCTGTCTTCCTGCAGTGTTTACAGCTGTAGTAGTAGTAGTAGTAGTAGTAGTAGTAGTAGTAGTAGTAGTAGTAGTAGTAGTAGTAGTAGTAGTAGTAGTAGTAGTAGTAGTAGTAGTAGTAGTAGTAGTAGTAGTAGTAGTAGTAGTAGTAGTAGTAGTAGTAGTACTCATGTCTCTCTGTCTTCCTGCAGTGTTTACAGCTGTAGTAGTAGTAGTAGTAGTAGTAGTAGTAGTACTCATGTCTCTCTGTCTTCCTGCAGTGTTTACAGCTGTAGTAGTAGTAGTAGTAGTAGTAGTAGTAGTAGTACTCATGTCTCTCTCGCTGCAGTGTTTACAGCTGTAGTAGTAGTAGTAGTAGTAGTAGTAGTAGTAGTAGTAGTAGTAGTAGTAGTAGTAGTAGTAGTAGTAGTAGTAGTAGTAGTAGTAGTAGTAGTACTCATGTCTCTCTGTCTCCCTGCAGTGTTTTACAGCTGTAGTAGTAGTAGTAGTAGTAGTAGTAGTAGTACTCATGTCTCTCTGTCTTCCTGCAGTGTTTACAGCTGTAGTAGTAGTAGTAGTAGTAGTAGTAGTACTCATGTCTCTCTGTCTCCCTGCAGTGTTATCAGCAGCAGTAGTAGTAGTAGTAGTAGTAGTAGTAGTAGTAGTAGTAGTAGTAGTAGTACTCATGTCTCTCTGTCTTGCTGCAGTGTTTACAGCTGTAGTAGTAGTAGTAGTAGTAGTAGTAGTAGTAGTAGTACTCATGTCTCTCTGTCTCGCTGCAGTGTTATCAGCAGCAGTTGTAGTAGTAGTAGTAGTAGTAGTAGTAGTAGTAGTACTCATGTCTCTCTGTCTTCCTGCAGTGTTTACAGCTGTAGTAGTAGTAGTAGTAGTAGTAGTACTCATTTCTCTCTGTCTCGCTGCAGTGTTTACAGCTGTAGTAGTAGTAGTAGTAGTAGTAGTAGTAGTAGTAGTAGTAGTAGTAGTAGTAGTAGTCATGTCTCTCTGTCTTCCTGCAGTGTTTACAGCTGTAGTAGTAGTAGTAGTAGTAGTAGTACTCATGTCTCTCTGTCTTCCTGCAGTGTTTACAGCTGTAGTAGTAGTAGTAGTAGTAGTAGTAGTAGTAGTAGTAGTAGTAGTAGTAGTAGTAGTAGTAGTAGTAGTAGTAGTACTCATGTCTCTCTGTCTCGCTGCAGTGTTTACAGCTGTAGTAGTAGTAGTAGTAGTAGTAGTAGTAGTAGTAGTAGTAGTAGTAGTAGTAGTAGTAGTAGTAGTAGTAGTAGTACTCATGTCTGTCTTCCTGCAGTGTTTACAGCTGTAGTAGTAGTAGTAGTAGTAGTAGTAGTAGTAGTAGTAGTAGTACTCATGTCTCTCTGTCTTCCTGCAGTGTTTACAGCTGTAGTAGTAGTAGTAGTAGTAGTAGTAGTAGTAGTAGTAGTAGTAGTACTCATGTCTCTGTCTTCCTGCAGTGTTTACAGCTGTAGTAGTAGTAGTAGTAGTAGTAGTAGTAGTAGTAGTAGTAGTACTCATGTCTCTCTGTCTCGCTGCAGTGTTTACAGCTGTAGTAGTAGTAGTAGTAGTAGTAGTAGTAGTAGTAGTACTCATGTCTCTCTGTCTTCCTGCAGTGTTTACAGCTGTAGTAGTAGTAGTAGTAGTAGTAGTAGTAGTAGTAGTACTCATGTCTCTGTCTTCCTGCAGTGTTTACAGCTGTAGTAGTAGTAGTAGTAGTAGTAGTAGTAGTAGTAGTAGTACTCATGTCTCTCTGTCTCGCTGCAGTGTTTACAGCTGTAGTAGTAGTAGTAGTAGTAGTAGTAGTAGTAGTAGTAGTAGTAGTAGTACTCATGTCTCTCTGTCTCGCTGCAGTGTTTACAGCTGTAGTAGTAGTAGTAGTAGTAGTAGTAGTAGTACTCATGTCTCTCTGTCTTCCTGCAGTGTTTACAGCTGTAGTAGTAGTAGTAGTAGTAGTAGTAGTAGTACTCATGTCTCTCTGTCTTCCTGCAGTGTTTACAGCTGTAGTAGTAGTAGTAGTAGTAGTAGTAGTAGTAGTACTCATGTCTCTGTCTTCCTGCAGTGTTTACAGCTGTAGTAGTAGTAGTAGTAGTAGTAGTAGTAGTAGTACTCATGTCTCTCTGTCTCGCTGCAGTGTTTACAGCTGTAGTAGTAGTAGTAGTAGTAGTAGTAGTAGTACTCATGTCTCTCTGTCTTCCTGCAGTGTTTACAGCTGTAGTAGTAGTAGTAGTAGTAGTAGTAGTAGTACTCATGTCTCTGTCTTCCTGCAGTGTTTACAGCTGTAGTAGTAGTAGTAGTAGTAGTAGTAGTAGTAGTAGTAGTACTCATGTCTCTCTGTCTCGCTGCAGTGTTTACAGCTGTAGTAGTAGTGTAGTAGTAGTAGTAGTAGTAGTAGTAGTAGTAGTACTCATGTCTCTCTGTCTCGCTGCAGTGTTTACAGCTGTAGTAGTAGTAGTAGTAGTAGTAGTAGTAGTAGTAGTACTCATGTCTCTCTGTCTTCCTGCAGTGTTTACAGCTGTAGTAGTAGTAGTAGTAGTAGTAGTAGTAGTAGTAGTAGTACTCATGTCTCTCTGTCTCGCTGCAGTGTTATCAGCAGCAGTAGTAGTAGTAGTAGTAGTAGTAGTAGTAGTAGTAGTAGTAGTAGTAGTAGTAGTAGTACTCATGTCTCTGTCTTCCTGCAGTGTTTACAGCTGTAGTAGTAGTAGTAGTAGTAGTAGTAGTAGTAGTAGTAGTAGTAGTAGTACTCATGTGTCTGTCTCGCTGCAGTGTTATCAGCAGCAGTAGTAGTAGTAGTAGTAGTAGTAGTAGTAGTAGTAGTAGTAGTAGTAGTAGTACTCATGTCTCTCTGTCTCGCTGCAGTGTTTACAGCTGTAGTAGTAGTAGTAGTAGTAGTAGTAGTAGTAGTAGTAGTAGTACTCATGTCTTCTTCCTGCAGTGTTTACAGCTGTAGTAGTAGTAGTAGTAGTAGTAGTAGTAGTAGTAGTAGTAGTAGTAGTAGTAGTACTCATGTCTGTCTTCCTGCAGTGTTTACAGCTGTAGTAGTAGTAGTAGTAGTAGTAGTAGTAGTAGTAGTAGTAGTAGTAGTACTCATGTCTGTCTCCTGCAGTGTTTACAGCTGTAGTAGTAGTAGTAGTAGTAGTAGTAGTAGTAGTAGTAGTAGTAGTAGTAGTAGTAGTACTCATGTCTCTCTGTCTCGCTGCAGTGTTTACAGCTGTAGTAGTAGTAGTAGTAGTAGTAGTAGTAGTAGTAGTAGTAGTAGTAGTAGTAGTATGTCTCTGTCTCGCTGCAGTGTTTAAGCAGCTGTAGTAGTAGTAGTAGTAGTAGTAGTAGTAGTAGTAGTAGTAGTAGTAGTAGTACTCATGTCTGTCTTCCTGCAGTGTTTACAGCTGTAGTAGTAGTAGTAGTAGTAGTAGTAGTAGTAGTAGTAGTAGTAGTACTCATGTCTGTCTTCCTGCAGTGTTTACAGCTGTAGTAGTAGTAGTAGTAGTAGTAGTAGTAGTAGTAGTAGTAGTAGTAGTAGTAGTAGTACTCATGTCTCTCTGTCTCGCTGCAGTGTTTACAGCTGTAGTAGTAGTAGTAGTAGTAGTAGTAGTAGTAGTAGTAGTAGTACTCATGTCTCTCTGTCTCGCTGCAGTGTTTACAGCTGTAGTAGTAGTAGTAGTAGTAGTAGTAGTAGTAGTAGTAGTAGTAGTAGTACTCATGTCTGTCTTCCTGCAGTGGTCACTCGGAGGCGTCTGGCCTCAGCGATGGGAACGATGGAGGAGGACGTCATGAAGGTCGTTCCACCAAACGGCATCAGAGACGTTCTGTGCGCAGCAGGTCCCGACACGAGAAGTTCTCCAAAGCCAAACTCAACGTGCTCAGTGTAAATGAAACTTTTACAATCATTCTTTCAATTCTTATTATTGTACAGATCTTTTATTGAGAGTGGCACCTCTTTGAGAAATGATTGTCTCTGGAGCACAGTTATAGATAAGACTATGTGACCTTCTTTGTTACATCATTAAAGGGCAAATATTACACTATTTTCTGATCTGTTGTAATGTTGTTTCCTCATCACAAACATTCCTGGAGATGTGTTTTGTTTCATTCACACATGTTTAACACACAGACCTTGTATATTTAGGCTTAGTTTCACTCTGTTCTACCTTGTGATGTCATGTGATAATACAGGAAGAGCTCCACTGTGTTTTTAAACTCCGTACGTCTTCACTAACTGGAGGAGTTCAAGTATCTCGGGGTCTTGTTCACGAGTGAGGGGAGGATGGAGCGTGAGATTGACAGGTGGATCGGTGCAGCGTCGGCAGTGATGCGGTCGCTGTATCGGACCGTTGTGGTGAAGAGGAGCTGAGTCGAAAGGCAAAGATCTCAAATTACCATCACGAGCTTTGGGTAATGACCGAAAGGACGAGATCGCAGATACAAGCGGCCGAAATGAGTTTCCTCCGCGGGGTGGTTGGGCGCTCCCTTAGAGATATGGTGAGGAGTTCAGTCACATGGGAGGAGCTCGGAGTAGAGCCACTGCTCCTCCATGTCGAGAGGAAGTGGCTCAAGCATCTGTTCTGATGCCTCCTGGGCGTCTCCCTCGGGAGGTGTTCCGGGCATGTCCCATCGGGAGGAGGCCCCAGGGAAGACCCAGGACACGCCGGAGGGACTATGTCTCTGGGCTGGCCTGGGAACGCCTCGGGGTCCCCTCGGAGGAGCAGGAGGAAGTGTCTGGGGTGAAGAAAGTCTAGGAGTCCCTGCTTAGGCTGCTGCCCCCGCGACCCGGCACCAGATAAGCGGAAGAAAATGGATGGATGGATGGATGGACATCTTCACAAGATTCTCTTGGATGATTTAATCCTGGAATTGCCAATCACTGAACTAAAGGCTTAAAGGAGCTGTTAACTTGAAAACTACCACTACATGACATCACAAGGTGGAACAGAGCATTTTGAGCTTTGGAGATGTAGACAAAACAGAGCAACTGTTTTTTTGATGCGGTTACAGCATTATAACACGGCTTAAAGCTCACAAGGGTTAGTTTTGTGTCATTATAGGACCTTCACCGTAATTTCCGGACTGGTTGAGCTCACCTGAATATAAGACGCATCAACTAAATTTTAACTAAATTTTAAAGTTGTACATTTATAGGCCACACCTGAGTATGAGCCACAGGTGTCCACGTCTTTAAGAACGTTTTCAACATCTGGCATCTGCTTTTATCGCCTCTGGAAGCTTTTGTCGTCTTTTTGGATTGAGTCAGTTCGTCACTCTGCCGTCACCAAAGTCTCACCATCTGTTTCGAATGTTTCTAAATATGCCCTATTGTTTGTAATGACCTCTATAATAACCCAGTTTCTGTTGTGTATTTCCTGTGTGTTGTGTTGTTGGTTTTTTCCACACCGTCTCTCACACCGTATTCTGTTTCTCTCTGTAGATTTCTAACCGCGGGGACAGAGTGGCCGAGTGTCAGCTGGAGACTCACAACAGGAAGATGGTCACGTTCAGATTCGACCTGGACGGAGACAACCCGGAGGAGATCGCTCAGATTATGGTACGGAGTTATTTCATCTACCTAACCTAAAATAAAAATAAAAATAACTGAAGTAAGAGCATTGCATTCAGTTATTTACACTAAAGGTACTGCAATAGCATTTACATATTATTATGTAACGTGTAAATGTCAGATGTACTTGTGAGAACAGATTGAGATAAAAGAATATTTGTCCCACAATGAGGAAATTCCAGTGTTTATGTACAAGACGCAACTCATAATGTTCATCTTGTTTTGTTATAATAATACTGTTATAAACAAAATTAACATGTTTTTCCTTCCAGACTTAAACTACTGTGTGGAAATATGGGGGAATACTTATAAATAAATCAAATATTAATACAATTTTTCAACACTAAAAGAAGGTTGTTAGAATTATTAATCATGCAAATTACTATGCACCAACAAATCCTTTTTTTGTTACACTAAAAGTACTTAAATTTTTTGATCTTGTTGACCTGAGTACAGCCGTAGCGATGTACAAGTCTTTGTTTTACAAGTCTCAAGTAAGTCTCAAGTCGTTGACCTCATTCCCAAGTCGAGTCTCGAGTCACTGGCCCATAAGTCCGAGTCAAGTCCAAGTCGTCTGCTTTGAGCTTCAAGTCATTTCAAGTCTTTAAACCAAAGTACCAAATATAGCTTAGGTTTTTACAATTCATATGAATTTTAAGATAAATTATACTTATAAAGTTATAGTATTTTTATATATGAGTATTTTTGTTTATATATGAGTATATAAGAGTTTTCCTTTTTAAATGTCTTAACAAGATCTTAGTGTGAATCATTACAGTCAGAACAAAAATAATTCAGATTTAAAAGTGCAGATTGCAAAAATCTAAGCTATATTTGGTACTTTGGTTTAAAGACTTGAAATGACTTGAAGCTCAATGCAGATGATTTGGACTTGACTTATGGGACAGTGACTCGAGATTCGACTCGGACTTGCCAGACTTGACTCGGACTTGAGGTCAAAGACTTGAGACTTACTTGAGACTTGCAAAACAAATACTTGATCCCACCTGTGGTAGTAGCTGTACCAGTACCAGTGTCCAACAAAATATAATTTGCTTCCCAAGTCACAGGCCTCAAGTCCGAGTCAAGTCCCAAGTCTCTGACCTTTAAGTCCAAGCTGAGTCTTAGGCCTTAGTCAGTTTTGTCAAGTCTCAAATGCTAAAAATAGTGACTCAAGTCCGACTTGAGCCCAAGTCACGACTAACAAGTCCCCACCTCTGTGTACAAGTCTTATCATCATCTGCTTCGTCCTTGTTTACAGGAGTTATTTGAGCAGAAAGAGTCTTTATAACTTTAGAGGAACAGGTATTTAAAAAAAAAAAATGAAGATAAGAACTAAGAAAAAAAGTGATTGTATTTCTTTTCTGGTATATGGAATAACCTGAGTGATGATTTTAAAAAGTCTAACACTGTAGAAGCCTTTAAAAAAAGAGTATAAAGTGTTATGTTTTGAAAGATATAGTTCTCTTTTGTTTGTTTTAATTAATATTTTGTCTCTTATATATACAGTAAGTCGTAAATGTTAACTTACTGTTCAAACACTTTTTTTTTTTTTTTTTTGGGAATTCTGTCATTGTTTAAAAGCGTTTGGCTTTATAAGTACTTTTTACTTCAGCCTAAACCCTTTCGGTCATGATCTAAGGGATTGTAGTCTATGTTTTGTTTTGTTTTGTTTTGTTTTGTAGTGCTGCAAAATTACCGAAATAAAACTACCACTACTACTAAAAAATTATAATAATAATAATAATAAACTATAACATAAGAATTATTATACTTGAAAAATCATGTGTAGTAGTTGCACATGAATATTTAGCAGTCAGTTTGGCAATGAAAATATGATTATGAAGAGACCTTTTATGCAAAATCGACCTTAATGAGATTCGACCGTGTTATAATGTTGTAATGTTCTCTCGTCATTTGCTGACTCAGTTGTATTTTGATTGACCCATGCAAAACGAAAACACACTCTGCCTGCTCTGGTGAAATGTCGCCGTAAAGAAGCAGTTTTGAACAGGAAGTCAATGGTCACGTTTGTGTTTTTAGCTTAATATTGTGGTTTGCAATGAGCAAAATGTGAAATGGTGATTCACGTACGTTAAAGTTCAATGACTTTAAATCTAAATCTCGTCAAAACAACTCAAAACTAGTTAAACATTCTGAAATCATGGATGAAAACAAGCATAATATGTCTTCTTTAAGTAGAATAAATGCATACAGATCACCTCAGGTCTTTTCTTTGACTGATATTAAACGTTTTGTTGGTGTTTCTCAGGTGGAGAGTGAGTTCATCCTGGAGAGTGAGAGAGACTCGTTCATTGAGCAGATCAGAGAAGTGATCCAAAACGCCGACAAGAAAGACCCAAACTCTCAGGTAAATGTCACGAGAAACACAGTGTAATAACTTTAAATATATATAGTGTGAAAAGTGTATTCTTAACTTCACTCTTCACTCACTAAACTGTGGCTCTGCAGATGACCGGGGACATGGAGCAGCAGGTTCCAGCGATATCTGAACCATTACAGGGTAAGTATAATCTTGTTTAACCTGAATGTAAAATCTGCCTCATATAATATCCGCAAAAAGTATAAAAGTGTTAAGTGAATCCAAACTCAATAGAGCTTTTTCACAACGGCCGGAAGCGTCGCGATGTAGTGTAAATGTCACTTACGTTAAAGCGTTTTTATGACAAAATGTCTGTGGAAATGTCTCGCGTATTTTCCACCAGCTTCATAAATCTGCCCCATCAACAAATCTTCATCCAACAAGGTCGGTTGTCTCCAAAACCAAAATGAAAAAACAGATAACGATTCGTTTTTTCAGTTTTTCGATTTTGTGTTTAAATGAAGAATGGAAAAAACGGATTACGGTCGTTTTCAGTTTACGTGACTTCTGTGACTGCGATGCCGGACTTTTGCGCTGCATACGGACTGAACCAGGACTGATCCAGGTTCAGGACCACACCGGGACCAGACTGGGACCAGATCGGGACCAGACCAGAGCGAGACTGAGACCGGGACCACACCGAAACCAGACCGGGACCAGACCAGGACTAGACCAAGACTGAGATCAGAACTGAAACCGAGACCAGACCGAGACTGAGACCAGACCGAGACCAGAGTGGGACTGAGACCGAGACCAGGCCAGGACCAGACCGGGATCAGACTGGGACCAGACCGGGACCAGACGCAGAGGCTCAGAGCCCACGGCAGGGCCGGAGCTCGAAGCTGAGGCTTGAACCCTGCGGAGGCTCGGAGTCCCAGCTCGGAGTCCGGTCTGGTCCCGGTCTGGTCCCGGTCTGGTCCCAGATCCGTGTTTTTTCCATTCTTCATTTAAACACAAAATCGAAAACTGAAAAAATGAATTGTTACCCTTTTTTTCATTTGGGTTTGGAGACAAATAAAGAAAAAAAATGTTGTTTTTTTGTTTTCTTATTTTTGGTTTTATATTGAAAAACGAATGAACGAATGATACACAGATTAATTACTCCTGACTCCAAAACTAACACTATGGTCATGAATAAAACATAAGTAACTTGTGAACTCAGACTGATTCTACAATTAAAATAAAAAATCGATTTCATGATGTCGATATTTGCATAGACAGAGAGATTTGTGCAGTTTAAATGTTAGACATGTAATCTATGAACATCTGCAGCATTTAAACTGCACAAATCTCTCTGTCTATGCAAATATCGACATCATGAAATCGATTTTTAATTTTAATTGTAGAATCAGTCTGAGTTCACAAGTTACTTTTGTTTTATTCATGACCACAATGTTAGTTTTGGTCAGGAGTAGTTCACTAATGTGTCGTTGTTCGTCTTTACATTTTCATTTTTCTTACCTTGATAGTTGTGGATAAATTCTTCATGGACAGAATGTTTATCCTTTGTCGACCTTGTTGGATGAAGATTTGGTGATGGGGCAGATTTATGAAGCTGGTGGAAAATACACGAGACATTTCCACAGATATTTTCCCATAGAAAAGCATTAACTGGGAGTGACGTTTACCTACTTTGCGGCACTTCCGGCCATTGTGAAAAAGGTCTATAAGTCAATTTAATAAGTCATATTTTCCCCATTACATCATGTCCTGATTGTAATATTCTGTTATATAAAAAAGACAGAGCAAAATGTGAATATAGTAAGTTTGTGGACTCAATCTCCAACAAAAGACAATTTGAAAATAGGTGAAATTTATCCTTCCAGTAGTTATTTCAGTAGAAGTAAAAGTAGAAGTAGAAAAAGCAGTAGTAGTAGTAGTAGTAGTAGTAGTAGTAGTAGTAGTAGTAGTAGTAGTAGTAGTAGTAGTAGTAACAGTAGTAACAGTAGTAGTAGTAACAGTAGTAGTAGTAACAGTAGTAGTAGCCAGAGGTGGGGACTTGCAAGTTGGACTCGAGTCAGACTTGAGTCACTATTTTTAGGACTTGAGACTTGACTTGATAAAATGGACTAAGACTTGGGACTCGACTTGGACTTGAGGGTCAGTGACTTGGGACTTGACTCGGACTTGAGAAGCACTTTTAAATATGAATTCTTTCTATTCTGACCGTAATGGTTCACACTAAGATCTTGTCAAGACATTTAAAAAAGAAAAATGTACATTTCTACAACTCTTATATACTTATACAAATACTCATACATAAATATACCTTGACTTTTTAAGTACAATTTACTTTAAAATTCATATAAATTGCAAAAATCTAACCTATATTTGATACTTTGGTTTAAAGACTTGAAATTACTTTAAGCTCAAAGCAGACGACTTGGACTTGACTTGGACTTATGCGCCAGTGCCTCGAGACTCGACTTGGACTTGCCTGTATTTGGCTTGGGACTTGACTTGGAGTTGGGACTTGAGACTTGCAAAACAATGACTTGGTCCCACCTCTGGTAGTAGCTGTACCAGTACAACTAGTAGTACTATTTGTAGTATCAGTACCAATGTGTAACAAAATATAACTTAAAAGAAGGTGGATTTTATGGTTGGATATCTCTTAAAAACAAGTTTATATTAGGGGTGGGACTTGATAAAAAAAAAATAAATATAATTAATTAATCTCAATTAATCACATAACAATATTTGCCCCAAAAGCAACATTTATTTTATGTAAATGAATTTCAGTGGACGACTTCATCAAATAATAAAGACAGATATGACTCTTAAACTCAAGCTCTTTTAAAGGGACAGTCTGGAATTTTGGACATAGGACCTCATTTCGTAGTGAGTCGGAGTTTTGGAGACGTGTGGAGACACTTTTTTAAAATATTCCATCCAGTCTTTGTATTTGCAGGTCACTGGTCAATGGTCATAATTATCCTGCCACTAAAAACAGTCTCATCCACTCCACAAAACACCCGAAACAAACTATTATTACACCAGACTGTCCATGTAAATGTCTGACGAATGAAGTATAACATCTGTATTTGTGTATTTCCCTCAGACACTCCCCCCAGCGCCAGTACTCAGGTGGTCCACTCTGCCGGGAGGAGGTTCATCGTGAGTCCGGTCCCTGAGGCCAGACTGAGGGAGTCCGTGTCCAGCCCCTCCTCCTCTGCACCTGCCACACCTGCCGATACAGGTACGACTCACAGCGACATGTTTATCCTGAAGGTGGAGTTCAGTTAATAGAAAGTGCCTTAATGTCGTCCACACAACAGCACTCGTGGATTTTTTTCTTTGCGGGCTGAAAAAAATTTGCGTCCACTCTTTCTCCACTCTGGAACCCGTTCTCAAAAAACACAGTTTTTGTCCACCTGAAACGCCGGCTCCATGTGAACGAAAGGCCAAAATACAATACAAACTTCTCAGTTTTCACCAAAAAACGTTGTCGTGTGGACAGCCCCTGAATAACATCTACTCTGTGTTTCTTCTTTAGTTCCTCCAGCGTCAGTGACCGCTCCTCCTCCTGCTCCGGCTGTGGGCCTGTCCCAGTCGGCCGGAACTGTCAGCCTCCAGCAGGCCTTCACCGAACTCCGACAGACTACTCAACTGGACACTGGCCCCAGCACTGCTCCTGCTTCCATCCACTCACCCGTCCCTCCTCTCCAGCTCCCTAACTACCGCCGCCGCCGCCACCAGCTCCCCCGCACCTGCCCCAGTACCCCCCACGAGTAGCCCCACTACGTCCTTGGTTCCCCCTGTTACTCAAGAGCTCGAGATAATTATCCCAAACTCTCCGGCTTCTGCTGTACCTGCGATTTGCCTCAGTCCGCCTTGCACCTCTTCTCCGCCTGTCACTATACTAAGCCAGCAGATTCTCCAAGCCGTAACCCAACCAGAAGTCCCAAATTTACCCCAGATGCCCTCTCAAATCTTACCGCAAATCGCAGCTATCAGTACATCCGTAGCACCGATCCCCGTTACGACTTTACCGCCGGTCCAGCTCACGTCGCCGCCAATTGTTCAAAGTATTCCCGCAGTAACGTCTCCTCCGCCTTCCACAATGCCCAGTGATGTAGGTTTCGATACCACCTCCGCAGCTCTTCCCGTGTTACCGCCGACAATAGCCCCGAGCACCGGTACTGCCCAGGCCCCTCTCCTGGCTACGACGGCGAGCCCGATCCCCGCCTCTTCGATCGGGCAAGTGAGCTCCAGCGTCGCCCCGTTAGTCCAGCCCACCCTGATACACTCCCAGCCGCAAACGGTGGCGCTGCCGGGGCAAACCCACGCGCACTGCGGAGAGTGTGAACCCAGAACCGAGGTCCCGGCGGATCCGCAAGGAAAACCGGACGACATCCAAGCGCTCGAGAAGAAGCTGCGCTCGCTCTTCATGGATCTGGGAGGAGTCGGGTCTCCTCAGGGGGATTTGGTCGGGGCCGATTCGGTTTTCAGTCCGTCTACACCCGGGACGTCCACTCCTCTCGCGCCAGGGTTTATGTCCACCCTGCCCACCACCATTCACAGCGGGCAGGTGGCCAGTACCCCCCAGCCCCCGTCCAGTCTGGCTCTGGGGCAGATGGGGGCGAGTACGCAGAGCCAGGGGGGTCCCGGGACTCCCATCAGCGCCGCGCCTCCTCCGACTGGTACGTACATGCTGGTTTGGTTTCTATGTTTTGGTTTTTGGTTTGATCAAGATGAACAATTTGGCAAAAAATATAAAGAAAGAAAAGGAAATTAATAGCAAAAATGACATTAGGGATGCAAGATGTATCAAATCAGTCAAATCCAAATCATAATTTGATGGTTGCAATCAAAAGGACTGCCGTTATTTAAGTCCTTTGCAAACCACAAAATATCTGTTATTCTGTCTAAAAGCTGCTTACCCTGTATTTTAGACTTCAACAAACATGTTCTGAAATGCATTGGATTCTTGTATTACCGTATTTTTTGGACTATAAGTCGCTCTGGAGTATAAGTCACACCAGCCAAAAAATGCGTAAAGAAGAAGAACAAAAACATATACGTCGCACTTTTTGGGGGAACAGACAAACACATTTCATCTTGAAAGTCAAGTTCTAGTAATAACAGTAGAACAGAGAACAACAGACTGTTAACGTCACATATGAACAGTTCTTCAGATAAACTATAACATAAACAACAGAACAGAACAAGTTTAACAAACTCTCCATCTCACTCCAAATCACTAAATCCACTGAATTCTTCATCCTCGGTGTCACTTCAGAACAACTCCGCGACCTCCGGAGGTAAACAGACACCGCTTCCTCTTCTGTGTCGCTATCATCAGACTCAGCATCAGTTCCAGTTAGAATTATTCCTGCCTTTCTGAATCCCGACAGGATGGTTTTGGTTTTATTTATGTTTATGGTCAGTGATACAGAAGTAATGGTGCGATCGACTGATATGATACCAGACAGGACAGAGGCTCTTTCTCTTTCTTCTACAGCCAACACACGTAGTAGTAGTGTGCAGCGTGTGAAGTGACAGTGGTACAGGAGCACACAAGCCTAGAGCCTCTCGTGACTGTCAGTGTGAAAATTTTAACAAAGAAATCACACCGAAGTATAAGTCGTAGGACCACCCAAACCATGAAAAAAAGTACAACTTATAGTCCAAAAAATACGGTAGTTTATCAGTTCAAATTTCAGTTTTCTCTCAAATGTTAATGCTCATGGACATGTTTAATATGAACTCTCGAACAGAACTGCAAAGTTTGTGGAAAAAAAATTGCAATTTGATATTTTATTAATTGTTCAGCTCTGTCTTAATTATAAAAAGCAAAGTCAAGGGAAAAATCCTAAAGAAACAAGTATGGAAGTGTAGATGTGTCAGAAGTTTTGAATAATTGAAAAAAAAAATGCATTAACATGTGATAGGTGGGTATGATTTTACATTACTTTTCAGCATCTTTAATTCAGACTGACAAAATTCAAGTTGAGAAATTCAGATTGGAAAAAAAAATCAAGTTGCCAAATTCAGATAAAAAAAAAAATTCAAGTTGAGAAATTCAGATTTTTTTTTTTTAATCTGAATTTGGCAACTTGAATTTTGTCAGTCTGAATTAAAGATACTGAAAAGTAATGTAAAATCATACCCACCTATCACATGCTTATGCGTTTTTCCAGTTATTTCCATTTCAACTTTTTTTTTATTCAAGTTATTGCATTCATTATGAAATATTCTGATTCAAAACTTCTGGCACATCTATACATCCACAAACAAGTCATTGATCTCTTCTGGAGCACTAACATTTGATAATACTGGAGCTTAAAGGTTTTATATTACACAAAATTGACTCTTGTGAGCTTTTAGCCGTGTCGTAATGTTTTTACCTCTTCAACAACACACTTGGAGTTGTGGTTTGTTTCATTCATGTTTGAGCAATTCTGTATTATTATTATTAGTCTGCTTACATTTCCAAAGCGCAAATACTCTGTTCTACCTTGTAATGTCATGAAGTAGTAGATTTCAGGATGTTTATTGATTAATCTAATCTAAAATGTTCATGTCTATCTATCAATCCCTCTGCCTGCAACGTCTGCCCCGCAAGACGACGCCCCAGTGAGCTCCTTTACAAAATAAAAATACCACAGAACTGCTCATTTTAGCTGTCGAATACAAAAGTGAGAAAAACACTGAAGTAATAGCAGAATTAAATATCTTCACTGAATGGTTCCTCTTTACACCCCCACAGAGACAGAGAGACAGACGACGCAATAAAACAACAAGCAATGGCACGTACAGTCTTGGTTCAGTCCACCACCTCCGCTGAAAGCCCCCGATGATAATAAAGACACTATTTTTTACATAGATCGATTAAGAATTTGTACAACAATATAACACGCGTCAACATATGAACACTAATAACAGACGAAATGGTGTTGAGTTTCTGACGGTGGATAAAGGGAAGGAGAGAGAGAACTACCGCTCCCCAAATGAATGCTGGGCAGTCAACGCAACAATCAGAACAATAAAGTTGAATCTAATGTACTTGAGTTTACCCAATACAGTGAACCCTCGTTTATCGCGGGGGATACGTTCCAAAAATAACCCGCAATAGGTGAAATCCGCGAAGTAGTCAGCTTTATTTTTTACTGTGATTTTACAATGCAATACTGAACTGCAGAATGAAACAAAAAATAAAACCTCTTTTCAGGCCCAACATGTGTTAAAGAAATAGAAATATTAACGTTTTCTTACAAATAACTATAATAGTTTAAAGAACGGTGTTGTAAAACAATATTTTTATATAGTAATGAATACAAGGTAGGAAACATTGTCACTCGCGTATTTCACAGTCCCTCCAGCTGCGCCTCTTCGTCCTGACTCCGTTGCGCTGTAGCGTCTTTTTCTACTGAAGGCTGCGCAGGGGTCTTTCTCCGAGAGAAGAACATCGTTATGGGTACTCTTTTAGCAAGAACTGCAACGACACATCTTCGTGCCGCACATCAAAGGGTCCCATTCTTGTGCCAAGTTCAATGGTTGCTAAGTCGACCATCCTTCCTCCTCTTCTTTAACAAGTGTGTCTTCTTCTTCTCGTCATCCTCGCTTGGTGGCTTTGTCATCTCTGCCAGGTCTTCGTCCGTCAGTGGTTGTGCGTGTGCATCAATCAGGTCATTGACTTCATCAGCAGTCATGTCATTAAAGCTGTCTCCTCCGTTAGCATCTTTGTCGGCACAGAACACGGACAAAAAAAATTGCGAACGTAAATTTGGCAGAATGTACAGAAACGAAAACTGTTGGCATGGGTGTAATGAAAAACCAATATAAACCTTTTTCACTTCTAGACAACAGTAACGCCCCTAAGCCAATCAGGATTCACTGTAAAAAATAAAGCACTGTAAAAAATTCCGCGAAGCAGCGAGGCCGCGATAGGTGAAGCGCGATATAGCGAGGGATCACTGTATATGACAAATGCACAGAGGAAACATTCTAACACAGATCAGAAAGTAGTGTAATATGGGCCCTTTAATCTGTACAGGAATAACAGGTATTTTCAAATATGTCACCCACTTGCGTTTTTTCATTCACGTCTTACATTATTCAATTTCATTTCACAGTAAACCCTGCCTTGCCTTTTGTCCAATCCACCCCATCCAAAACTCCAGTGTCCAGGATGCAGGTGAGTCTTTTTTTTTTCAAAGAGCATGAACTTCTTTTAAGGTGTTGGTTGGACTATTTTATTTTATTTACTTTTCATAACTGACAAGCATGTGGATTTCTGTTAACATTTTCAACGGGGAGCTGTTCTTCTTCTAACTGTGCACCTTTTCTCTCTCTCTCTCTCTCTTTCTCTCCTCCTTCATTACTCCGTCTTTCTGTGGGACTAGGCCAGCTCTCCTCCCTCAGAACTGCTGCCACCCTTCTCTGGACTCAATCAGGTGTTTATTTATCTATAGTTTTGTTGGGTGTAAGGTGTAATACTTCCTCTTTAACAATAGGTTTTGTTTTAAAATGGTTAAATACCTTCATTTTCATTATTATTATTACTGCATTACCATATCGGAATAAGATTTGTTAATATACGATCACAGAATTAATCAAAACATCTAGACCAGTGTTTCCCAAACTTTTTTTTCTGGGGACCCATATTTTAAAAGTGACAAACCTTCGCGACCCAAGTCAATAGAGATTATCTTAAATCGCAAAATAAAGGTGGATTTGAGCATTAATGAGGATATTTTATTGTTGACTGAGTGATCGTGTCTCTCTGAATTAGTATTATTCAAGTTTTAAACGATGAAAAATAGTTGAAGCAGCAATAAAAGGATCCATAAGTCGTCTATTTGGACATTAAATGTAGCCCATTTCTTTTCAACATTCAATTGAACCGAAATAGTCAATAAAATAATTACAAAAAGATTAGAAATTATACAAACATGTCTTAATATTTCAACATTTCTAGTGAGATAGGTGGGCCTGTCTGTGTTCCAGTCCGAGTGCAGGAGCAGAGCGTAACAGATCAGACGCAGCATTCAGTCTGTTTCTGTGCTTTGTTTTCATTTTTGTGAGCACAGAAAATCCCAATTCACACATATATGTAGTAGTGAAATAGCCTGATTCATCAGCCGGTTTCACTTGTTTCACTTCGTAGAAACCGTCTGAGCTCACATTGTCAGAATTCGTTCGCTCGACGGGACTAACTGGTATATTAAGCTTTTCCCAAATCCCGTAGGAAGACGGACAGTAACGTCTTTCCCCTTGATAAAATTCACCAAACATTCTCTTTTTTTTTTCCGGCTTTTAAATGTTGCCTCGATCTTGGGAAAATCAGTGCTGACAACAACTGAGATGAGATACAGACAGCGGAGCAGAATGCTTCGCTGAATTCGCTTGAAAAATTGCTGGTGCCCAAACTCGCACTTCTGAGGTTTTTGTGAACCGTCTATTGTATTCTGATTCCTGACCTTGTTGCTGGAGAGAAATTAAATTGAGCGGAGGCACTAGGTCAGGGCCGGCCAGGCTAGTAATGAAAGGAATAAAGATAGAAATACTGGCTCTAAGGACAGGATATTCTGACCAAATGCTCATCCAGAATGACGATAAGGTCACAGATCCATGTAAACAACTGTATATTCCAGACCTATATGCAGATCGTAACAAGGCGACCCAAAAAAAAATCTCTTGTGTCCCACCTGAGGGTCTCGATCCAGTCTTTGGGAAGCAATGTACTAAACCCCTGCAGCCAACATTTCGTCACCAACCAGGTATAGCTTCTTCTGGTCTTTGTGTTTGCGACTGTGGCTCACTGCGGCGGAAGCTAAACCACAGGCGGTTCCCTCTCTCCGACAGTCAGAAGGAAATCACTGCCAATCTCCTGTTGAACTGATTAAAGCAAATCTTAAAATCTCAAACCTGGTAGTGGTAGATTTGGTAGTGAAATTTTGGCTGCAGGGGTTTAGCAGGTACAAAGGTTTTGATTAATTTTGTGATAATAGTTTGTTCCTGAACGTCTCAAGATTTGCTTCAATTAATATGTTCATACAGAAAACAAATTAAACGCATTAGAACAGGGGTCTCCAACCTTTTTCCTCCAATGAGCTACCTTTACGAAACAAAAATGCCAGAGAGTGACTAGTTTTAGCGGTCACAAGAAATTTAGTATATAACATAGCCACAGCAAACCTTAGATGAAGTACAGTTAGGTTAAGGTGAGCGGACGTCCCTGTTTATCCGGGACAGTCCCAGTTTTGAGCCCTGTGTCCCCTGTCCCAGCAGATTTATACAAAACCACAGATTTAAAACACAACGGACTCCAAAGAAGTAAAAATCGCACGAGGAAAAATATAGTGAAAAGGCCGTTATTTAAATGGCAAAAGTGAAAATGTTTCGATCCAACCTGGTCTTCATCAGGGCTTAGTTAAAAGCCACAGATTTTTTTCCTGTTTTTTTACAAGAAGTGTCCCTATTTTTGACCAATTTGATCTCTGCCAACAGTAAAGAGAGGCATAAATTGTGATTTGTTTAGGTAAAATACAGAAAAGCTGCTTAAAAATGACCAAAACACAAAGAAAATGCCAAGTACAGAAAAGTTTTCATTAATTACACAATTTTATTATTACCAACCACCTCAAACCAGCGGTGCTCCAGTTTTTATTCCGAAAATCTGGTCACCTGATGTTAGACGCCTATAAAACACAAACCATTATCCATTTATTAGTGTATAAAGTTAGGTTCAAAATGATATATGTACAATGGTAAAATTCAAATTTTAATTCAGAAATCCCTTGGCGAGCTCCTAGGAAGGGGGTGGAGAAATACGAGCAGGTCCCGAGGTACAGGTTGGAGACTCTTGCATTAAAATAATTGTATTTTTTAAGTTAAAACTATGGCTGAGACTATGTGAGGGCCAAATAAGCAAATTTATTGTCTTTCCATATATTTTTCAAGCTCCATAAACTAGCAATGAAAATCACAAGTCAAGTTTCCAGAGTGATTCATTCAGCACATTATTCTAGTTTATCATTTGCCTTCTGTAAATGTGTATAATATTATGCAGATAAAGGCAAAAAAATGATTCAAAACTAAATGAATTTGACCGAAAATTACATAATTATGTAACTGTGGTTCTATGAATCCCTGAAATCCACTGAAACGTCTTGATGTGCTCTTTCTTCTCGTTTTGTAAATAAATAAATAAACACACAAACAAATGCATAATAAATGTGTCATCGATCAGTCCCAGCAGCCTTTGGAGGATCTTGATGCTCAGTTGAGAAGAGCCTTGAGCCCGGAGACGGTCCCCATCAGCGCACACGCACAAGTGAGCACAAACAAACGCTAAAATGTACAATGAACAAGAGATAATTATCTAATCTAACTTGTATTTTGTTTTGTTTTTCTCCAGCTGCCTCCAAACGCTGGGATGGGACAGCCAAGTATGTTTATTTAATATACGTTCATTTCAAATATTTTTCCATGTTTCTTCTTTCTCACGTCTTTATTAATCTTGTTTTTAGTCGCTTTTAATTTGGAAGATGAGTTTCGAGCTTGTCCTTCCCCGTCTCCAGCTCCTGTGCCCGCTGTGCCCACCGGAGAGGTTAGACTGGGACGATTTAAGGTAATATGTTCAAGGAGATGCACTATTCTGGAATCTTAACCTTTTTTTTAATGTTTTGGCGTCTCAAAAACATACTAAACCTTGAGTATTATTTTTATTCAGACCTTTTTAAAGCAGACCTATTGTGCGAAATCGACTGTTTAGAGCTTTTATTGTGTCCCCTCGCCATTTACTCTTACTCTGTGTTTGGAATGATTCGTGCATGTTTAAATAATCTTTAATCTCTTATTTTCAAAACGCCATTTGTCTATCAATACCTGCTTTCACTGCCACTGGTACACGCCCACTGCTCTCTCTCCTTTTTTTTTTTCTTTATTGGTGATACTTGGAGGATTTGGCAGCTTCGTGTAGACATTTTGGTACAAATAAAAAATAAAAAAAAGTCTCCATGATCTCCAAGCATGATCTGTTTACCATGACACCAGCTCCCACTAGGCTGAGGTGTTTCTTTTATTAAGTCGTTTTAGATGAATATTGTGATTTAAAATGTTCAAATTATGACTTAAAGGTTGTATAGAGGATTTTTTTAAGGGAAGAGAAATACAGCGACAGTCCTTGTGCGCATTCAGAATTACTGTTGAAGTTTCCTGTCTAGAAGTAATTCAGCGACCGACGCGTCAGTTTTTAGACGCTTCGTCTGCTTCGGACGCGCCATCGCTGGACAAGATCTCCAAGAATCACCTCAGTTTGACTTTGCTCCTTTTCCTCTTCTCTTCTTCTTTCAGCGACCTCAAAAATGGACTTTCTTTTGCGGCGAACCGATCGTGGATTCTCGTCCACCGTCGTGACAAACTTTGTGCGAAATGCGAGGAAGCGACAGTTCGAAAAAGCCTCTAAGAACTGCCGCGTAAACCACGTAATCCCCGCACTCCGACGAGTCAGTTATACTAGGGAGTTTGATTGACAACCCAACAGCCAATAGAAAATGAGGGAGCCTCGTTTTCTATTGGCTGATGTTTATCTGCCTTCACTACATCCACAGTTGATAGATTTTCGTTCTTTTTTTTTTGGTCATCATAATTACAAAGCTGCTGCGTCTCTGTAATGGTATTTTAATCTTTCACTGACAGCTTGAAACAAAAAAAAATCCTCCATACAACCTTTAATGATCCACTGGTGTCAGAGATTATAACTATAAAGCGACTCAGCACAATAGGTCTTCTTTAATTGATCCCATTTGAATAGGTGTCTCTTTCTGAATTGACTTAAAGCATTTGTTTCAACTCTATATGTGAAATGAAATGTGCAAATGAAACCTGGAAATAGTTCTATAGGTTTTATCTCAATACAGGGTAACTACCGTATTTTCCGGACTATAAATCGCTCCTGATTTTAAAGGTTGTATGGAGGATTTTTTTTGTTTCAAATTGTCAATGAAAGTTTAAAATACCATTACAGAGACACAGCAGTTTTGTAATTATAATGACCAAAAAAAAAAAAAGAATGAAAATCTATCAACTGTGGACATAGTGAGGACAGATAAACATCAGCCAATAGAAAACGAGGCTCCCTCATTTTCTATTGGCTGTTAGGTTGTCAATCAAACTCCCTAGTGTAACTGAGTCGTCGGCACGCTGGGATTATGTGGTTTATGCAGCGGTTCTTAAAGGCTTTTTCAAACTAGTTTCCTCGCATTTCGCACAAAGTTTGTCGCGATGGCGAACGAGAATCCACGACCGGTTCGCCGCAAAAGAAACTCGGTTTTTGAGGTTGCTGAAAGATGACGAGAAGGAGAAAAGGAGCGAAGACAAACTGAGGTGATTCTTGGAGATTCCTTCCACCGATGGTGCGACTGTCGCTGTATTTCTCTTCCCTTAAAAAAATCCTCTATACAACCTTTAAGTTGTACCAGCCAAAAAATACATCATGAAGAAGAAAAAAACATACATAAGTCACACTGGTCCATAAGTTCAATTTTTTGCTGATTTTTTTTTGTAAAGACTAGGAGAACAGGAACAACAGACTGTTAACGTCACATATGAACAGTTCTTCAGATAAACTATAACATAAACAACAGAACAGAACAAGTTTAACAAACTCTCCATCTCACTCCAAATCACTAAATCCATTCAATTCTTCATCCTCAATGTCACTTTCTGAGCAGCTCCGATAACTCTGGGTAAATCTCGCTTTTAGTCCACGATAAGCTTTTGTTTTGTTTTCTTCATTGCAGTTTGACAATCCTCCGCTTTGCCCTAGTCTCTCACAAGTTTCTCGCTCACTCCAAACTTTCTTTCTGCAGCTCGATTATTATTTTCTCCTGAATATTTCACTACTTGCAGCTTGTAATCTACAGAATATGATTAACCGATAGTGTGATAAAATAAGTTACGATGCTAAAGTAACATTAGTGCAGGTGAGTGCGTAAATGACGAGAAGAAATGTCTCAAACTTCAGTAGCCGGACATCCGCTCATACCTGATCGATACATCTAGCTCTGCCCCCAAAGAGAGAGTCTGAAATCTGCTGAAATCCTACAAGACACTGACATGATACAGACAGGACAGAGGCTCTTTCTGCAGGAGACATGCGCAGTAGAGTGAAGTGACAGAGTTACAGGAGGAACAGGAGCTGCAGATACTGACACACGACACTAGAGCGCCCTCTTGAGGCAGTGTGAAAAATAACAAACATGTGAAATTACATATTTTAATATATAAGTCGCACCAGAGTATAAGTCACAGGATCACCCAAACCATGAAAAAAATGTATCTAAGGCTACGTTCAGACTGCAGCCTGAAGTGACCCAAATCCGATTTTTTGGCCCCTATGTGACCTGTATCTGATCTTTTAATGACAGTCTGAACGACACAGATCCGATTTTTTCAAATGTGACCCAGGACACTTGCATATGTGCTCCTGAAACTGATACATATCTCATCTTTTGACATGCGACTTCAGTGTGAACGGCCAAAGCGCATTCATCCACCTACACGTTATCAACAAACCACAAACGTCACTATTCTGCGCTGAAGTAGGCGAAAATTGTTAATGAACTCTGTGTCACTGAAGTGAAGCACATCACCACTCACCACTCTTGTCTACATCTGCGCATCCACACGTTCCTTTCAACGGACGTCGCTGCCGCTGCCCCACAAAACACCACGACGAAAAACCTCGTCCTTCTCCTTCTCAATCTCCTCCTTAAAACAAGTAAGTTGTTCATGTTCTGGCTCCGGTACGAGAGGAACTTTAAAATCTCCAGGTGCTCGATGCTCGCGTCCATGTTTGGACAACCTCCGTAAACACAGAGACGCTCACTGCGGTTGACATCATCGTGTCTCCAGTGTCACATGTGGGACACTTTCGGGCCGTTTAATGTTCACACTGGAGTCACATACAAGTCGCATTTAATTGGAAATGTGAATGCGGATTTCACAAAAAAATCGGAATTGAGCTTTAAGCCCTGCAGTCTGAACGTAGCCTTACAGTCCAAAAAATACGGTTTGAAGCATCTCTGTATTTTATAGCTTAACATGTAAAATAGCCATGCTGTTAATTCCACTATTTCATTGTCAGTGTCAATCGCAACATCATGCCATAAAAGTTTGCATAAATCTGTTGTATCTAACAATAAAATACAAGTAATCTATTTGGGAAAAGCAGAGCAGAGAATCGAGAAAACTTGATGCATGTATGTTTATTTATTTGTTACCATATATTTTAGATTTGTCCTAAATAATTTCTAATATCTGTTTTAATTTAGGTTTCCCTTGCGTTTGATGAGCCTGCCGCCCCTCCTCCGGTCTGCGTCGACTCTTCCTCCACCTCCTCCTCCTCTTCGTCCTCCTCAAATCTCTCCAGTCCTGAGAACACGCTGCACAAGGCCACTCCGTCCCCGCTCAAACCTCCCGTCGTCCAGTCAGGAGACGCCGTGGATCGACCGCCCCAAAGGATTCTGGGAGGAGGGTCCGGACAGCCCTCGCCCTTCGCCTCCCCGTGCCCCTCCCCCAAACCCACCACCACCATCGGCCGCTTCCAGGTACGATTATTTTAACCTTCTACACGTTTAACTCCCCAAAAAACGAAAAACAGAACTAAACTCATTCCTCACTTTCCAAGCCTCCTAATTATTCACCCCAATGAGTTTCTAAGTGCTTTTCACAGCTTTCAGAGGCTAGGGCAGAGTTTTGTTGTCATGGTAACGCCGACAACTAGCATGCAAACAGCGCACCAGCCTTTCTTTCTGGTTTTGCGATCGGTAAAAATGCTTTATAATTTAATACAGGCAGCACACTCCGCTCTTAATTTGACCCTTGTGGAATCATAAATGAAAACTGGTGGAATCGTAATTTAAAAATATTATTAAAGGTGCACTGTGTAACTTGTCTCCATGGTGATGTCTTTGCGTTGCCTGGGATGTTCCACAGTATGGCATTAAACAACTAGATCTTGTATTTATTCATTTACAGGTGTTTTTATTTCTCAAACGTACCTCAGAAACATGTATTATTACCGTTAGTGCACCCACTTCTCCACAGATCTGACCTGTCATACTGTAGAACATTCTAGGAAAAACAATAACATCTACACGGACTCAGGTGAGGGACTCTCTACTAGAAAATTTACACAGTACCCCTTTAAATATAATATTGTTAAAGTTGTATGTTTTATATATATATATATATATGTACCGTATTTTCCGCACCATAGGGCACACTCAAAAACCTCCAACCCCATCGTAAAACGACTACGCGCCCCACAATCCAGAGCGCCCTATACACGAATCCACTCGGGTGTCCCAGCACGACTTCATTAAACTACAAAGCCTCAAACACACACGGAGCAGACAGCGACCGTACGGCGAAAAACACCCGCAGCCACACTCATCACTCCACGCTGACGAGGAACGGAACGGAGGAACGAACCGAAAAAGCGAGCGCAATGTGCCGCTTCTAGACACGACTGAACAACTGAGTCACTGCAAACGCGCCGACAATCCGTTGGTCCCAGACAGCACCTCCCTACACGCCACAACTGAACAAAGCCCAGAGTCACCGTGAACGAACAAACAAACAAAACCACTCACCCATCACACTGTTGTGTTTCGTTTAAAGTCCGGTGCGGTTTATTTGTGAAAAAAGTTTGAAAATAGACCATTCAACAGTGACAGTGCGCCTTATAATCCAGAGTGCCCTATAGTGCGGAAAATACGGTAAATTGGACGATAAATCTCCTCCTTGTTGTTTTAAAAATGTGTGTGATTGTTCTATTGTAACATTTTTTGGTCAAAGTATTTTAATCAACGTGATTCATCTTAACATCCCTCTTTAAGATGCGATTTGTAACTTTCCTTGTGGAGTGTCCTTCAGACGCTTTTTTCCATGGAGAAGTTATTACTTTGTCTGGAATGTTTCACATTATGGTATTAAACCTTTCTATTTCCATGGAGACCAAACCAGACCAAGTTACAGGTCAGATCTGTGGAGAAACGACCCCGCTCACAGTCAGAATGCCTGTTTTTCTAGGTATTTTTGAGCTTTAAAACCACCTGTAATTGAATAAATGTAAGGTAGAGCTGTTTAATGCCACACTGTGGAGGCAGAGCAATGACATATCCACAGAAACAATCAGGTGATGGACCCTTCAGCAGAAAAGTTACACACTGCACCTTTAATAGTATGTTGCACTACTGCCCTGTTAAAATTGTGGGTCGATAAACTATATAGCACAATGAAACTGTTAGTAAATAAATGTTTTGTGTTTTTTCAGGTCACCACCAGCACAGAAGCGCGCGTTGGCCGTTTTTCAGTCAGTCGTGCCCCAGATCAGAGCCCCGAAGCTGTGAAGAGCCCCCCTCCTGTGCAGCCCCCCTCCACGCCGGCCACCAACGGCCCCAGCGCCCCGGTCCAGATCCCCAGTCCAGACTCGCCCCACAAGGCCTCTCTGCCCGGCCTCAACAACTCCTTCAGTAACTCCTTCAATAACTCTTATCTGAGCAGCGACAATGACTCGGAGTTTGAGGACGAAGATTTCCAAAGAGAAGTCAACCGCCTCCGAGAGAAGTAAGGGGCTGTTTTTAAAGATGCACTATGTAACTTTTCTGATGGAAGGTTTGACTCCATGGAAATGTTATTTGCACCTAGATAGAATAAGATCTCTACTGATTTCTCCTATAGGTGGCAGATCCTCTACCTCAGACATGTCAAACTCAGGCCCAGGGTCCAAATTTGGCCGAGATATTATATTTGGCCCCTCATATCATATCAAACATGTGTTAGACCTGACCCGCCGGCTACCGATAGGCTATAGAGACATTATTTATTTAAAATGTTGTTATTATTTTATATTTTGCTTGTTCGGGATTCAGTGTTTAAGCAAAACTATTATCAAACATTTATTTTAATAAGAAAAGGTTTAAAATTACATCTACTTTATACCCAACATCTTCCGTCTTCCATTAAATTTTTCAGATCATGATTTCGTTGTCAGAAATACAGATTCCATGACCACAATAATAATAAAAAACACACTTTGTTTTCAATTCCCATGTGGTCTTATATCTGTGTAATCCCTCAGTGGTTCAGGTAGGTTCCATAGGTGTAAATGAGTCGATGGCTACATTTGATTGATTGATTGATTGATTCGTTTTATTTCGAGTTTGTGCCAAGAGAGAAAAAATAATCATATATACCAACAATAGAAAAGCACATTTCTCGAAATATATATGAACCCACCCCTGTTCATGACGTTCAGGTCGCATGCCGAATTTTCAGTAAATATTTAATTTGGCCCAAGACTTAGTCCCAGTTTTTAATTTTGGCCTTTGTAAATTTGAGTTTGACACTCCTGCTCTACCAGAAAAACCTAACTGTACACTTTTAATCTATTATATAGTCAACAAACCCATTTTACAAGAGCTTTTATTTTATAGTTAACAGGATAAGCATATAGAAATATAATTGGTAACATGTGTATTTATATTTTTTAAACAATCTTGACACATTGTTGTATGGTATGGTTTCAGCTTTTTTGTTTTGTTTTTAAGTGTTGTTTTATATAGGTAAAACTTTATTATTTTGTTTTTATTTTGACTATTAGAACTATTAAAATGAGTTTTTATAATAAACTAGAACATAAAGCAATACAATAGTAATAAACAATAAAACTAGACACAAATATCTAAAACCTAAAACAACAGAACATAGTTGTGTTTAATGGTAGTGGTGACAAATTATAGAGGATTACTCAAACACAGGTGAAAGAAAGATGCATGTTTTAGTTTTAGTTGAGGGAACAAAAGTACCGCATACAAACTTGTTGATGTTTTTGAGATAATCTAATAATAATAATGTTTTCCCAGGCACATGTTGGAGATTCAGGCCCTCCACTCCCGACAGAAAGAGGAAATTGAAGGTCTTTTTGCTCGACTTGGAAAGGTACGTCTTAGTCCATTTTATCAAGTCAAGTCTCAAGTCCTAAAAATAGTGACTCAAGTCTGACTCGAGTCCAAGTCACGAATTGCAAGTCCCCACGTCTGGTAGTTACCTCCGCCAAGGAGGTTATGTTTTTGCCAGCGTTTGTCTGTTTGTTTGTTTGTCTTTTAGCAACATAACTCAAAAAGTTATGGACCGATTTTGATGAAATTTTCAGGATTTGTTGGAAATGTGAAAAGGAAGAACTGATTTCATTTTGGGGGTGATCCGGAAGAAATCCTGGATTCTGGATCACTTTGAAATTTTAGTTAACATTGTGGTAAATGGGGCCAAAATTTTGTTTCTCAATATCTCGGTTAATTATTGACCAAACCCCATGAAATTTGACTCAGGGATGGACAATGGGATCCTCTTTCATATTCCAAAGGCTGATCCGGATCTGATCCAGAAGACTGATTTTATCGCAATTTATATAAAAAATGGGGGTAGTCCTTGGCGGAGGTCTGCGCTCTCTGACTGCTTTTCTAGTTAGTTTTTTTTTTTTTCATGTGATACTTTTACTTGAGTTTTTTTTTTTTGCTCCGGTATCTGTACTTTTACTCAGGCAACAGAATTGAGCACTTCTACCACCACTGCTTTTAAATAATGACATTTGACTCTCTGAAGCATCATTTTAACCCTTTTAATACTCCATTTCTGCAGGTTCCTCCAGCCACAGTCATGCCTCCTGTAATACCGCTGTCGGGCAGGAGGAGGCGACCTACGAAAAGTAAATCCTCAAAATCCTCACGAACAAGCTCCACACACGGAAGCAAGAGTCCATTACCACAAGGTACGGTACAAATATGAATTTCATATTTAAGATCCAGGGTTAGCAATAGTTTTTATATTATTTTTTCACTTAGTCAGCTACTCCGATGATTGTTTTTATTGTACATTCAGATTTTTAAATGCACTTTTAACCAAATAAAGGTTAAAATTTGGTGATTGAAGTCTTCTAGAGGACCATTTTTTTCAGGTTTAAAGCAACACAATAACAGTACGTGTGTTTTTGCATTGTTGTGTGCTCAGTGCTTAAAGCTACAGCAGCTTGTGTTCACGTTTTGTAATTTGGTCATGTCCAAAACTCAGATGGAGAGCAGTGGCTTATATTAATATGAATTCACTCTTTTTTTAAGAATTATCCAAACACAAAGAAAGTCTGTAATCTCATATGTAATTATGTAAATATGTTTTTAAATATCTTTTATTGATTGGGCGTCTTTTAAAGGGACAGTCCGGAATTTTGGACATAGGACCTCATTTCCAGAGTTTTGGAGACGTGTGGAGACACTTTTTAGAATATTGTTAGAATTTATTAATTTATATATTTATATGGGAAGCCCCTTGAGATCTTGCTTGTGAGGGCGTCCTAAATACATTAACAAAAATAGCGTTTACAGAAAAGAAAGAAAAAACAAATTGGAACAGAACAAAAGACAAACTCAAAACAAAGACAACATTCACACCTATATTTGTAAATTAGTGAAGAAAAAAAAGCAACTCTATGTACAAGAGAAAGTACAACTGAAATGTATTTTTATCAACAACAGGAGCAGGATGTTTGTAAGTATCTGACGCCTTAAACATGTTTATCCATATTCCATCCAGTCCTTGTATTTGCAGAGGTCACTGGTGCTAGACTAGTGCATGTCAATGGTCATAGTTTATCCTGCCACTTAAAAACAGTCTTACCCACTCCACAAAACACCCGAAGAAAATCTATTATTACACCAGACTGTCCATGTAAATGTCTGTGTCGCTAGAATAACGTTTGAAATAAAGTTAACCTTGCAGCACATGAATCGTCGCATGCTGAGGGACTATTTTCTCATATATCAGTCCGCCGCTGCTGAGCTTTCTATCAGGAAGAACAACTCACTGCTGCTGCTCAGACATAAATCCTTCAAATGCAAGGTTGGTTTTACTTCTAAAACTATTCTATTAACACAGACATTTACATGGACAGTCTGGTGTAATAATTGCTTTGCCTTGGGTGCTTTGTGGTAGCCTGATTCATCAGCCGGTTTCACTTCATGGAAACCATCTGACCTCGTAGCATTAGGATTCGTTCTCTTGACGATAAGCGGGTACTTTTTTATTTAACCAATCGCTGCTATTTGGTCGTGACTTTTGTAATGCACTGCTAACGGGGCTAACTGGTATATTAAGCTTTTCCCAAATCCCGTAAGAAGAAGGACAATGACGTCTTTCCCCTTGATAAAATTCACCAAACATTCTCTTTGTTCCGGCTTTAAATCCTCAATCTCGAGAATCGTTGCCAACGCAGAATGTCTGTCTTTGTCTACATCCATCTCGACGCTTTGTTTACTGTTGTGCTGTTCACAAAAAGGACCCCGTCGTGGCTTCACAGCTCTTCGCTGATTGGCCGATGTGCGGTCTACAACTTCCGGGGCTCTTGCAAACGGTCTAGTGTATTCCAGTTCCTGACCTAGTCGCTGGATAGAAATTAAATTGAGTGGAGGCACTAGGTGGCACCAACCTGGCAACTATGACCATTGACATGCACTAGTCTAGCACCAGCGACCTCTGCAAATACAAGGACTGGATGGAACATTTTAAAAAGTGTCTCCACACGTCTCCAACCCTCTGACTCACTAGGAAATTAGCTCCTATGTCCAAAATTCCGGACTGTCCCTTTAAGACTTGCTTTACATTGCATTATTTCTCCATCCTTGCCTCTCCTCCTCTTGTTCTAACATCCCTCTATCATCTTCTCTTCATCTATTTATCTTTCCCCTTTCCTATACCTCGCCCTATCCATCATTCCTCCCCTTCTCTGTCTTCCCACTTTTGTCCCGTTTCTCTCCCTTCTCCTCCTTTCACTCTTTTCATTCTCAACGTTCAAATGGCGAGCGCAGAGAGTGAAAATGACTCACTGCACGCTGCTAACTACATTTGAACTTGTTAAAAACGTCAAAACTGCTACACAAACCATTCATTTTTGAAGCCCATTAGCCATCCCTGTAATTCTGCTCTCCATCTCAATGTGAACCTCTTAAAATATTCTAACACGACGTGAACACAACCTCTCCATGTGCTCGTACTGTGCACCAGAACCCTCCCCGTGTGTTTAGCTCTGTGGCTCCGTGTTTGTGTGCGTTTTTGCCTCATGTTTTTTGCCTGTTCCCTGTCTCCTTCTGCCCCCCCTTCCACGTCGCACCGTTCGTAGGAAGCACTTTATCCGCCCAGAGCGCCCCCTCCATGTTCCCCGGGCAGCTGCCTCTCTTAGCCCCGGGAGCGTTAGCCGATCCGGGGCTCCAGTCCGTGCTGCAGCCCCTCAAATCCTCCCCCTCCAGCGACATCCTGTGCTCCGCCTACACCAGCGACGCCGCCCTCTCTGTGCCCAGCCTGTGCGCCCCCACGCCAGGTAGGAACGCAACTGCAGGCCCCTCTCTTCTCCAGCCACTGCCTCCTTTCACAAAAAAAAAAAAAAAAGGTTGGGATGTTTTGACGAATGTGAATAGAAAGTTAAAACGGGTTTGTAAATCTTGGATCGCTTTCTGGATCAGCTTCAGGTCTGACGCAGCTATTGGAAGGAAATTGTATTATAACATATGTATAGTTTAGTTTATAATACTAATAATTAGGGATGGATATCATGAAAAAGTTGCCGATACAATACATACCTCGATACATAAACACGATACAATACGTTTTTGATACAGTGCACTTTCAATTCAATACGATTCGATATGACATATTTAAAATTTATTCGATACGGTTCAGTAAAGGCATAAAGTCTTAATTAATCCACAAAATTTGTACAAAGTTAAGCCTGATTCATTCATCAGACGGTTTCACTTTGTGGAAACTGTCTGACCTCGCAGCATTAGGATTCGTTCGCTCGACGGTAGGCGGGTGCTTTTTTATTTAACCAGTTTCTGCTGTTTGGTCGTGACGTACAGTATGTAATGCGCCAAATCACGTAGGAAGAAGGGCAATAACGTCTTCACCCTTCATAAAATTCACCAAACATTTTCTTTGTTCCGGCTTTAAATCCTCGATCTCTGGAATCGTTGCCAACTCAGAATGTCTGTCTTCGTCTACATCCATCTCGACGCTTTGTTTACTGTTGTGCTGTTCCACAAAATGGACCCAGACAGATACTTGAGTTTGACGTCATGGCTTCACAGCTCTTCTCTGATTGGCCGGTGCGCTGTCTAGTGACAATCTGTGTATCGTTCGTTCATCATTCGTTTTTCAATATTAAACCAAAAATAAGAAACTGAAAAAACAACTATTTTCTTCATTATTTATCTCCAAAACCAAAATGAAAAAACAGATGATGATTCGTTTTTTCATGTTTTCAGTCCTGGTCTGGTCCTGATCTCAGTCCTGGTCTCAGTCCTGGTGTCAGTTCTGGTCTGGTCCCGGTCTGGTCCCGGTCTGGTTCCACTCTGGTCCTGGACCTGGTTTAGTCCTGGTTTAGTCCGTATCCAGTGCAAAAGTTTGGCATCGCAGTTTAAGTCATGTAAACGGGAAACGACTATTCGTTTTTCCATTATTCATTTAAACACAAAATCGAAAACTAAAAAAATTAATTATTATCCGTTTTTTTCATTTTGGTTTTGGAGACAAATAATGAAGAAAATAGTTGTTTTTTTTCATTTCACGAACGATACACAGATTTACAACTTCCGGGATTCTTACAAACCGTCTAGTGTATTCTGATTCCTGACCTAGTTGCTGGAGAGAAATGAAATTGAGCGGAGGCACTAGGCTGATGGGAAACATTTTACTCAAATCAGTGAAAATGTCACACAACTTTAGCTCTTACACAAAATAAATGAGATAAAATATACCTAAAAATACTCTTGGTGATATATCGATACAGCAGCCTACGATATTGATACTGTATCATCAAGTTAGACTATATGATATATCGATATTTCAATATTTTTGCACACCAATAATACTACTACTGCTACTAATAATAATAATATAGTATCAGTGGTGGGACGATATACAATTTTCACAAGATGAGACACGAGATTGGCTCTACAAGAATGAGACAAGATGAGATTTTGACAGTATTTAGGCTAAAATAAATATATTGTGCATTTCAATACCCAGTTTTAACCTCACCATTTTTGATTTACTTTATTTAATATTTCTGCTGTCACTGTAGCTCTACTTTTCAGGACTACACATGCACAAAAAAAACGTAAATCTCCAGTACACGTTTTTTTTCAATCCAAACGGAAAAACACAAGGAAAAAAATCTGATAATTTTTTCGTACACGTGGCAATTTTGTTTCATGAGATCTTGTCCCAATACTCTATCTATCGTATAATCCTTTTGCACTTGCGCTTTTACGAGCTGAAGTGTCTTGCCTAAGGACACAACAGCAGAATCGATCGGGGAATTGAGGGAATTGATACTCTCTTCGTTTCGCAAGACCGTAGTTAAATTTGCGATATAATTTGAATTTAGTGTCATTAATGAGACGTTAGATGCTTGAATTTAGTTTTTATTTGTATTAAAACTTTCATCCCAACCTTTTTTTTTTTATGGAATTGAAGTTCTTTAGAGTAATATTTTGTGCCTGTGTAAATGCATGCAGTTGTGGTCGCCACGGAAACACTCCTCTACTTCCTGTGTGAGACTCTGACTCTTTGTTTGTGTGTTCTCTCTGTCCCAAACTCACTCCTCTCCTCTTTATTCACCTCCTCACTCCTTTATTTGTGTCCAACCTCCTGATTTTCCCCCGTTAAATCGACCTCTCTGAACTTCCTCCCTCCTCTCTCTCTATTTTCTTTCTTCCCCCTCTCTCTTTTTCGATCCTTTCTTCTCTCCTTTCCGTCTCTGTTTCTCTACACCCTTTCTACCTCCTCACTCTTCTCTTTCTTTCTTTCTTTCTTTCTTTCTCTCTCTCTCCCCACCTCCGCTCGTCTTCTGTCACCTTTCTTCTCATTCATCGATCTTCTCTTCTCCTTCTTTTATTCTCTGTCCATCCCTGTCACCTTTCTCTCTCTCCTCTCTTCTCCCTCGCTCCTCACTTTCTCCCCTTCTTCTCCTCTTCCTCTTGCTCCGCTTTCCTCGACCAAACCCCGTCCATCACTTCTCCTCTTCTATCTATTTTCTCTTCTGTTCATCCTCTCTTCCCCTTCTCCTCCTCTCTTTCTGTACATCCCTGACTCCCCTCATTCTCTCACTTCCTTCTCCTCCTCTCTTTCTGTACCTCCCTGACTCCCCTCACTCGCTCTCCTCCCCTCGTTCTCTCACTTCCTTCCTTCTCCTCCTCTCTTTCTGTCTATCCCTGCCGTCTCGCTCTACTCCTCCCCCTCTCTGCCTCACCACTTTCTCCGTCTCCTCTTCCCTTCCTCTCCTCTCCTCCTTTCCCTCTTCCTGCCTTCTCCTCCCTGTCTTCTCTTCTCCTCCTCTCTCCTTTCCCTCATCTCCCTCCCCTCTCTCTCCCTCCTCCCCTCTACCCGTCTTCCCCTCCACCCCCTCCTCCTCCTTCTTTCTCTCCCCTCCCTCTCCTCCTCCCTCTCTCCTCCTCTCCCTTTCCTCCCCCTCTCCACATCCTTCCTCTCTCCTCTCTCCTCTCCTCCTCCCTCTTCTCCTCCCTCTCCCTCTCCCCGTCTTTTCCTCTCCTCCTCCTTTCTCTCCTCTCCCCTCTTCGTCCTCCTCCTCCTCCTCTTTCTTCCTCCTTTCCCTTCTCTCCCCCTCCCTTTCCTCCTCCTCTCTCCTCCTTCTCCCCTCACCTCCCCCTCTCCTCCTCCTTCCTCTCTCCTCTCTCTCCCTCCTCTCCCTCCTCCTTCTCTCCTCTACCCGTCTTCTCCTCCCCCTCTCCTCCTCCTCCTTCTTTTCCTCTCCCCGTCTCCTCCCCTCTCTCCTCCTTCCTCTCTCCTCCCTCTCCCTCTCCTCCTCCTCTCTCCTCTCCTCTCCTCTTCTCCTCTTCTTCCCTCACCTCCCCCTCTCCTCTCATCCTTCTTCTCCTCTCCCCATCTCCTCCTCTCCTCTCCTTCCTCTCCTCTCTTCCTCCTTCCTCTCCTCACCCCTTCCTCTCCTCTCCTCCCCTCCTCCTCCCCCTTTCTCTCCTTCCTTTCCTCTCTCCTCATCTCCTCTCCCTCCTTTCATCTCCCCTCTTCTCCTCCCCTCCTCCTCCCTCTCTCCTCTCTCCCCCTCTTCTCCTTCTCTCCCTCTCCTCCCCTCTCCTTCTCTCCCCTCCTCTCTTCTTCCCCTCTTCTCCCTCTTTCTCCCTCTCTCCCTCTCTCCTCCTCTTCTCTCCCTCTCTCTTCTCTCTCCCTCTCTCTCTCTCTCCCCTCTCTCTCTCCCTCTTCTCTCTCTCTCTCCCCCTCTTCTCTCTCCTCTCTCTCTCCCTCTCTCTCCCTCTCTCTCCTCTCTCTCCCCTCTCTCCCCCTCTTCTCTCCCTCTCTCCCCTCTCTTCTCTCTCTCTCTCTCCCTCTCTCCCTCTCTCTCCCCCTCTCTCTCCCTCTCTCTCCCTCTCTCCCCTCTCTCTCTCTCTCTCCTCTCTCTCTCCTCCTCCCCCTCTTCTCCCTCTCCTCTCTCTCCTCTCCCCTCTCTCTCTCTCCCTCTCTCTCCCTCTCTCCCTCTCTCTCCCTCTCTCCTCTCCCCCCTCTCTCTCTCCCTCTCTTCCCTCTCTCTCTCTCCCTCTCTCCCTCTCTCCCTCTCTTCTCTCTCCTCTCTCTCTCTCTCCCCTCTTCTCTCTCCCTCTCTCTCCCTCTCTCTCCCTCTCTCTCCCTCTCTCCCCTCTCCCCCTCTTCTCTCCCCTCTCTCTCCCTCTCTCTCCCTCTCTCTCCCTCTCTCTCTCCCTCTCTCTCCCTCTCTCCCTCTCTCTCCCTCTCTCCCTCTCCTCCCGTCTCGTCTTCAGGCTGTGTAAAGTTCCACTGGGGTTCGGAGCGCGTTGCCTTCAAACCAGGCGGTCGCCGGACCCGTTTTCTCAGTACGCCCTGCTTGGCTCTTTGTGTGTACCGCTTCCTTTGCTCTCCTCTTTTACATATGCTTAGTCCAACTTAGAGACAACTTAAAGACACACCGTGGAACTTTTCCGGCGCAGGGTCCACCACCTGCTTGTCTCCACGGCGACGTGACGGCTTTCCTCTCTACAGTTTGGCATTAAACTTGTCAGTCTTGCATTTATTCATTTACAGGTGTCTTTAAATAATATGCGGCTCGTCTCCGTGGAGATAGATGTTTAATGCCGTACTGTGGAACTTCTCCATGGAGACAAGCAAGTGGCAAAGCTTCTCCTGAAAAGTTACATGGTCCTGTTTATAGGAAAGGACTGGCAGAAGAGTTTGTGTTCACTTTCTAGAATTATGTTCACTTTTAATCAAAAAGAAAGGGCCAAAGTGATTCTGTGGGCAATTTTATTTTTGAAAGAAATCTCCAAACAGACTCAGGACATTAAAGGTTGTATAGAGGATTTTTTTAAGGGAAGAGAAATACAGCGACACCACCTTCCTCCTCCACAGCTCCCTCCCTCTAGAAATAATTTAGAGACCGACTCCTCAGTTTTTAGATTCTTTGTCTGCTTCAGTCGCGCAGTCGCTGAAAGGAATCTCCAACAATCACCTCAGTTTGGCTTCGGTCTTTTTCCTCTTCCCTTCTTCTTTCAGCGACCTCAAAAACGGACTTTCTTTTGCAGCGAACTGGTCGTGGATTCTCGTCCGCCGTCGGCAACAAACTTTGTGCGAACTGCGAGGAAGCGACAGAAAAAGCCTCTAAGAACCGCTGCATAGTTACCCTAGAAACATAGTTTGATTGACAACCTAACAGCCAATAGAAAATGAGGTAGCCTGGTTTTCTATTGGCTGATGTTTATCTGGCCTCAACATGTCCACAGTTGATAGATTTTCACTCTTTTTTTTTTTTTTTTTTGGGCATAATTACAAGGCTGTTGCATCTCTGTAATGGTATTTTAAACTTTCATTGACAATTTCAAAAAAAAAAAAAATCCTCCATACAACCTTTAAGAACAAAAATGTGGCTGTTTGCTGCAGATGTTCCAAGTTTCAGTAGGAGCAGGTAGAGGGCGCTCTTGGAAAAAAGGATCAAAACTCAAAACACAACGGAAAAAATATAATTAAAAGGCCTTTATTGCCCTGATTAATCAATTAAGCCCTGATGAAGACCAGTTAAGGTCAAAACATGTTGGCTTTGGCCATTCAAATAAAGGCCTTTTAATTATATTTTTCCTCGTGCGATGTGTTAATTTTTTCTACTGTTTTGGAGCGCCTGGAATCCGTTGTGTTTTGAGACTCAGGACATGATTGGGAAAGAATTCACACATTTTCCTTATAGTTTCATGGAAAATATTAATTAATTTGTTACTGAAAATGTCTCCTTTAATGGCCTAAATTTAAACGTTATATTAAATATTGAATTAGAGCCATTGCATTTGGTTTATATATAAATGTGTTTGAAGCTGTGTGTCATTTGTTCATTTGTTTTTCAAAATAAAACCAAAAATGAGAAGATGAAAAAAACTACTATTTTATTCATTATTTGTCTCCAAAACCAAAATGAAAAAACGGATAATGATTTGTTTTTTCAGTTTTCGATTTTGTGTTTAAGTGAAAAATGGAAAAAACGGAAACAGGTGTTTTCTGTTTACGTGACTTAAACTGTGATGCCGGATTGAACCAGGACTGAACCAGGACTGAACCAGGACTGAACCAGGTCTAAAACCAGTCTAAACCAGGACTAAACCAGGACTGAACAGGACAGGACTGAACCAGGACTGAACCAGGACTGAACCAGGACTGAACCAGGACTGAACCAGGACTGAACCAGACTGAACCAGGACTGAACCAGGACTAAACCAGGACCAAACCAGGACTAAACTAGGACTCAACCAGGACTGAACCAGGACTAAAACAGGACTAAATCAGGTCTAAACCAGGTCTAAACCAGGTCTGAATCAGGACTAAACCAGGTCTAAACCGGTCTCAGTCCTGGTCTGGTCTTAGTCTCAGTCTTGGTCTGGTCCGGGTCTGGACCCGGTCTCAGTCCTGGTCTCAGTCCCAGTCTGGTCCCGGTTTGCTCCTGGTCTCAGTCCTGGTCTCAGTCCCAGTCTGGTCCCGGTTTGCTCCTGGTCTCAGTCCTGGTTTAGACTTGGTTTAGACCTGGTTTAGACCTGATTAAGTCCTGGTTGAGACCTAGTTGAGACCTGATTCAGTCCTGGTTCAGTCCTGGTTCAGTCCTGGTTCAGTCCTGGTTCAGTCCTGGTTCCCTGGTTCAGACCTGGTTCAGTCTGGTTCAGTCCTGGTTCAGTCCTGGTTCAGTCCTGGTTCAGTCCTGTTCAGTCCTGGTTCAGTCTGGTTCAGTCCTGGTTCAGTCCTGGTTCAGTCCTGGTTCAGTCCTGGTTCAGTCCTGGTTCAGTCCTGGTTCAGTCCTGTCCTGGTTCAGTCCTGGTTCAGTCCTGGTTCAGTCCTGGTTCAGTCCTGGTTCAGTCCTGGTTCAGTCCTGGTTCAGTCCTGGTTCAGTCCTGGTTCAGTCCTGGTTCAGTCCTGGTTCAGTCCTGGTTCAGTTTGGCATCACAGTTTAAGTCACGTAAACGGAAAACGGCCGTTATCCAATTTTTTTCCATTCTTCATTTAAACACAAAATCGAAAACTGAAACACAAATCATTATCTGTTTTTTCATTTTGGTTTTGAAGACAAATAATGAAGAAAATAATTGTTTTTTTGTTTTCTTATTTTTGGTTTTATATCGCAAAACAAATGAACGAATGATACACGGATTTGTATGAAATATTTTTGCCTGAAAATCCCTGATATTTCTGAAGGCTTCTGACCCTCTGCAGCTCAGACCACCTCTCTCTCTCTCTCTCTCTCTCTCTCTCTCTCCTCCTCTGTTTTTCTTTCTCTCTTTTTACTTTATCACTTCGTTCACTGTCCCTCACCTGCTCCCTGCACCTCGGCCCAGAGGGGAGAGGCAGGCCTGGGTCTCTGTAACCAATCAGACAAATACCAGTATATTTCACCTCGATTTGAACCCACACACGTAGACCCAGTTCTGGAGGGGTTCTGTGAGCTGTAGACTGGACTCAGAACCAGGGGAGAACTGTCCACAGGATCTTTATAAAGTCTAAAGTTCAGTCAAATTACAAGACTTTATGGCTACGTTCAGACTGACGTGACCCAAATCTGATTTTTGCGACCTGTATCTGATCTTTTAATGACAGTCTGAACGACACAGATCCGATTTTTTTCAAATGTGACCCAGGACACTTCGATATTTGCTCCTAAAACCGATTCATATTCGATCTTTTGACGTGTGACTTCAGTCTGAACGGTCAGGTCACATTCATCCCACCTACACGTCACGTTCAGAATCGAGTCAGTGAAGGGAAAGTGAGATCAGGTCAAATTGGAGGAGTTTTATAGGAACCGAAATGTCAGAGCGCGGCTACAGACGGTCCTGGCTCCAGTGTCAACGAAAAATAAAGATCCTGCGAGACAAATACAAGGAGACTAAAGGGACCAGGACCAGACTGGAACAATATCAGGACTGAGACCGAGACAGGGACTGAGACCGGGACTGAGACCAGGAGTGAAACTGGGATCAGACTGGGACAATATCAAGACTGTGACCAGGACTGAGGCCGGACTGAGGCCGGGACTGAGACCGGGACTGAGGCTGAGACTGAGGCTGGGACAAGACTGGGACTAGACCGGGACTGAGACCGAAACTGAGACTGGAACTGAGGCCAGGAAAAAGACCAGGACAAGTTTAGGAAAAAAATAAATAAAAAAATAAAATAAAGATCCTGCGACGAGGAGGCTAAAGGGACCGGGACCAGACTGGGACAATATCAGGAGTGAGATCAGGACTGAGACCAGGACTGAGACCAGGACTGAGACCGGAATCAGACCGGGACTGAGACCGGGACTGAGACCAGGACTGAGGACTGAGACCGGAATCAGACCGGGACTGAGACCGGGACTGAGACCGGGACTGAGACCGGGACTGAGACCGGGACTGAGACCGGGACTGAGGCCGGGACTGAGACCAGGACAAGTTTAGGACTGAGACCGAAACTGAGACTGGGACTGAGGCCAGAAAAGAGGCCAGGACAAGTTTAGGAAAAAATAAAATACAAAAAATAAAATAAACATCCTGCGACACAAATATAAGGAGGATAAAGGGACCGGGACCAGACTGGGACAAGATCAGAACTGAGACCGGGACTGAGACCGGGACTGAGACCGGGACTGAGACCGGGACTGAGACCGGGACTGAGAGCGGTTTAGTCCTGGTTTAGACCTGGTTTAGTCCTGGTTCCATCCTTATGCACTAAAACTGAGAGAAAACTGAAAAAACGAATCATTTTGGTTTTGGAGACAAATAATGAAGAAAATAGTTTTATTTTTTTCATTTTCTTATTTCTACTTTTATTTTGAAAAACGAATGAACGAATGAGACACGGACTGGACTTTATCCCTGGTTTCAGCCTGTCCCCTGTAGTGTACTTTCTGTTTTGTTTTGGGTTTTGTGGGCGGGGCCTAACTCTGACTCTCTCCTGTCCTCCTCCTCCTCCTCCTCCGCTGTTGTCTTCGGCTGCACAGGGAAGATGGTGAAAAAAGTCTGCCCCTGCAACCAGCTCTGTAGTAACTATCTCTCTTTTGGTCTCCCCCTCCATCCGTCCTGCTGCATCTCTCCCTCCTCCGTGATCCTCTGTTTCTCACTGGTCACGTGACTCGGAGAAAACGATTTTATTCTTCTTTTGCATTCGCTAAACATTCAATTCAGATCATTTCAGTTTTAGCCAGTTAGATTTTAAACTTAAAAAACTCAACAGACTGTTTTTAGATTGTGTTAGATTGTCTTTTTCTAGGACGAGGCAAAGGAAAATGTTCTATATTATAATAATTTAAGTTACTGATAATGTTAATTTATCCTGGCATTACTTTATATTACACAAAATTGACTCTTGTGAGCTTTAAGAAATGTTATAATGCTGTTAATTCCTCAAAAACAGACCTGGAGTTGTGTTTTGTTTCACATGTTTGAGTAACGCTTTATTATTAGTCTGTTTACATCTCCAAAGTTTAAAATGCATGAAGCGGTAGTTTTCAAATCAGCATCTACCTTTTTACCTTTTGTTTTGTGCTGAAATAGAGCCTTTTTCACAATGTCCAGTAGTGCAGCGATGTAGGGTAAATATCATTTACGTTAAAGCTTTTCTATGGTAAAATATCTGTGGAAATGTCTCGCGTATTTTCCACCAGCTTCATAAATCTGCCCCTTCGCCAAATCTTCATCCAACAAAAACAACAAAGAACATATTCTGTCCATGAAGAATTTATCCACAACTATCAAGGTAAGAAAGACGAAAACGTAAAGGCGAACATCGACGAGCATTAGTGAATTACTCCTGAGCAAAACAAACATTATGGTCATGAATAGGGGTGTAACGATATCCAAGTCTCACGATACGATATCGTCACGGTATGAACCTCGCGGTACGATATTTATTGCGATATCGTGGGAAAAATCACGATATGGTGGCTAGAATCACAGTATTACCATATTATACATCGTAACAAGACTGACATTATAAAATGATTTGACCATCATTTGGTAAAACATTTATTGTCATATTCATATCAGTGACATTTTGAACAGCTTGAAAAGTGCAAAACAAACTAAACAATTGTAATAAAAGTGTAGTCAGGAGCTTCGCAGAGTAAGTTCGACAGAAGACTGAAGCTGACCTTATCGCATCAGCGCATTAGGAGCGAGCAGTTTTTTTCAGCTCTTATGCAAATTAACCATGTGGCGCTCGCTATATATTCTGCAATGTATTTCGTTATTTCTTCAGCGCTGTTGTAAATGCTTCACGTATAGTTTTTTTTGTCCCAACTTGATTTTCTGTGCACATTCTTGAAAATTTTCAGTGTGTCATCTTATCAAGTGACGTGTGTGACATGTTGCTAGTATTTCACTGTGCACTGGGCGTGTTTCTTCTTTCTCGTTGCGTGTCGCGACAAACCCAAAATCCTTTTAGACCTCAGACTTAAAAGCCGCTGGGCGCACAGATTGGATGGATTATGGTCCATGTAGTTTACTGTGCTATGTGCCACAGGAGCGGACTGAAAATTCTTATTTTTTTCCTAAAGACACACAGTTAAATACTGTGACGAAACCAGGACAATATCGTGATATCGCCAATGTCGTTACATCCCAGTCATGAATAGGCAAGGCAAGGCAAGTTTATTTGTAGAGCACAATTCGTACACAAAGTAATTCAAAGTGCTTTACAGAATAAGAAACACATTAAAATCATAATAAAAACAAAACATAAATAATCATGAAGATTAAAATTAAAAAAGAGAGACATAAATGGGAGAGAAGAGTGCAGAATGAAAACCTTTCAGTCATATGCACAGTTAAACAGAAATGTTTTGAGTCTGGATTTAAACAGCGTCACAGAAGAGTCTGTCTCACATGTTCAGACTGTTCCAGGTTTTAGCTGCATGAACCTGAAACTCTGACTCCCCTTGTTTAGTCGTGACTCTGGGCACCAGCAGGAGGTCGGTCCCTGAGCTCCTCAGAGTGTGAGATGTTCATATGACACTAACATGTCACAGATGGACTTTGGTGCTCGGCCATGGAGACACTTGTACAAGCAGAGCTGCTTTAAAGTCTCTCTGAGGCACAGGAGCCAGTGCAGAGACCTGAGCACAGGATAAAACATAAGCATAAGCACGAACTGCACAAATCTCTCTGTCTATGCTAGTATCTATGTCATGAGATTGATTTTTAATTTTAATTGTAGAATCAGACTGAGTTCACAAGTTACTTATGTTTTATTCATGACCATAATGTTAGTTTTGCTCAGGAGTAGTTCACTAATGCTCGTCATTGTTCGCCTTTACATTTTTGTCTTTCTTACCTTGATAGTTGTGGATAAATTCTTTGTCAACCTTGTTGGATGAAGATTTGGTGATGAAGCTGGTGGAAAATACACGAGACATTTCCGCAGATATTTTGCCATAGAAAAGCATTAACGCAAGTGACGTTTACCCTACATCGCGGCATTTCATTCGTGTGACGCTTAAAAACACAGTGGAGCACTTCCTGTATCACCACATGACATCACGAGGTGGAGCAGAGTGTTTTCTGTTTGAGAGAATAACTCATCTTAAATATGTAGAGTTTTGTGCGTTAAACATGTGTGAATGAAACAAAACACAACTCCAGGAATGTTTGTGGCGAGGAAACATTATAAAATAGATCAGGAAATAGTGCAGTCACCATAAATCAATTGATTCCTTCAAAATAGCGCAAAAAATTGTGGGAAAACTGAACAAAAGCCTCTAACCGCTAAACGGAAATTACAAAAGCACACAGGGAACATCCAGTGCTTTGGGGTAATTACTGAAATGACTGGATTGAATAAGTTTGTGCATGTCACGAAAGCCCAAATTGTACTAATGTTTTAACGGTTTTTGGGCTGTTTTATCATCCTACTACTATTTAACTTTCTTCCTTCCTCGCCTCTTTAGTCATGGCATGTGATGTGATCTAAACTACATTACCCAGAACCCCACGCTGCTGTGGCCACCACTGACACAGCCTCTATGAAATCTGGTTTGTTTTCAGGTGCACTATGTAACGTCTAAGGTGGACAGTCCGCTACGTCTGCTTTTCTCCATGGAGATGTTATTTCTTTGTATGAAATGTTCCGCAGTAAAGAAAGCTTTGTTTTATAGCACTGGTTTTCATTAAGACGTTGCCGATACGATACGATACATACCTCGATACATTGGCCATGATTAGGGATGTAACAATAACGGAAATATCGTGATATCGTCTCGTCAAAGTTCGCACAATAATATCGTGGACCATCACAATATATCGAATTACAAGTCTCTTTGCTTAAATTAAGAGTTATGATGCAGCAATAGATTAAAAAAAAAACAGAGGGAACTACATAGACCATGATCCTTTGCTTCATTTCAGTGCAGACTACAAGAAGAAATAACAGTTCTAACACTTTTAAGTCTTAAGCTATGTTCAGACTGCAGCCTGAAGTGACCCAAATCCGATTTTTTGGCCCCTATGTGACCTGTATCTGATCTTTTAATGACAGTCTGAACGACACAGATCAGATTATTTCAAATGTGACCCAGGACACTTGGATATGTGCTCCTGAAACCGATACATATCTGATCTTTTGACATGCGACTTCAGTCTGAACGGCCAAAGCGCATTCATCCGACCTACACGTTATCAACAAGCCACAAACGTCACTATTCTGCGCTGAAGTAGGTGAAAATTGTTAATGAACTCCGTGTCACTGAAGTGAAGCACATCACCACTCACCACTCTTGGCTCCGTCTCCACATCCACATGTTCCTTTCAACGGACGTCGCTGCCGCTGCCCCACAAAACACCACGGCCAAAAACCTCGTTCCTTCTCCTTCTCAATCTCCTCCTTAAAACAAGTAAGTTGTTCATGTTCTGGCTCCGGTACGAGAGAAACTTTAAAATCTCCAGGTGCTCAATGCTCGCGTCCATGTTTGGACAACTTCTGTTTGGACAACTGGAGATCACATACAAGTCACATTTAATAGAAATGTGAACGACCTCTCAAAAACATCGGATTTCACAAAAAATCTGAATTGAGCGTTAAGCCCTGCAGTCTGAATGTAGCCTTAGTTATTTGGATTAAGTTTCGTCAAGGCATTTAAGAGAAAAAAGTCGCATATTAACAGTTTTGCCTCCACAAAATATCGTAATAAATATCGTACCGTGAGATTTGGATATTGTTACATCCCACAAACATAATCGTGAGCCTCCCCACAATATCTTGAGATTTCCCAGGATTTCGCAATAAATATCGTACCGTGAGGTCCATACAGAGACTTTGATATCGTTACACTCCTAGCCACGATACAGTTCATGTCTCGATACAGTGCTCTTTCGATTCGATACGATATATTTCAAATTGATTTGATGTGATTCAGTAAAAAATAAAGGTTGTCTGCGATACTAAAAGTCTTTGTTAAACCACTTCTTGTGCAAAGTTCATATGAAACACAAACATTTTAATCATCAAAACAGTGAAAATGTCAAATGTGTCGCATAAATTAATTTCCTTCCTCTAAACAAGCAACAAAACTAATAAAATTATTTAGTAAAATATACCAAAAAAATACTCTTGGCGATATATCAATACAGCAGTCCACGATATCGATACTGTATCATCACATTAAACAATATGATATGTTGATATTTTGATATTTTTGCACACCCCTACTTTTTTATAGCTCAAAAATACCTTCAAACAAATGAAGTCTTACTATGTGCGGGCTTGCTTCTCCACAGATCTGGCCATTAACTTAAACTATTCGCTTAACTTATCACAATGGAGTTAAGTTATTTCCATACTGTGAAATAATCAAGGCAAAGCAGTAACATCTCCAGGGAGACAAGCAGGTGGCGGACTCTCCACCAGAAAAGTTTCACAGTGCACCTTTAATATATTTTTTACCTACATGTGGGATAAACTCATGTCAGCATTCAGTGAAGAAGAGAAACTGATCCACTGCAATCATGCAATACAATATATATAACAATATAAATAACATATAATATAAACCTGCCATTTCATTGACAGTAACATCTAAACATGAACATTATACACCAGTCTCATTCAATGTTTTTTGTTTTTTTTTTACTACTTTCTACATTTTATACATATATATGGAAGACACCAAATATATGAAGAAAAATATATGGAATTATTTAGTAAAGAAAAAAAAGTTAAAGCTGCTTGTAACTACTTTTCGACAGTATGACATTACACGTCTCTACTTTTCAATTACAGGTGGTTTTATAGCGCAAAAATATCTAGAAAAACACGTATTCTGACTCTGAGTGTGGATCTGTGGGGTCGCCTCTCCACAGATCTGACCTGTAACTTGGTCTGGTTGGGTGTAGATGAGGATACAAAGGTTTAATGCCGCACTTGCCCCGTTTACATGAGAGCTTTAATTCCGATTAAAAATAATTTCATTCGGAATGAAAATTAATTCTGCTTTAAAAAGACCATGTAAACACTTAATTCCTGATGATTATTTGGAATTAAACTTAAATCTGAATAAAGTGGGTGGTTTATTCAGATTTTAAAGCTGAATTAATTTATTCCGCGATCGTGTAAACGTTTATTAAAATAATTCCTGTCATTCAGCGCATGAGCGTTGGGTCGCCCTTCTGACGCGATAACACACTGCAAGACTGACCCTCCACCAGAAAAGTTACACAATGCACCTTTAAATCATTTATAATAAATAATAGTAAATCTTTATTTTTATTTTATTTTTTTATTTTAAATTTTTCTTTTTTTAGTAAATCTTTATAAAGCACTTTTAAAAACAAGGTTTGCAAAAATTACAAAAAGCATAAAAATAGCATACAGAAAGCATAAAAAACAGACAATAATGTAAAAAATTATATTAATTATAATAAGTAAATAAAAAGAAATAAGGGATAAAATCAAGCTAAACTTATTAGTTATTGGTTTATATTTGAGGATTTGTTTATAAAATATGTAACAAAAAATTTCTTCTGTATGTATATCAAATGTAAGAAGTAGTAAACCTATAGAAAAAAAAAAACATTAAATGAGAGACTTGACTGGTAGTGTTTGTACAAGTGGTTTTGACATTTGTAATACATCAATATATTCACAATCAAACATTTCATTGACATAACTAAAGCCTCAGTCTCCATATAAAAAAACACTGTTACGCCACATTTTTAACATGTTTTCTGTTGTTTTTTTGCTTGTGTGTTTTCCAGGGACCAACAGCACAAATGCGGTGGGGGGTTCGGTGGTCTCGAGTCAAGGCGGATCTCAGAATCTGGGTCCAAACTCCGCCCCCCATCAGAGGAAAGGAACCTTCACTGACGACCTGCACAAACTCGTGGACAACTGGGCTCGCGACGCCATGAATCTGACACAGGTACAGAGAACTGAGTATAGAGTTAAAGGTGCACTGCGTAACTTCTTGGTTGGGGGTCCGTCACCTAGCCTGAATCATCAGCCGGTTTCACTTTGTGGAAACCATCTGACCTCGCAGCATTAGGATTCGTTCGCTAGACAGTAGGCAGGTACTTTTTTTATTCAACCAATCGCTGCTGTTTGGTCGTGACGTTTGTAATGCGCCGGAACACTCAGTGGTGCAGAGGGTGAACATGTCTGTCAAAGATCATTGTCGTTTCTGCGAGGTGATCTAGTTGGTAAAGTGTTCGTCCACTGATCTGAAGGTTGGCGGCTCGAATCCCGCTCTCGACATCAACAACAACAGAAAAAAAACGTCACTGATTGAGCGATCAGATCCACTGAACTACAGGTTGGCTGGTTCCGTGGTTTGTCATGTGGTATTCCAGCTCCTCCTCTATTTCTATCCGTCCCTCCCTTCTCCCTCTACTCCTCCCCCCTCTCTTCGCATCTTCTCCGCCCTCCCCTTTCCTTCTCTCCCCCTCTCCCCTTTCTTACCCCCTCCTTCCCCTCTCTGCCTCACCGCTCTCTCCGTCTCCTCCTTCCCTTTTCCTCCTCCCCCTCTCCTCCTCTCTCCTCTCCCCCTCACCCCTTCTCTCCCTCCCTCTCTCCCCGTCTTCTCCTCCCTCTCTTGGACAACACACTTAACCCACCTCGCTCCCAGTGTCTGCTTATACTAGTGTGTGAATGGGTGAGTGTTTCCTTGTCGTAGAAGCGCTTTGAGTGCCTTGAAAGTGGAAAGGCGCTGTAGAAAAATGTGACCATTTACCAATAAAAAATGCAAAGTTTGTATTCGACAAAGGAAGTCCAAAGGAGGATAGCGTATGTATGCATTCTGCTATCGCAACTTGGGTTGGTTCAGCTCTTCCCTCCTACAAAACCGTTTAGTGTATTCTGATTCCTGATCTAGTCGCTGGAGAGAAATAAAATTGAAAGGAGGCACTAGGTGGCGCCAGCCTGGCTATCCCTCACCTTCTTGTTCCACAGTGAGTGCGTATACATGCACATCAATAACCCGGTTATTAGCCATACCCCGGTTATGTCAGTATTCGGGTTACTGCGTTTACATGCGCACTGAGAAACCGTAGGCTAATTAGCATAAACTGTTACGGCGATAAAAACAACTCGCTCCTTGCACCGCTGATGCGATCAGTTTCTTTTGGACTAAATGACACGACTCAGTGGATTATGTGTGTTATTTCTGTGACAGAAGAGGCGCTAATGATGGTAAGTGTGTTCCGTGCGTATAGAGTATAGGAGATAGTTCATGTTTTAGCTTTTCAGCGTCACACGAGTGCAGGTCGTACGAGTGCAGGTCGTACGAGTGCAGGTTGTACGTGTGCAGGTTTAGCGCAGCTCTTTATTTTACAGTCATTTCACTCGTTTGGTCACTTTATTTATGTTGGTCAATTTATTTATGTGACTACTGTTGTGGTGAAAGGCTGGAAAGTGTCTTTTTGACGCATGTGCACTCAACTTTATGTTGCAGTAACCGGGATACTGCGTATTACATGCCACAAGTAACCCAGTTACTATCGAATAAACCAGCTACAGTAACCCGGTTTCTAATAACCGGGATACTGCCATAACCGGGTTACTGCGTATTACATGCACCATCAAGAAACCGGGATACTCAAAAAACCCGATCATAACCGGGTTATTGATGTACATGTATACGCACTCAGTGTGACATTAAACAGCTCTACCTTACATTTATTCGATTATAGGTGGTTTTATAGCTCAAAAATACCTAGAAAAACAAACATTCTGACTGCCTCTCCACAGATCTGACCCATAACTTGGTCTGGTTTGATCTCCATGAAGATAGAAAAGTTTAACACCATACTGTGAAACATTCCAGACAAAGAAAACACAAGAAAAGTTACACAATGCACCTTTAAAGCTCTTATACAGTATTATCTATTTTCTGGTCAGTGGTAATGATGTTTCCTCTTCACAAACAGACCTGGAGTTGTGTTTTGTTTCATTCACACATGTTTAACACACAAATCCTGCATATTTATTTTGAGTTCTTCTCTCAAACTGAAAACACTGTTCCAACTTGTGATGTCATGTGGTAATACAGGAAGTGCTCCACTGTGTTTTACTAGAATAATTTGGATGATTTCAGCCCAGAAATTGCCCATTTCTACTGAACTAAAAGGTAAACAACTAACTTAACTTAACTATTAAAAACTATTGCTTCATGACATCACAAGGTGGAACAGAGCATTCTGAGAACCACATACAGGTTTCTCAAGGTAACTGATGATACATGAGCGTTTAAATTGGATAATTGTAATCACTGTTATTAGTTGTGACTAATTCTGTCATCTATCCTCACAGGTTTATCTATTTGTTGGATGTTTCTTTAGTATTACAGAAACCACACGTGTTTCTTTTGTTGCAGGGTAAAAAGAGTGCCAAACAGCTGCAGCAGACTCTACCACCGGGACACAGCTACGAGGTCAGTTTGTGGTCTGAACGGCCAATAACACAACTTACTGTGTATGGAGTGAATGATAATGCACTGTTAAGTACTGAAAAGTGCTATATGAGTGATGGCATTATTTAAAGTGCATATTGTTTCCATTTTTTTCTAACAGGAAATGACTTGGTTTGGTGCGGTAGTGTCAGGGAAATTCTACCCAAAGACAAAGAAATTCTACCTGTGGCACATATTTGTTATAGTTTTACATCAGTTAAGTGGCAGCCTGTGGAAAAAAATGAGAAGAAAAGATCTAAAACAGAATACTTCTATCTATGTCATGGGTGTCAAACATATGGCCCAGGGGCCAGATCCGGCCCTTCAAGACCTTTAATCTGGCCCTCGGCTGATTTTCTACTAAAATATTTTTATTATATTTTCTCTTTTCTATATTTATATATTACAATACGCTGCAATTTGTTAAAAAAAACAAAACACTGAACCAATCTAAAAATTACTTTGGCGATATATACAAGGCCCACACATCACTCTTAGAAGGTAGAAAGCTCTGGAAAGTTGATTTTGCATGAGATGGTCCCTTTAATTGTTGTCATTTATTTTTGATAGACAAAACAGGTTACTAGGTGACATTTATCAAATTAAAACTATGTGTAAAAAAAAAATCAGAAAAAGCTAGATGTGTGTAGAATCCTTCAGTCGTCCAGGTAAAATCCATGACAAAGGATAAATTCAATTTGTCAACTGGACAAACGTTTATTTTGGTTGAAAATGTTTCGTAGCTCATCCATCGGTTCTGGTCATACGCTGGTGGACACTGCTTTGTATCTGCCAGCAGGGAGGAGCTAAATACACGGAAACTACTCTGAAACTAACACACCTACTTGTTTAATAGAATTTCTCCTTTGCCACAGAAAAAGCTTGGCAATTTTTTGGTTTAAATAGAATATGTTACCTATTTTTTAAATTAATTGTCAAATATTTAAACAAAATTGTAAATCACAGGAATGTAACGACATCCAAATCTCTCGGTGCGATATTATCACGATATGCATCTCACGGTACGATATTTATTGCGATATTTTGGAGAGGCTGATATAATTGTAGATAGGACACTTTTTTTTGGTTTTAAAATACCTTGACAAGATTTTGGTATGAATAATTTCCAGTATAATCCCATGAATTCAAGTAAAAACGTATTACTTCATGTTGTTTGCACTGAAATGAATCATGGGATATGTAGTTTCTGATGTTTATAAGCTGTTGCTACTATAAAACCATGCATTTAAGTAAAGAAAGTTGTAATTCGATATATTGTGACGGTCTACGATATTATTGTGAGACTTTTGACGATACGATATCACGATATTTTGGTTATTGTTACATCCCTAGTAAATCTTATACTTTATTAATTGCTATGAGACTATGATAAAACATCGAGTCAGGATTAAGCATAATATTTTTTCTTTCTTTTTCTCTACGTAGCTCATCCAGTCAGCCAGTCTGGCCAGGAAGTTCTCCGCTCCGGGTCACCTGTGTCCCAGCAGCATCGGAGGCTCAGTCCAGCTCCCCAACGCCGCCACCGCTACCTCTCTGTCCGCCCGCAAAGGCTCCCTCTCCTCCCACCCGCCCGCCTCCCCCACGCCGCCGCTCGCCCAACCCCAGCCCCCGCAGTTCATCCACTACAACCCCTCGGCGGCCTACAGCGCGCAGTGGAGCGGACCCAGCCACGTCATGTCCGTACCGCACCCGGCGCCCAATCCCGGTGGACTTCTGGTCAGCACGTCGCAGCCTCTCGGCCCGTACCCGGCGACGCAGAACCAGCTCCCGGGACAGGCCTCTCTGCAAGCTTTTCACATAAACAACGCTCTACACAAGTCTGTTAGCAATCCCGGAGGACCTAACCTAAGGACCACATAGAACAAAAGGGGGAGCCTGCTTAAAAACGGCTGACGTCTGAAGACTTAAGTGTGGAGAGTGGAGAGGAGCAAGACGGAAGCTGCCGGAGAAATACTGGATCACTGAATGAGACCTTTTCTTGAGATTGGAGATTGGGGAAAAAAAAAAAAAGAAGCAAAACTACCAACTAATATCATGTAAATTACTCTTGTACGATTAAACAAAAAGGGCTTGGCCAGGTCAAACTTGTGTTAATTTCGATAAAACTGGTCTCGGTTGATACTTTGCAGTGTTTTTATTGGCGAAATGTTCAGCGGTCGCCATGGTGACGCGATGCACAGACAGAAAAAAAGTTTTAAGATCGCCCGAAAACTCAAGAAACGGCACATTTTCAGGAGCCTCTGATCGATATGAATGTTCATGAGCCTGTTTACGAGTTTCATTTTCGATTAAAAAAGTAAGAGTGACTCAGGTCCCGTCCACACTAGTTCGTATTCGAGTCGTTTTCATTGCGGATGCAGTGTTCGTCCAAACTAATCCGATTGAAAACGGCTCCAGAGACGGAACGATCTGTGTGGACGCCTGAAAACGCTGATACGCTGATGCAGGTCTGTGCGCCGCAAAGTTATTCACTGCCAAAACGTTAAGAGGCTAGAATATATGTCCATTCATATATACGGTCTGTGCGTACGATCTGCGGACGTATAATGTCTGAAAAGTTTAACGTGAACCATCTCCAACGCGACAGAAGCACAGAACAGACTCACCATCAGCAGAACATCCCTCTGTCACAGAAAGAACACTCATATTCCACTGAGTCGTGTCCTTTAGTCCGACAGAAGCTGAGCCGCATCAGCGCACAAGGAGCGAGCTGTTTTTTTTGAGCACTCACTTTATGCAAATTAGCCATGTGGATTTAATTTTAGTTTCTGTAAAACGTAAACAAATATGCTCAAGGTGTGTAGATAGTGAAGGCTTGTGGACACCGAAACGACGTGTCTGGACGTTTCCGATACGGTGACGAAATCAGCTGCAAAGTATCAATCAGAAAGTAGGTATAGAGATCGGGATTCAACAAAAATACTGATTGGATAATTGGTAAATAAACCAATTGAGATTTAAAGATGTAAATGACTTATTTTTTGCGCTTATTTAAATGTACTTTTGGTTTTCAGATTGTAAAATGTGACATCATACTCAGTTTTTCCTATTGATTACGCTGAAATATCCAAAACGTAAACCCACAAATGTTGAATCTGAACATTTCTGTTGCTTTCTAGACCCAAAATCTGACTGTATTCCAACAAAAAATCTGTATTCTAACAATATTAAATCTGTTTTAAATAGTATTGACCTGTAGAAATTCTGGGGCGTCATCTGAAACCCGGTAATTCTCTCACGAAACTTTTTATGTTTCTATGTAATTTGTGTTTAATCCCGATCTCCATACACCATAACACCCAGGTAGATTGAATTAATACAAAAATATCTTAACATTACTTAAATTGGGGCCTGGTTGGTTCTGCAAGTCCGTTTATTTGGGTATTTTTCATTTTGGTAACTAAACTGGTGAACTGTAATTTTATATCTTGAGAAAAAATGGTTGGTGTATTTGAAATTTTAGAACAAAAACAACATAATACAGTAGTTTATCGGTTGATGCAGACTTAAAGAAAGATCGGTCAAGATTTGTCGCACCAAAAACGTGTGCTTTTTGGACATATCTGGCAACGCAATCGAACAAACGAAGCGATATCAGTGAAAACTACGTGCTTAGGTCGACGATTACCTGTAGTAAAAGCGTTTAGAAGCTATCCGTAGACCACAGAAAAATGCGGATCGTCGTCATAGCGATTAACAATGTCCGAGGATTAGAAAAACATATATACAGTCTTCTCTTCCGCCTCTCCTCTCCTCTCGCTCTCTCCATCATCTGAAGCAATAAGAGCAAAACCCTTTTAGAGTCCCGTGTGAACAAGTGGCCTTTGTTATATTAAAAAAGAGAAAAAAAAACGTTAGGATTTCGTCTCTATTTCTTTTATGATTCCATTTCCGTTGCGTGTTTAAGTTGCTTGCTGCCCTGAACTCCACACGTAAAGCACAGACATTGTAAATAGACATTGTGAGCAGCAAATGATGCGTTTTTGTTCGAGTCATTGTTAACACTTTATAACAACGAAACACATTTTAATCAGCCTAAACAAAGCACGAGCAAAGACTTTAGTAATTCATAATGAACATACAGTTTATTACGAATGATTCAGGCTCAGTAATTACTTAAAGGTGCACTGTGTAATTTTCATCCTCCTCGTCTCCATGGAGAAGTTGCCGAAAAGTTACACAGTGTGGCAAAAAACACTTAAAAAAAAAAAAAGTATATTTTGTTTTCGTTCATTGAATCACATAAAGACTTAATTCATAACGAACAAGTTGTTTATTAAGAATGATTCAGGCTTAGTAAGTGCTTAAAGGTGCACTGTGTAACTTTCCTATTCCTTGTCTCCATGGAGATGTTATTGGAATGTTCCACAGTATGGCATTAACCTTATATAAAACGTCTATTTTGTTTTCGTTTATTGAATTACAGAAAGACTTAATTCACCATGAACAAGTTGTTTATTAAGAATGATTCAGGCTTAGTAACTACTTAAAGGTGCACTGTGTAACATTCTTCCTCCTTGTCTCCATGGAGAGGTTACTGGAATGTTCCACAGCATGGCATTAAACTTATAAAAACAAAAACAAAACATTTTGAATTTCAGAAAGACTTAATTCATAATGAACAAGCAATTTATTAAGAAGGATTCAGGCTTAGTAATTACTTAAAGATGCACTGTGTAACTTTCCCATCTGCCCGTCTCCGTGGAGATGTTACCGGAATATTCCACAGTACGGCGTTAAACTTATATGTCTTGCGTTTATTGATTTACAGCTGTTTTCATGACTCAAACGTGCACTCTTACCACAGCTGTTACTATGGCGTCGCCTGCTTGTCGCCGTGGAGATAAACTTTTACCGGAATGTTCCGCAGTATGGCATTAAACTTCATTAAACTCATCTTGCATGTATCGAATTAGACGCGTTCTTACCACGAGCAGGGGTTAGCTCTCGTCAGATCGGACCTGTAACTGTGGCGTCACCTGCTTGTCGCCGTGGATACGCATTTAATGTCATACTGTGGAACATTCCAGGCAAAGCAATAGCATTTCCATATAGACAAGCAGATGTAGTTTTTAATTAATTTTCTAACTTCTGCCCCTTTAAGTAGTTACTAAGCCTTAATCATTCTCAATAAACTTTTTGTTCATGATGATTTAAGCCTTTGTTCATGCTTTACTAAAGGTGCATTGCGTAACTTTTCCGGTGGAGGGTCCATCAAACGCTTTACTCCATGGAGGTGTTATCGCTTTGTCTGGAATGTTTCACAGTATGATAGTCAAGCTTTCTATCGTCACGGAGACCAAACTAGACCAAGTTACAGGTCAGATCTGCGGAGAGGGGCCTGTTTTTCCTCTGTATTTTCGAGCGATAAAACCCCTTGGAATTCGATAAATGTAACGTAGATCTGTTTAATGTCACACTGCGGAACATTCCGGGCAGAGCAATGACGTATCCGTAGAAACAGGCAGACCCGGAAAGTTCCGCAGTGCACCTTTAAGGCTAATTAAAATGTGGCGGTTATAAAGTGTTACAGAGTCTTTTTTTTCTTTTTTTTTTTTGGGCTGGTTTCAACATTGTACATTGTTATTTTCGATGTGAATGAATATAATTGTATTTAAAAAGAAACAAAAACGGCTGTGTTCTGTGGACGGACCTGTTTTAGTCACATCGAGCTCGGTCGGTGTGTTGATTCACTGTGATTTTGTGCTTTGTTTTATGAGCAGATGTTTCGGGATAATAATTTTGGGAGTTTTTGGGGTGGATTCTTTCATTGAAAACAAACTACGGAAACGTTTTGGGGTCGTTTCGCTTTCGGTTCAGTCGGCAAAATGTGAAATCTGATTTGTTTTTAACTATATTGGCTGTGCTCACAAAGTCATAGGATTGGGGTTTTGGAATTAAGTTATAAGAAAATCCAGAAAATGTTGATTGTTTTTCGTTTTAGATCACAATTTGGCCTTATTAATCTTGTGTCTAGAGTAAATAGAGTAAAAATATACTTTAATTTGTGTTAAAAATACACAAGACATTGAATTTAAAGGTGCATTTTATAACTTTTCTGGTGGAGCGTCAAGTGCGTTTGTCCATGGAGATGTTGTTGCTTTGTCTGGAATGTTTCACAGTGTGGTGTTAAACCTTTCTGTCATCGTGGAGACCAAATCCTGGCCAAGTTACGGGTCAGATCTGTGGAGAGGCGAGCCCACTCACAGCCAGAACGCCTGTTTTTCTAGCCATTTTTGAGCTATAAAACCACCTGTAATTGAGTAAATTTTATGTCACACTGCGGAACATTACAAGCAGAGCAATGGCGTATCCATAGAAACGAGCAGGTGACGGACCCGCGACCGAAAAGCTGCGTAGTGTAACTTTTAATGACAGCAATTACACGGATATTAACCGTAAAACTGAAAAAAAAAGCAAGAATTAAAACGCAAATTCCACCTTAGAAATCTTTACCTGTCCTTAAAGCTGCACTGTGTAACTTTCGGTGGAGGGTCCGTCACCTGTTTCTATACCTGGAATGTTCTAGTACGCTTATTTATCTCTACGGAGACAGCAGGTGGCACCATAGTTATAGTTACATGTCAGATCTGTGGAGAGGCGAGCCCACTCACCGTCCAGAACGTCTGTTTTTCTAGGTATTTTTGAGCTGTAAAACCACTTCAGTAAATGTAAAGTAGATTTGGTTCATGTCACACTGCGGAACATTCTAAGCAGAGCAATGACGTGTCCATAGAAACAAGCAGGTGACGCCATAGCTACATCGTCTCATGTCAGATCTGTGGAGAGGCGAGCCCACTCACAGTCAGAACGCCTGTTTTTCTAGGTATTTTTGAGCTCTAAAACCATCTGTAACTGAATAAATTTAATGTCACACTGCGGAACATTCTAAGCAGAGCAAAGGCGTATCCATAGAAACGAGCAGGTGACGGACCCGCGACCAAAAAGCTGCATAGTGCAACTTTTAATGACAGTAATTACATGGATGTTAACCATAAAACAGATCTAAAAAATTGCAATATTAAGATGCAAATTCTACTAAAGAATTCTTACCTGTCCTTAAAGCTCCACTGTGTAACTTTTGGTGGAGGGTCCGTCACCTGCTTCTTCTGACTGGAATGTTCTATTACGCTTATTTATCTCTATGGAGACAGCAGGAAGCGCCATAGCTGCATAGTCTCATGTCAGATCTGCGGAGAGGCGAGCCCACTCACAGTAAGAATACACGTTTTTAGGTAAAAATAAAAACAGTTTTTATTGGGTTAATGCAAGACGGACGCGTTTAATGCCACTCCGGGACATTCCAGACGAAGCAACAACATCTCCACGGAGACGAGCAGACCAGAAAAGCTACACAGTGTGCCTTTAAGCTTAATTTTAAACCGTTTTTGTTGCTTTACACGAACACAGCCCATATATAAATCCATATTCAAATTGAAACTACATCATTAAATTTCTTTAAAACCAGAACCGAACCCACTGGATCTGACCGAAAGCTGAAGTGGACCTCGAAACGGCGTGAATGACAAAAACAATTTAAGATATTAAAGTAATGCTAGCTATATTTCCTTATAACAGTACTTATACACAGACACTTTAAACCCTCCTTTGCCTCTGTCCCTGGTTATTTTAGATCAATGTGAATGTATAAACCATTGTCCATTGTATTGTACTTGAAGAGTTATTTTTGCTTTTTTGTTTTTGTTTTTGTGTGTTTTTTTGTTTTGTTTATTTTTCGTAGATCCTCGGTGTTCGCTGGGGTATATAGTGCCTTGCTTCTTACCTGGTTTAAGGGCCTTTATTTACGATTGCGGAAACGGGTTGAGTCGCTGAAAGTTTATGGTTAGCTTTAAATCAACTTTAATTTTGGAAAAGGCAAAAATATATATATATATATGAGCCCCATACCAAAAAATTTTAACAATTTCAAATCACTCAGCTGCACAGTTTTGAGAATATAAGACCAAGCTGCCAATGTAAAAAAAAACATTCAACGTTGATTTTTTTGTACGTCATCTTTTCCATTTAACTATAACGTTGACTCAAAGTTAAGTTAAAGCCCTAATTTTTTAAGCATCGACGTCAATATCGGCTGAAATGTTACGCAGTGGGGCTTTAATCTGCTTGAAATCCCTTCACTCGGTTGACGTAAATGGTTTAAATGGAAAAAAACATACAAACGTACAAAAGTCGCCCATGTACCTTCCGTCGAAAACGCCAAAGGAAATCGATTTTTTTGTATATTCGGGGTTTTATCTTGAGATGAGGAATTCTGTTAAATAGTTTTATGAAGAGTTTTGAGTTTTGCGATTGTAATTGAAGCTTGGACCACTCTATACTAAATACAAATGTACTACAAATGTACTACAAAAGGACATTGGAATAGTGTGCAGTACATTTAGAGTCTGCATGAGAAGCAATATCTGAATCCAAGTTACAAAGTGTTTTATATGTCAATAAATGATCAAAAAGTATCATTTTAAAAGATATACAGTCTATAGTTTAATCCAATTCGGAGTTTTTTTTATCTTTCTCAAATTAAAATCCTGTTATAAGTGCCATATTTAATTTATTTTGCTTAAAGGTCCCATATTAAGCCGTTATAATGTTAGTTTTAATGGAGTTTTGTTTTGTTTTGTTTCATTCACACACATGTTTAACACACAAACCCTGCGTATTTAGACTTTAGAGTTCTTCTCTCAAACTGAAAACACTCCGTTCCACCTTGTGATGTCATTTGTTAAACATAAACACAAGCTCCACTGTGTTTTTAAACTCCATACACGTTCAGGAGAATCATTTGGATGATTTCTGCTCTGGAATTGCCGATCTCTACTGAACAAAAGATAAAAGGTAACTCGAAAACTACCGCTTCATGACATCACGAGGTGGAGCAGAACGTTTTGAGCTTTGGAGGTGTAGACTAGAGGTCAGCGCACGAACTTCTCCTGTGCCCGCAAAGAATTGTAATTTTCATTCCCGCTCCTGCCCACATCTGCGAATATTTTGTCCCGCTCCCGACTGCAAATCCTAGCCTGATTCATCAGCCGGTTTCACTTCACAGAAACCGTCTGACCTCGCAGCATTAGAATTTGTTTGCTCGACAATAGGCGGGTACTTTTTTTATTTAACCAATCGCTGCTGTTTAGTCGTAACGTATATAATGCGCCGCTAACGGGACTAATTGGTAGATTAAGTTTTTCCCAAATCCCGTAGGAAGAAGGGCAATAACGTCTTTCCCCTTGATAAAATTCACCAAACATTCTCTTTGTTCCGGTTTTAAATCCTCGATCTCGGGAATCGTTGCCAACACAGAATGTATCGCTCTTCGCCGATTAACAGGTACGCGAACTCGCACTTCCGGGGTTTTCGTGAACCGATTCTTGACCTAGTCGCTGGAGAGAAATAAAACTGAGCAGAGGCACTAGGTCGCGCCAGCCTGGCTGGCTACGCAATTCCTGCAAGATGTGGACGTTCGCTTTCTTAAGATCTGTCCAACACGAAGAAGCGGAAAGGAATTGTCTAAAATGTGCTTGAGATTAGACCACGTCCGCTTAAAATGTTTTTATTAATGCCAAATAAAATATCCAGCACAAATGATGTATAATAGACTCACATTAATCATTTGTACATTTTATTTTACACTCATATTTAGTTTGCGTGACTGCGGTTTATCATCCCACCCGCCCGCTCCCGCAATGAGCTTTCAAAATGTGTCCCGTCAAAATGTGTTTTGCGTCGGATTTCGCGAGTGCAGGGCTCTAATGTAATGTAGGCAGAAATAATCCAGAGTTACTCAAACACGCGTGAATGAAACAAAACACAACTCCAGGTCTGTTTTTGAGGATTTAACAACATTATAACACGACCTAAAGCTCACAAGAGTCAAGTTTGTGTAATATTGGACTTTTAAGGCATTTTACTGCAATCGTTCCAATAATAAACCCTGGAATTACCTCAGTCCCTCGGTCCAGATCGATCTCAAAACAGCAGATTTCTTGGTCGTATTTGAAGCAGCGCCGTCCCTTTAAGAAAATACATTGAAATGCCTTGTTCAGACAGTTACTTACGGATGAACGAAATTACTTTGGGTTGTGTGGTTATGTTTCGGGTTGTAATTTTGATAACGGAAATCCAACAGTTGTGAATTCTCATGTGTAAATCTAGTCATATCTGGTACTTGTACATTCTGTTGGGAGGGGCCTTCATTTACATAAGTATTAAGTTGTAGATTTGTTTAAAAATATTTTTGCTTATTTTATTTTATTTTTTTTTTCTCTTGTTTTCTCATAAAAATGCAATGTTTTACTACTTACTAGGTTTTGGTTGAAGCTGTGAATAGTCGTTTTGAGCCACTTCGCTTCAGTTCTGTCGTTCATACGCTTTTATTTTGTAGGAGCCAGTTTTGCAATAGTCCAAGACCTGGATGATTCGCACGGCAGGTTTGAACTGCGTTAAGTTAAATGATAAAACTGTTCTTGTTATTTAAAGTGAAATGTTGCACTTTCACTTTTGGATAACGTTGGGTTGAGTCTGTGGCCTCTTGCGGCACTACACAATTTAATAAAAACATACAAAATAAAGTGACTGCATTGGGTATTGCAATATTTCTGGAAAATTATGATTTCTAAAGATAAAGCACATGTTTAGTTGTATAAAAATTGTATATTGAGCCACACTATAGTCGATTTCAGATTCGAGAATGTTTTAATGACATGACAGGTTTTCCCTTTTGATTTAATTTTAACTTTGCATTGAAACATCCAAAAGGTAAATTCATAAATGTTGAACCTTATAACCGTATTTTTTGGACTATAAGACACTCCGGAGTATAAGTCACAGCAGCCAAAAAAATGTGTAATGAAGAAGAAAAAACATATATAAGTCTTACTTTTTGGGGGAAATTAATTTGATAAAATCAGAGACCAGGAACCGACATTTCATCTTGAAAGGCAAATTATAGTAAAAACAATAGAACAGAGAACAACAGACTGTTAACGTCACATATGAACAGTTCTTCAGATAAACTATAACATAAACAACAGAACAGAACAAGTAAACAAACTCTCCATCTCAGTCCAGATCACTAAAATTCTTCATCCTCGGTGTCACTTCTGAGAAAGTTTGCGACCTCTGGAGGTAAACAGACGCCGCTTCCTCGTCTGTGTCGCTGTCGTCAGACTCAGCATCAGTTCCAGTTAGAATTATTCCGGTCCTTCTGAATCCCGACAGGATGGTTTCAGTGTCACTGAAGTCCAGGCTTTGTCCATCCATCCAGTAACTTCCAGGAAAGTTTCATGCTGCATCCTCCTGGTGTCACAAGTTTCTCACTCACTCCAAACTTTCTTTCTGCTGCTTGATTATCGTTTTCGACTGAATATTTCGTTACATGCAGCTTGTAATCTGCAAAATATGATTTTCTCTTTGGGGGCATTTGAGTTCAGTCTTCTCAGTCGTCTTTATAAGTAACAGTGCGTTCGATTGGCATGATACAGACAGGACAGAGGCTCTTTCTGCAGGAGACATGCGCAGTAGAGCCAAGTGACAGTGTTAAAGGAGGAACAGGAGCAGCAGATACTGACACACAAGACTAGAACCTCTCACGGCTTCAGTGTGAAATTTTTAATATATAAGTCACACCAGAGTATAGTTGCAGGACCATCTAAACATGAAAAAAGTGCCACTTATAGTCCGAAAAATACGGTATTTTTGCTAGTGAGTATTCCCAAGAACTCACTGTATTCCACACAAATCTGAAGTTTAACAATATAAATTTTAGCTGTACCCATCTGTAGCAAATATTATAGGTCCATAACCCAACAAGAGTCTTCAACAGGGGTTTTCCAGACAACCATAGTCAGTCAAAATATTAAAGATGTCAGATTATCAAGTCATAGTCATAGAAATACAGTGTAAATTTTGATTCATATAAGAGTTATTGCAATATGGACAATGTGTCACTTGTTATTACAAAAATTTCACATAATATCACGCAGTTCAGAATCAATGTTCCTGCCGTGGGATGATCCAGTGTCTTTAGGGTTTTTTGTTTTGTTTTTCCAGCTCAGTTTTTGCCAGATTTCATTTAAAATTCTGAATTAATCTGATTTGCAGTTTGGTTTCTTCTAACTTGTGTCATTTCTGTGATCTGTTTGGAGTTGTCAGTGGCCGGGTTCTTCTGTGTGAGTGAGTTTTAGCATCGCACGCCTCATGTCTGCCCCCTTGTGGTGTGTTCTGCACTAAGTATAGAGTGTTCAAGCTTCAGAGTAAAATATAACACAAGGACATTTGTTACTTTATTTGTAAAAACTTAAATAAAAGGTGTTTAAATATAAGCATAGGCTGGACTCTTTTGTTGGGATTTGTGTGTTCATTCTGTAACTTTTCTGGTCAAGTGTCTGAGAGCTGCTTTGTTTCCACAGAACTGTTAATGCTTTGAATGTTCCCATTGATGTTTCCATGGAGATGAGCAGGTGAAGCCACTTGGCCACGTTACAGGTGAGATCTGTGGAGAGGTAAACTCGCTCACAATGAGAGATGTACGTATGACTTGCGAGAAATTATATATTTTGCTAATAAGAACTCCTGTAATTGAAATACTGCAAGATAAATTTCATATTGTAGAATATTTCAGGCAAAGCAATAACGTTTCACACATTTCCACACTCACTAAAGCTAAGTGACCCAAATCCGATTTTTTGGCCCCTATGTGACCTGTATCTGATCTTTTAATGACTGTGGATCAATCCTGCCCATCACCTTCACCTTTCACTATTTTTCAATTCCGTTGGGAAGGGAAACAGTTTGAACGGAGGTTTGCAGTCACACACATCTGATTCCCTTTTGCATTTATGGAGTTCGCAAACTTCCAAAGCGCGTTTTCCGCTGTTAGAACATCCAAGAACCACACAGTTACGATGTCTGCATCACAAAACTAAAATATGACAATATCAGAACCAGAAACAAAAGCGATAACAAAACAAAAGACTTGAAAAGATCGACTTTGACAATAGACGCATCCCACTGGGAAATCAAACGTGGCGGTTTAACACTCACACTTTTTCAGAGGACCCTTCCCAGTTTGCATTGCAGGATGAATGGAAGTCCAAAATTCGGGATGCATGTATTAGAGGAGGTGGCCTATAAACGGAGGCAGCCTCACCTTTGTTAAGAGTAAGGTGCTGTGTGTGAGTGCAGGTTTGCCTTGCCTGTATTTAACTTTTGTACTTTTGTAAATATTTGGAATGGAATAAATGCACTTTGGGTCTGAACTACAAATCAGCTCACCTCTACTCTGTTACTCTTATAAGGCTGCTGTCCGGGCTATTACAATTTCCATGGAAACAAATGCTGCGTTCAGACTGCAGCCTGAAGTGACCCAAATCTGATTTTTTGGCCTCTATGTGACCTGTATCTGATCTTTTAATGTCAGTCTGAACAACACAGATCCGATTTTTTCAAATGTGACCCAGGACACTTGGATATGTGGTCCTGAAACCAATACATATCTGATCTTTTGACACGCGACTTCAGTCTGAACGGCCAAAGCGCATTCATCCACCTACACGTTATCAACAAGCCACAAACGTCACTATTCTGCGTTGAAGTCGGCGAAAATTGTTACTGAACTCCGTGTCACTGAAGCGAAGCACATCACCACTCACCACTCTTGGCTCCGTCTGCACATCCACACGTGCACACTGTGGGTTTTTTCGGAAGGTTCAATGCGTGTCCTAAAAAGAAGCACAGGAGATGGAGAATCCGAGAGAACAGGCCACTTTATTTCAGCATTTCCATTGAGAGAGATTCAGGTTGATTACCAAGTACAACTGCCACCCCGGAACGACGTCTCTGACCAACTCAAAATCAGGGGTAGCTTTATACTACATCTTGACAAAACATTAACTTGTTGATTTAGCATATACAGCAAGAAAATGAACAATACTGCTGACCCAGTGCACCTTATCATGGGTGGGAACATGCCACGGGGTCCACATATGTCAGTTTTTCTGCTTCGTGGCACTCAAAGTCCAGAAAAACATGTTCTTTATGGCACTCAAAGTACAGAAAAAACATGTTATATAGACCTATAGATAGTCATACGTGTTTTCCACCCTGTTGTCATTCCAAAGTCCATAATATTGGGTGAATTAGCATGACCAACACATAATATTTCCCACAACACCTTTCAACAGACTGTCCCACAAAACGCCACAGCCAAAGTATTTTAAAAGCAAAAAAGTGTCTCATCTACAATTATACTATCCTCTTCAAAATATCCTATTAAATATCGTACCGTGAGGTGCATATCGCGATAATATTTTACCGTGAGATTTAGATATCGTTTCATCCCAAAAAGAGACGACAATAAATGCACTGACAGTATTTTGAATATTAAACAAATCTAT